ACACGTTTTTTCACGTGATATTTTTCTGAATTTATTTCATTTATTTTTGAGGTCACGTGAGCATATTTCGAAACTAGGTCGACACGTTTTTTCACGTGATATTTTTCTGAATTTATTTCTTTTATTTTTGAGGTCACGTGAGCATATTTCGAAATTAGGTCGACACGTTTTTTCACGTTTCATTTTTCTGAATTTATTTCATTTATTTTTGAGGTCACGTGAGCATATTTCGAAATTAGGTCGACACGTTTTTTCACGTTTCATTTTTCTGAATTTATTTCATTTATTTTTGAGGTCACGTGAGCATATTTTGAAATTAGGTCGACACGTTTTTTCACGTGATATTTTTCTGAATTTTCTTCATTTATTTTTGAGGTCACGTGAGCATATTTCGAAATTAGGTCGACACGTTTTTTCACGTGATATTTTTCTGAATTTATTTCTTTTATTTTTGAGGTCACGTGAGCATATTTCGAAATTAGGTCGACACGTTTTTTCACGTTTCATTTTTCTGAATTTATTTCATTTATTTTTGAGGTCACGTGAGCATATTTTGAAATTAGGTCGACACGTTTTTTCACGTTTCATTTTTCTGAATTTATTTCATTTATTTTTGAGGTCACGTGAGCATATTTCGAAATTAGGTCGACACGTTTTTTCACGTTTCATTTTTCTGAATTTATTTCATTTATTTTTGAGGTCACGTGAGCATATTTCGAAATTAGGTCGACACGTTTTTTCACGTGATATTTTTCTGAATTTATTTCTTTTATTTTTGAGGTCACGTGAGCATATTTCGAAATTAGGTCGACACGTTTTTTCACGTGATATTTTTCTGAATTTATTTCATTTATTTTTGAGGTCACGTGAGCATATTTTGAAATTAGGTCGACACGTTTTTTCACGTTTCATTTTTCTGAATTTATTTCATTTATTTTTGAGGTCACGTGAGCATATTTCGAAATTAGGTCGACACGTTTTTTCACGTGATATTTTTCTGAATTTATTTCATTTATTTTTGAGGTCACGTGAGCATATTTCGAAATTAGGTCGACACGTTTTTTCACGTGATATTTTTCTGAATTTATTTCATTTATTTTTGAGGTCACGTGAGCATATTTCGAAATTAGGTCGACACGTTTTTTCACGTGATATTTTTCTGAATTTATTTCATTTATTTTTGAGGTCACGTGAGCATATTTCGAAATTAGGTCGACACGTTTTTTCACGTGATATTTTTCTGAATTTATTTCATTTATTTTTGAGGTCACGTGAGCATATTTTGAAATTAGGTCGACACGTTTTTTCACGTGATATTTTTCTGAATTTATTTCATTTATTTTTGAGGTCACGTGAGCATATTTCGAAATTAGGTCGACACGTTTTTTCACGTTTCATTTTTCTGAATTTATTTCATTTATTTTTGAGGTCACGTGAGCATATTTCGAAATTAGGTCGACACGTTTTTTCACGTTTCATTTTTCTGAATTTATTTCATTTATTTTTGAGGTCACGTGAGCATATTTTGAAATTAGGTCGACACGTTTTTTCACGTGATATTTTTCTGAATTTATTTCTTTTATTTTTGAGGTCACGTGAGCATATTTCGAAATTAGGTCGACACGTTTTTTCACGTGATATTTTTCTGAATTTATTTCATTTATTTTTGAGGTCACGTGAGCATATTTCGAAACTAGGTCGACACGTTTTTTCACGTGATATTTTTCTGAATTTATTTCTTTTATTTTTGAGGTCACGTGAGCATATTTCGAAATTAGGTCGACACGTTTTTTCACGTTTCATTTTTCTGAATTTATTTCATTTATTTTTGAGGTCACGTGAGCATATTTCGAAATTAGGTCGACACGTTTTTTCACGTTTCATTTTTCTGAATTTATTTCTTTTATTTTTGAGGTCACGTGAGCATATTTCGAAATTAGGTCGACACGTTTTTTCACGTGATATTTTTCTGAATTTATTTCATTTATTTTTGAGGTCACGTGAGCATATTTCGAAACTAGGTCGACACGTTTTTTCACGTGATATTTTTCTGAATTTATTTCTTTTATTTTTGAGGTCACGTGAGCATATTTCGAAATTAGGTCGACACGTTTTTTCACGTTTCATTTTTCTGAATTTATTTCATTTATTTTTGAGGTCACGTGAGCATATTTTGAAATTAGGTCGACACGTTTTTTCACGTGATATTTTTCTGAATTTATTTCATTTATTTTTGAGGTCACGTGAGCATATTTCGAAATTAGGTCGACACGTTTTTTCACGTTTCATTTTTCTGAATTTATTTCATTTATTTTTGAGGTCACGTGAGCATATTTCGAAATTAGGTCGACACGTTTTTTCACGTTTCATTTTTCTGAATTTATTTCATTTATTTTTGAGGTCACGTGAGCATATTTTGAAATTAGGTCGACACGTTTTTTCACGTGATATTTTTCTGAATTTATTTCTTTTATTTTTGAGGTCACGTGAGCATATTTCGAAATTAGGTCGACACGTTTTTTCACGTGATATTTTTCTGAATTTATTTCATTTATTTTTGAGGTCACGTGAGCATATTTCGAAACTAGGTCGACACGTTTTTTCACGTGATATTTTTCTGAATTTATTTCTTTTATTTTTGAGGTCACGTGAGCATATTTCGAAATTAGGTCGACACGTTTTTTCACGTTTCATTTTTCTGAATTTATTTCATTTATTTTTGAGGTCACGTGAGCATATTTCGAAATTAGGTCGACACGTTTTTTCACGTTTCATTTTTCTGAATTTATTTCATTTATTTTTGAGGTCACGTGAGCATATTTTGAAATTAGGTCGACACGTTTTTTCACGTGATATTTTTCTGAATTTATTTCATTTATTTTTGAGGTCACGTGAGCATATTTCGAAATTAGGTCGACACGTTTTTTCACGTGATATTTTTCTGAATTTATTTCTTTTATTTTTGAGGTCACGTGAGCATATTTCGAAATTAGGTCGACACGTTTTTTCACGTTTCATTTTTCTGAATTTATTTCATTTATTTTTGAGGTCACGTGAGCATATTTTGAAATTAGGTCGACACGTTTTTTCACGTTTCATTTTTCTGAATTTATTTCATTTATTTTTGAGGTCACGTGAGCATATTTCGAAATTAGGTCGACACGTTTTTTCACGTTTCATTTTTCTGAATTTATTTCATTTATTTTTGAGGTCACGTGAGCATATTTCGAAATTAGGTCGACACGTTTTTTCACGTGATATTTTTCTGAATTTATTTCATTTATTTTTGAGGTCACGTGAGCATATTTCGAAACTAGGTCGACACGTTTTTTCACGTGATATTTTTCTGAATTTATTTCTTTTATTTTTGAGGTCACGTGAGCATATTTCGAAATTAGGTCGACACGTTTTTTCACGTTTCATTTTTCTGAATTTATTTCATTTATTTTTGAGGTCACGTGAGCATATTTTGAAATTAGGTCGACACGTTTTTTCACGTGATATTTTTCTGAATTTATTTCTTTTATTTTTGAGGTCACGTGAGCATATTTCGAAATTAGGTCGACACGTTTTTTCACGTGATATTTTTCTGAATTTATTTCATTTATTTTTGAGGTCACGTGAGCATATTTCGAAACTAGGTCGACACGTTTTTTCACGTGATATTTTTCTGAATTTATTTCTTTTATTTTTGAGGTCACGTGAGCATATTTCGAAATTAGGTCGACACGTTTTTTCACGTTTCATTTTTCTGAATTTATTTCTTTTATTTTTGAGGTCACGTGAGCAAAAAAACAAGAGATTCCAGAAGTTTTTTTTCGAAAAATTGATCGATGACGTCATCCATGGCAAAATTAGGAAGCCTTCCTGATTTTGCCACGAGTCATTTTTTGATCAAAAAACATGAAATTTTCTAACAAGGAAACCTTTTTTACTCAACACTTCAAACCTTGATGAAATTTTGTCCAGAGACAGCTTTTGGGGTCATAAGAACACCCTAAAAATTTTAGTCTCCCAATGGACCTCTGAGCCAAGTTCTGGGCTCTCAAAAGTTCGAAAATTGCCAAAATTGGCTCATAAAACACGTCATAACTCAATTCTCGATCAATTTTATGAAAAACTGAGTAACAGATGATGATCAGCGTGATCGATTTACCCAAAAACCATCAAAAAAATCGAATTTTCAGAAAAATTTTTGATTTTGAAAAAAAGAACGAGCAGGGGCACATATGAATTTTCAGCCCAAAAATAAAAAACTTCAAAATTTTTCGAAATAAAACTTTTTATTGATGTACTTTTAGGTAATCGACTATGCTGATCAATATCTGAAACTTCATTTCTCCCAAAAAAAATTTTGAAATGGAGCTATGATGACTTTTATGACCATTTTTAGGCCTTTTTTGAGTTTTTGAGAGCCCAGAACTTGGCTCAGAGGTCGATTGGGAGACTGAAATTTTTAGGGTGTTCTTATGGCCCCAAAATCTGTCCATGGACCAAATTTCATCATGATTTGAAGTGTTGAGTAAAAAAGGTTCCCTTGTAAGATTTTGATTGTAATTCTTATTCTTAACATCTTTTGAGTATATTCTATACAAAAAACAAGAGATTCCAGAAGTTTTTTTCGAAAAATTGATCGATGACGTCATCCATGGCAAAATTAGGAAGCATTCCTGATTTTGCCACGAGTCATTTTTTGATCAAAAAACTTGAAATTTTTAATGAATTCAAGTGTAATTCTTATTCTTAACATCTTTAGAGTATATTCTATACAAAAAACAAGAGATTCCAGAAGTTTTTTTCGAAAAATTGATCGATGACGTCATCCATGGCAAAATTAGGAAGCCTTCCTGATTTTGCCACGAGTCATTTTTTGATCAAAAAACTTGAAAAAAAACAAGTCAAAAGTGTTGCGAAATGAAGCAGCTGACAAAAGGTTCATTGTGGTCCGGGGAGAAAGACTGGAAGACGTTGATCAGATAAAATATTTGGGCCGCATTTTCATGAAAGACGGATCACTGGACTCTGAAATCGCAAATCCGAAAAGATCAGCGTGGGCTGCTTATCACGGAATAGCCGAAGCGTTGAGTGGAATTGGAATGACCAGAAAAAATCAACTGCTGAAACAAAGTGTTGTTGCAGCTGCAATTTATGGTGCAGAAACTTGGAACACAAAGGTCAAAGATGTCGAAATCATTCAAAGAACAATCAACCACATTTGGGTGCAAGCTGGAGCCGGTGATCCGCCAGATATGACAAATTTGATTATGAAAACAAAAATCAGATGGGCAGGCCACGTGGCGCGCATGTCTCCGACTAGATATTGCAAAATCATAACACTGTCGGACTTCCCAGATAAGTATCCAAGAAGGAAAGGCAGACCAAAAAAGCGCTGGGTGGACGACATCAAAGAAGCAGCAAAAGTCCACAATCACAACCAAAATTTATTGGGTCTCGGTGGAGACAGAAGAAGAAGAAGGATCGGGATAATATCCAGCAAAATTCCCTGGTCACGAATGGCTCAAGATCGTTCACAATGGAGCTGTCTGGTTCACAGTTATGATCAATGATTATGGCTTGATATAATGGACCATCAAAGTATCAAAGTAAGTAAGATGACGTCATCCATGGCAAAATTAGGAAGCCTTCCTGATTTTGCCACGAGTCATTTTTTGATCAAAAAACTTGAAATTTTTAATGAATTCAAGTGTAATTCTTATTCTTAACATCTTTTGAGTATATTCTATACAAAAAACAAGAGATTCCAGAAGTTTTTTTCGAAAAATTGATCGATGACGTCATCCATGGCAAAATTAGGAAGCCTTCCTGATTTTGCCACGAGTCATTTTTTGATCAAAAAACTTGAAATTTTTAATGAATTCAAGTGTAATTCTTATTCTTAACATCTTTTGAGTATATTCTATACAAAAAACAAGAGATTCCAGAAGTTTTTTTCGAAAAATTGAACGATGACGTCATCCATGGCAAAATTAGGAAGCCTTCCTGATTTTGCCACGAGTCATTTTTTGATCAAAAAACTTGAAATTTTTAATGAATTCAAGTGTAATTCTTATTCTTAACATCTTTTGAGTATATTCTATACAAAAAACAAGAGATTCCAGAAGTTTTTTCGAAAAATTGATCGATGACGTCATCCATGGCAAAATTAGGAAGCCTTCCTGATTTTGCCACGAGTCATTTTTTGATCAAAAAACTTGAAATTTTCTATGAAATTGTTTGTAATTCTTATTCTTAACATCTTTTGAGTATATTCTATACAAAAAACAAGAGATTCCAGAAGTTTTTTCGAAAAATTGATCGATGACGTCATCCATGGCAAAATTAGGAAGCCTTCCTGATTTTGCCACGAGTCATTTTTTGATCAAAAAACTTGAAATTTTTAATGAATTCAAGTGTAATTCTTATTCTTAACATCTTTTGAGTATATTCTATACAAAAAACAAGAGATTCCAGAAGTTTTTTTCGAAAAATTGAACGATGACGTCATCCATGGCAAAATTAGGAAGCCTTCCTGATTTTGCCACGAGTCATTTTTTGATCAAAAAACTTGAAATTTTTAATGAATTCAAGTGTAATTCTTATTCTTAACATCTTTAGAGTATATTCTATACAAAAAACAAGAGATTCCAGAAGTTTTTTTCGAAAAATTGATCGATGACGTCATCCATGGCAAAATTAGGAAGCCTTCCTGATTTTGCCACGAGTCATTTTTTGATCAAAAAACTTGAAATTTTCTATGAAATTGTTTGTAATTCTTATTCTTAACATCTTTTGAGTATATTCTATACAAAAAACAAGAGATTCCAGAAGTTTTTTTCGAAAAATTGATCGATGACGTCATCCATGGCAAAATTAGGAAGCCTTCCTGATTTTGCCACGAGTCATTTTTTGATCAAAAAACTTGAAATTTTCTATGAAATTGTTTGTAATTCTTATTCTTAACATCTTTTGAGTATATTCTATACAAAAAACAAGAGATTCCAGAAGTTTTTTTTCGAAAAATTGATCGATGACGTCATCCATGGCAAAATTAGGAAGCCTTCCTGATTTTGCCACGAGTCATTTTTTGATCAATAAACTTGAAATTTTCTATTTCGTGTATACAGTCGACAAAAAAAGTTACAGATTTGGAATAATCCAAAAATGTAAAAATGAAGTCAATAAGTCGACGAAAAACTTCGACGAAAAAGTTGGACGATTTTATTCGATAAAAGAGCATTAAACATACAAATATACAAATTGTTATAATTTAGAGTCTATCGACATGCGTTTATAATAAATGAATAATTCATGCTCCAATTGTATCCAAAATCCATCGTTCAATATCGTTAACAGATTCAGATGCTTCGAATAATTCACTGTGGAAATTGAGCATTGCATGGAACCCGTTTTCATAGTTGATTGAAGTTGTTGGAACACCAGCTTTCTGAAAAATAATTTCACTAGAAATGAACATTCAGATCATTATAGAAAAAACCAACCTTCAATCTATCAGCATACAAAATTCCTTCATCTCTCAAAATATCAAATTCACATGTCAAAACCAATGTTGGTGGAAGACCCGATAGATTCTTTCTCATTAATGGGAAAATATCTGGATTCATCAATAATTGTTCGAGAAGATTTTGTGCTTCAATACTTTCTTCAACATTTGCACGTGATTTGATTGTTGCATTTTTATAATTGTTTGTAATTTCGAGTGAATGTTTGTGTTCCATAATTTTGTTGATATCTTGTTTAACAGTTTTGGAAATATGACCATTTGTAACAACATTTTTGACAAGATATTTCTTTTCATCCATATTAATACCAGCATAAAACATGTAATAATATGCAACTGATTCTGGATCTGAAAAGATGAATAGATTTTTGAAAAGCAAATCCTCAGCTTCAATAAACTTACCAACAAGCGCCAATCCATCAAGATGATCAAAGAAATATCGATAAGAAATAGTTTGCATGTCAGCCATTTGAACAAGTGGATAAATAAGAACTTGTCCAGCTAATTTTGGCACCGCATTTCTTTCATTTCTTCTTTGTGCAACAACTGTCGCCAAATTTCCACCAGCTGAATCTCCCATTATAACAACTTTTGAAGTATCAATTCCAAATTCAGCAGCAGCATTTGCAAAGAAATAATCGACAGCATTTTCACAATCTAACAAATTTCCTGGGAAAACTGTTTCTGGTACAAGGCGATATTCGATTGATATAAACATTGTGTTCATTCTGAAAATATATCAATGATTTCTAGTTTTCTGATAAAAAATCAATAAATTCCTTACTCAGCAGTCATTCTTCTCATAAGTGAATCATACATTTCAACATTTCCTAATGCAAATCCTCCTCCGTGAATAAAAAGAACAGCTCCATTTGTTTCAGTTTGATTGTATAATGGTTGATAGATTTTAACATTAACACCATTCCAATTACGCCAAAATGATGAAACAACACCATTTGTATTGACAGTTATTCCAAGAGTTGATGACATATGATTTAAAGCAAGACGAGTCCACCAAACCATACTACTTGGTTTTGAGAAAAGTCGACTCTGAAAATATGAATGAATTATTGATTTTTTCACCTCATTATGAAAAGATAAACTAACTGGATAATAATATGCAACACGTAAAGCTGGTTCAACAATATGCATAATAATTCTATCCATTTTTGTTTTTGTAAATCCTTCTGGAAGTGGTTTATAAAGTACAGCCGATAAAATCGTTGTAAATAGCAAAATATATCCGAAATATTTCCAAATATTTGAATAGTTTGCTTTGAGCATAATTGTATTTGAGTTAGTTGGCTATTTACAGTTATTTACAGAAGGAGCTGTAAATTCAAATGATTATTGATAATCAACAATAAAAAGACATAAATAAAAAGAAACACGCAAACGAATCAAAAAAATATAAAAAGCAAGTGACCCAAGAAAAAAAAATGATGTGACTGCCAACTCACTCGAAACAACAACAAAAATAGTTGGCGCGCGCTTGGTAGCACAAAAAAAACAATGAAACACACACACACACATTTGAATATGCGAGAAACAATAAAAGAGGAAGGGGGACGAGGAAAACAAATTGATTAGGAGGACTAGGATAACAAGGATAGGTCGGTTTTTTTTGTTTTTTTTTCTCAAAAGTACAACGATTTGGAAAGTTATAGTATAAAAATTCAAAAAAAAAATAGGGAAACAAATGAAAAGACCAAATTGAGAAAATTCTGGTACAACATTGGTTTAGCTCGGTTTTTTTTAATTTTTCAAAATTTGACAAATGAATGAAAAAAATAGGGAAATAATGAATACATATATCTTAACGATGTGAAATTGTAGTCACGAAAAATGTTCGCAACAAGAGTGTAGTTTGATGTATTAGAAAATTAATGATTCGTAAGCTGTGATGATATTTTTCTGAATGTAGACAAATTTAAGATCCACAATAGAGCATGGAAAACAGATGGTCTGAAAATTAATAAAAAACTCTCGCAAGTTTTATTTCATTTTTTTCAATGAAAAAGCTAAAAGTTAGCTGACAGATTTCGAGGTAGACAAATAATCTCCAATAAAAATGTACCATTTCTGTTCACCCAAATTTTCATCATTTTTTGAACCGAATGTATATTTCTCAACATGAATCGTGTTCCTCCTCAGCCTCGCATCTGCATATGTTTGGTTCTTTAAAAATCAAAATTGCCGACATTTATCGATTTTGATCATTTTCGTGTGAATATAACAAGGAAATTTATGCGAATCGGCACATTTCATAGCATTTGATTGTCTATTTTTTGTTGTTCTTCATTCTTTCTTCCAAACATGGCTGCTCTCGCAAACCCTGTGAGTTACCACAACTCTTCTTTATTCTTTTATTAATTTTAAAAAAAGTTTTTAGCTGATCATGGTGTCCGTCACTATCAAAAAACTCGATTTGAAGATCAAGATGAAGAAAATTGCCAAGTTTCTAAAACCAAATATAAAGAGTTACAAAAATCTTGCTGATAACCACACGATTTTCTTTTTCAAATAATTTGTTTCCTGGGGTTCGATAAACATGTTAATTTTCAAATAAATTGAGTGTTGGTAAAATTCCTACAGATCAAAGCTCGTATGCTTGATTGATGTTGATTGATCAATAAACGAATGTTTTTCAGTTTTTCAGATTTTTCAAATGAATTTCAGTGATACCAAAAAACTTTATCAATTAATTTATAAGAATTTGAAAATCATTATTTTTCACAAAATAATCTCTAAACCGAATAATGCTTATCAGTATGGGAAAGACAAATAAATTTAATCCAACTTCAAAGGTATGTTCCGGAATCACATCAATTACAAAATGACAAATGTTGGTCTCAAAAATCAGTCGGACCATCAAAGATTGAGCACAAAATGTTTCATTTCTGAAATACAGATCTGAAAAAAACATCAAACTACGGTTACATGTAAGGCAGAGATAGTTCGAACAAAAATCAGAAGAAATACTAAACAACCAATGATCAGAAACTTTTTCATTCATCCTATTTTTTCTCAAAATACAGCTACGGAAAAAGCCCTTTTTGTTGAAAAATACCAATTTCCAATTGATGTTTGATCTATGAAACTTGCAAAATCAAGAAGCACTTGTACCAGTTTCAGCCAAAGCAAAAAAGACAATTTACATAAGTGAAGAGAACCTTGACACACCCATCAATCGCATAATGACCACGCCTTGATACGGTTAACCAATGTATAGTCACCACTCCTTTGATAAAGCCAATAGTGACAAAAAAGCGAACAACATTGTCTTTTTATTTATTTGTTTATTCATTTTGTTTACTGTGTAATTTCAGTAATGTTCAGTTCTCTTTTTAATTGGATTTTTGATCATTTGAATGGAGACTGACTTTCGTTTTTTTTTTTTTGAAATTGAAAGAAAAAAGATAAGAGAACATTTTATTGCTTGGAATCAAGTTGAGGTTTTTTTTTGTTATTTTGTAAATATATTTTGCTGTTGTGAGTCATAGTTGTTTTTTTCCTCATTCAATTCCGAGAGATTTTTCTTTATTTATTCATCTGGAATTCTAAATTTTCCAGGTTTGATTTTCATCAGTTTCTGAAAATATTCAATGACTAATTTGAGATTCATTGTTTTGTAGTGATAATTGTTTTTTAGAGCATGAACAAAATTTGAGGGAAAGGATTTCTCATTAGTAAAAAAAATTAGGAGGCTGCAAAAATGATACTTTCTCATTAAATCTCTAGTGCATCTATTCATTTGCGAAAAAACCGAAAAAAATGTATTTTTTTACAATATTTTTCTATTCACCAAAATGCACGAAATAAATGTCAATCGTGACGAGACCCACACACATTTCAAGGAGAAAAACATGCGAGAAAAAAAACAAGAAATGAAATTTTCGAAAGCATGCATTTTTCACACTCGTTGCCTTGAAATGAGTGTGGGTCTCGTCACGATTGCATGTATTTCGCGACAATTTGTGATTTTGGTGAATAGAAAAGTATTGTAAAACAATACATTTTTTTCGTGTTTTTTTGCAAATGAATAGATGCATAGGTTTTGAAATATTTTTCTGTGAAAAATTACTGGCTTTGTGTTGAATGTAACACTTTGTCTTCAGGATTGGTTAGAAAATAATCTTGATATTTTTCTCGTGAATTTCCAGAAATTTCATTTCAAGCCATTTTACACAGTGCTTTTATGATTTTACAAAATTTAAAATACTTTTCCTAAAATTCCTCCAAGGAACTAATCACAAAAAATCTCTCAAATGAGTTCACATTCCAGAGACCCAAAACCATAGTCAATTATTTTAATATTTTCATTTTCACCATCGCAAACGTCACAGAAAATTTCAACGAAACCAGAAAACCATTAGTTTGCCGAATAGAAAAAAAATAAACAGCCTATAATAAAAATCAATTTATTTATTGTCGAACACTTTGCAACTGAACAAAATGACAAAAAATAGAAAACCACAAACAAACAAATAAACTCTGCTGAGCCACCCCCACACACTGTTTTTTTTCTGTTTTTGTTCATTTCATATTCCATATTTATCCATATTCAAAGAAACTAGAAGAAAGAGAAAAAGAAAAAGAAAAAAAGGAAATCATGTGAGTTTCAGCCAATTCGTAGAGGTCCTCGTATTTTTTTCCCTTCTTTTTTTCTCCATTTTCTCCGTTTCTTTTCGCATCTCAAAACGTTCGCATGTTCGTCTCTCGCCCATTTATTTCAGTTTTTTCGGGGCTTGTTTCTGTCTCTATTTCTATTTATTTTCTCGCAGTCTATCTACTTTGCCTGACTGACTGTCTGTCGATTAAAAATTGCAAAATTTCGGTCTTGTGTTTTTTTCTTTTTCCATTCCACAACAACCTTTTTTCTCACTCACTTATTATCAACACAAAAATGTTTCAAATTAATTGCGAGCCAAACTTTTTCTCCCTCTCTTTTTTCGTTCTTAGATTTTTCGATGATTGCACTTGACATCTGTTTTGGGCAATTCGATAGTATTTTTCTGGAAGAAAAGTTTTTTGTGTATGTTGTAAGTGTCACTTGAATGACCGTGTGATTTGGTTTTTTTGTCTCTGTTGAAACTTGTTAGAAGATCATAAGACACAGGTCACCGGATTTTGAATTTCCGTTGATAATATAAAACATGTTTTATTTTCAGAAGGTAACTAAGTGGTAGTGATGGCTGCTAGTAATCTCAGGTCTGGTTCGATTCTTATATTAGTGCCAGGGTTGTTTTTTGGAATTTGAGGATCATAAGAAACATCCTTTTTATAATAATATATAAAACATTCCCCAAGTCCCATTATTCAATATTTCATCGTCCGACCATAAAAAAACAATTTCTCTGAAATCGATTTTCCCAACACGAAAAAGTTCCAACACATCAAACGTTCCGCCCGCCCCCTTCAAAAAAAAAACAAAACAGAAAATATTATTTAACAAAAATTCTTCTTCATAACTTTGATCTCTTCTATTTTCAAATGCTCAGCTCAATATTCACATTCAGAAAAAAAAGAAGAAGCTAAAACAACAACAACAAAAACAACCGCATCGCGTCTGGAAAGAGGGGTGAAAAAGGAAGTGAATTTTTGCAGATCAGTATTTGCTAATTATTCAAATCCTAATTAGAAACAAGATCAGGAGGCAGTGTGGTTAGCTGGTTGTAGAATATTTATTGAGAAAAACAACAACGGCTACCTTCACTGCCCCCCTGAACTTGCTTCGATTTTTTTATTTCTATTCTATACCATTCCTGTGCCAAGCCATCAATCAATAGTAAGTTTTATTTGCTCTTTTTTGAAACCAGTGAACAGACAAAGTAAGTATCAAAATTTCAACAGGCAGCCAAAAAAAAACGTATCTAACCGGTTAACGCCCTCAAAATGTTTTTCAATGTTGACAAACATTTCTATTTGACAGGTTAATTGAACGGTTAAACATGAACTTTATCTAATCGTATAGTTCTCAATTTTGTCCTGCACTTTAATTAATTATGGTTTTGTTTTGCTTAAAAAAAGTGAGTAAAAATAGAGAGAAACATGTATAATATTCGTATAGAAAACTTGAGGTCAGACACTTATCACTATGATTGATTGTTGAACATATTGGAAAAAAATTGATGAATGGCTTACAATTATCAATTTATCAAGAATGTCTGACTATTGAACATAAGTTGCAGATTTTGAGGAATGGGGTTTGTTTGGTCGAAATCAAATATGATGTCAGAGTAAATATATAGAGAGGCTAGATATATCACATTGTTATTGGAAACCTTGTGGGCAGGTGGAAACTGCTTTGGTTTCACAAACGTGGAACCTTAAAGATTGATTGTGAGAAAAAAATTTGAAATTTTACATTGAATAAATTCGTTTTGCGTTCTAGATTGATTTTCTTTAATTTCAGTCAAGCTTAGACTTTATAAGATCGGAAATAATTCAACATTGGTCTTGCACAATAATGGAAAACAGGTAACTACTATTTTGTTACACGGAAAAATTGAATTGAATTTGGTTTAAGCCTGATTTTTGAGAATACAAAATTTCACTGTTCCAAGAGAACCATCCTTAATTTTTTTTTTCTAAGCAAAAAACTAACCACAGTTTTAAAAATGAGGGATTTGTTTTATTGTTTGCAATATTTATTAATAATAATTCACTTTCACATAAATTTAAATTCAAATACTAAACGTTCAAAAAAACTTGAAAAATGCAAAATAAGAGATCCTTGATGATAGAGAAAAAGGAGTACATCTGAAGTATTATTTTGAAGAAAAAAAAACATAAAATGACACCAATTTTCCATAAAACAATCACATAATATACACAAAATTGTATTTCTTTTTGTTCGATTATTTGTTTTTGTTCGCTGAGTTTTGATAATACTATAATAATATTTCGTCAGAAGAAGTTGAACATCTATCATCTTCATTTTCTGATATTTGACCTGAAAAAAAAATATTGGGAACTTTATTTTTTCAAATTTTATTACCCGGATGACCATTAATGAAATCCATAAGGGGAATAGTTGTTGTTAAGGTTGTTGGCGTTGAATAAGTGATTGAACTTTTCCGATTAACTTCACTTAAAAGTGGCGCATTTATATTATCCGATTCAATATTTCCACCATTATTATCTTCGCAATTTTTGCGTTGTTCAATTGCCAATAGCTCCAACCTCTCTTTACATTCATGTATTCGTCGTTCTTTTTCTTCAATTTGTTTTTGAAGTGTTTCATTTTCCATTTTTAACATCTCCAATCTTTTCTGATCTGGTTTCGACATCTCAGTTTTCACAACACTTCCATTCTGTTGCACTTCATCAGCTCCCGGTGGAACTTTTAAAATATGCCGGATCTTCGGCCCAAAAATCAAACCCATCGAGATATATGTGCAAATAATAACTGTCAATGAAATGAATGCGAAATTGGCGTTTGCTTGTCCATGAATCAATAAAGTTACAACTGGTGCTGTTATAAGTGTTACCACTGCCACATTATAGATTGCGAGACCAACAAGTCTTGAATCATTCACAAATCTTAATTTTAGATTTCTCGTTTCATATGATAAAAATAATCCAAATACTAGAAGTAGACATTTATATCCGAGGATTATTCCTGAAAATCATAACAATTTTGTTTTAGATTTTTCGATTTCAGGATCAGAATTTGAAATTTGGAAAAAAAAAGAATACCTGTCCATATATCTTGATGTTCACTTTTGCATTGTTGGAAAACTGGTTGAAGAGCTTCTTCTCCATGTTCAGGTTCCTAGAAATATTTTTTTGTGAGGACCTTTTTAAGCCCTTACTTCCCATAAACAGTGAAAACTCTTACCTTTACAGGGAATTTTTGTTCATTTAAAACTAATGGATCAAGCAAGATCCATCCAGTTATAATAATCGTATCAATAATGAACAAACCCAGAACGATCAAGTAGAACTTTGAAGGGGCAATTGGCTGAAAACAACAAATTATATTGAAAATATCAGCAGAATCATAATATTTAGTGTTTGTGAGTGCGAAAGAAAATAGAATAGAATAGAAAAACTCATTCCCATGCGTTGAAAGATAAAAAAAATCATTCAAAAAACTCTGTGCGGCCTCCATGCGTTGATACATTTTTTTGTATATTTGATTTGACTTTTGAAAAAAAAACGAAAAATGTAAAATCAAAATATTTTCAGTGTATTGTTAGTTAGAAGTAGTTAGAAAGAATTGTCACGCCAATCAAAAAAAAAACATTGAAGAAAGTAGGAGAAGTAGAAGAAGTCGAAGGAAGAAGAAGAAGAAGTCTTGCTGGTTGAATATTAGTACTACATTCAAATGTTAGTCAATGTTTCCATATTGGAAGAAAATCAAAAAAAATGTTAAAAACCATGTGTACAATTAATTTACAATGTCAAATATGGGCACCTGATTCAGAACAGTGTTGCGTTTTTCGAGCAATGCTCCGTATGCTTGACCAGATGATTTTCGAACCAATGCTTGCCGTCCAACCATTGTTGATATAAGGGTTCTGATACCTTCCCAAGGTGTATTCTCTTCCTGTTGGGAAAACAGTTTGGAAAATGAGTTTTTTTTTAGATTTATTACAATATGTAGAGATTTTTTGTTTTTGTTTTTTTTCAAATATTTTAATCATATAAAATAAAAAAAATAGAGGGGAAGGAATAACGTTCGTGCTAAGGTAAGGGTTTGAAAAAAAGAAGAAAAAACACCTTTTTTTTTCTGATCGACCACAATTCATTCTTCAAAACTATCTAACTAATAATTCTACATAAATGTATGTGTTATGGGAGAAACAAAAAAATGATCTCGCTATCTCTCAAACATCAATAATAAATTGGCAAACATTTGTGTTTCTCTCGCCAGCAGTCTTGTCCGAGTGGTTAAGGAGATTGACTAGAAATCAATTGGGCTTTGCCCGCGTAGGTTCGAATCCTGCAGACTGCGAACTTTTTTTTTCTTTTTTGTTTTTTTTGTTTTTCTCCCATAACACATTCATTAAATTCAAAAAAATATTCTCATAAAGCAAAAGCTTTTCAATTACACAAAAACATTCTGTGCTAACCACTACATTTTTCTGTTTTTCCTTGTTTTTTTCAACAAAATGTTTTTTTGAATGAAAGGGGATAGTGAAAAGTGCTTTCGAAAAAAATAAACAATGATGAGAATATGAAATTTTCTGGAACATCATCATCGAATAATAATAATAAAAAAATTGTTGTCATTCCCATTCCGTAGACTTACCTTTTCAGAGAAGTTACTCAATAATGGTTTGTACTGGAAATTACGATTAGAAACCGATTTAAAGAAACATGTTACATGTTACAGAAGAAGAACTAGTCGTTTTAGAGAAAATGTTATATTGTTGTTTTTTTTTTCGCATATCTACAACCCGAAAATCAAAATAAACCTCGTCTTTTTGGCGACTTGCCAATTGTTGATTTTCAGTTGCACCCATACGATGGACTATCCAAACTTTTGCAAACATTGACCCATATGCAAATGTGAACCCGAATAGGAGAATTGTCACGCGGGCCTAGAAATTTATTTTTGGTTGAAGTTGGAAGGTGGTTGCAGATTTTTAGTTGACTTTATTCCTGAATGTCAAGAAGTGAGCCTGGAAGTCCATCTAAAATGAAAAATTTGGTTTTTTTAAACTCACATGACACAAAAATGAGAATATTTCCTCTGGGATGAGTATATCCTGCATTGGAAGTCCAATCAGGAAAAGTGAAAATAGACAAAGTGAACATCCCACAATCAATAAATTGTTGCATTCGGATTGTGATTGAATGATTATTCTAAAAAAAAACATAACAAATTTTTTAAAAACTATTCAGAAAAAAAATCAAAACTTACAATCGTTTTTGATGTTTCCTTGTAAATAAATAAATAAGAATGCATAAAACAATACCCAATGTTGCAAATGAAGACATAGTGTAGTATACCCAAGTGGAAACGGTAAGAATTTCACGAAGAATGACTAATGAATCTGGCGGTGGTCCAGTTCGATTGTTCCATTTTTCCGAATTGTACCAATCCATTTTTACAGTTGTTGTGTCATAATAACCCATAATTTTATATTTTCCATTTTGTAATTGTTCGATTTGTGTTCGTGCGATACGATCTCCAGAATCCGAAAATTTTACATTACCAGACACCCCACGAAAATTTGTTTGCTCAACACATTGGAAAAGTATAGATTTAATTTCGGTATTGTTATAATCAAAATTTTGAAGTAGAATATGTTTTGGTAAATTATGCATAGTACAATTAAATGCAAGAGCCAACGCCCTGAAAATTAGAATCAATTATTTTTCTTTCAAAACAAAAAAAATCCTACCAAACTGCATCATAAGCAAGAGGAGCTTCTGGAAATCCGCCAATATTTGCAGTATCATTTTGATTCTGTCTTCTCAAAACTTCAGTCAACCTTTGCTGAAACTCTTTTCCAGTCATATTTCCAATTGATTTTGTTTCGTCAGGAGACAACATAACACTTTCAGTTGTAAAGTGATATTCGGCAGCTTTTGCCATCTGAAAATTCAATGAAGTTTTTTTATGAAAATAAGAAAAATGTTGGGAAACCCTACCTCCTCAGCTGTACAATTCAGATGTTCTTCCTTCTTCGGTATAAACCAAGTATCAGCAAACCATCCAATAAAAAACCAAACATATTTACTACCATATAAACCATCTTGATAAGCTTGACATAAAACTTTGCGAGCTTCCGTCTCGTAAAATAATCCGACAATAATTCGAGCGTCTTGACGTTGAAGAGTTTTCATCGCATCACTTGGATCTCCGTAAAAACTTTGACGATCGACTTTGATTTTAGCATGTCGTGCTTGTCTCTGGAAGTGAAACATAGAATTTTGATTTCAATTTCCGAAAATATTAAAAATACAAACCTCCAAATCCTTGGCAGTTGATACAAAAACTTCTTCAACAGACATTAAAATAGTGAAACGTTTCCAATTAAATTTATTCATCAAATGAACTCTCGTCGGATTCTGCATATTTGCCGAAGGATGTGTTCTGAACAATGTTTTGAATCGTTTCCTATTCGAAAGTGCTGGAGAGCTTCCACCATATGATAGCTGAAATTGGATATTTGAAACTTCAAAGATGAAACGAAAAACAATTAATCATTCTGAAGTACAAATTTGTATACACTCTTGGGATTTGAAAACTTACTACAACTAGATTGAAAACGTGTGCAGCTTCTGCGAGAACTGTTGTTACTGGACTACAACCTGCGAGAAGCATAAGTTTTTTGGGTTCAAGATAGAGGAAATCATATAATTGCTGGATAGCGAGACCAGGTTGACACTGTAAAAAAGGTTTTTGAAGGTTTTCAGAAGGGCTTAAAAAACATACCATTGAATCATTATTAGTCATATTGATATAATATCCAGGTAAAATATTCTTATTATTATTCACATCTCTCAAAGCCATCTGAACAGCTGGATGACAAGCTTGTCCACCAGCCCATCCTCCAGACCCAGATTGCATTGGAAATGTGCCGGCAAAATTGAGAACAACACGATCGCCAACCTCATCATCATCGTTCTCACTATACGCCAATACCAATTGGCAACCCCAAAAAATCCACCAAATCCACCTGTCGATCATCTATTTCATATCTGAAACTGAAAAGCTATTTAAAGACACCAGCGGAGAAAAAAAAACAACAGGAAATCGCAAGAAAAAAAAACAAATTTTGTTTTTGGGGTGAGTGAAAGAGGGCAAAATTGGGAAAGAACTTTGAAAAAAGTGCATTTGAAACGGAAGAAAAATTGGTAAAAACGAGATTTTTCAAGAGAGCTCGACAAGGAGAAAAGCGAGAATCATGAATTCAAGCCGTTTTCCGGAGAATGAGAAAAAAGATTGATGGGTAGAAAAGAAAAACGACACCGGGAAAGGACGTTTTTGAAATATCCTGGAAAAATGGAGGGGGATACGAAAATAGTTTGTGCGTGGATTTAGATTGATCGTTTGATTGATATATGGAATCTTGCAAAGTTGAGCTGTCTGCTTCTTCAGAGATTTTCACTGAACTTCGGAATGGGGCCAGAGATTCCAAATTTTTGACTACGATTCTGGTACCTAGACATTTAGGCCAGCTCAACTACAGTGATTTCTAGAATTTCAGAAACTTGTAACATAAATAAAGTTGGATCAGAAAATCTTCAAAATTTGGAAACCGTATGAGCTTGAAAAAATCTACAAGAGAAAAACAACATCAGATTTTCAGATTTCAAACATTTTCGAGCGGGACTTCGATAAGAAATCTCGAATTTCACAGTTCAATAAGGTAGACAAAATTCCTAAACTTACAAATTACCAGAAAACAACCTTCCTCCAAAAAAAGTATGATCCCCAAAAAAACTAGCTAACTTAACTTAACTTCATTTTCAAAACCAACTCGGAAAAAAGTTTGTCAAACTCCTCCGCAAACCTAAATATAAATATGCAAGGTTTCAAACGTTAGTTTTATTTTCCTTGAGGATTGCCTCGGTTTTCGCCGATGATTGTGTTCCCCTGGGATTCTGCGACGATAGTTTGATTCATCGTGCGCGACATAAGAAGAAAAAGAAGAATAAGACGACAAAAAAAATCAGATAGCTATGCAATGCGACATATATACATACATAAATTGTATTTTCAACGAAAATAAAGAGAATCAGTGTTTTTTTTCGTATTCGTGTCGAAAAATACTGGCGAACAACAACAGGTGAAACCGGAACTCCACCATTTCCGAAGCCAAAATCAGAAAAACATTTTTTTTGCTTCTTTCATAAAAGGAAAAACGTAGGAACATTTCTGAAACAAAGTCCCAAAATTGAATAAAATAAAACAGAAAGTGAACAGAAAAAGACAAAGTTCAGATTTTCCATTTTTCTCTCTTTTTTTAGCACCATGACGTTGTTTCATCAAAGAATGAGAACAAGAATTATAACAAACACTGAAAAAAACTAATAAGCCCCCCTTGGGGCAATGCAAAGTCGTGAGAAAGGTTTACAGTGTTTGTATGTGTGTGTTTTTTTCGGTTGATCGGATAAAAAAATAGAAAAAAGTGTGAATATTTTCAGATTTTTTTTGCTATGGACTTTTTTGGCGATGCGATAAACATTGATTGCAGGTGGTTTGGAAATTTTCAAATACTAATTTATGAATGAATGAATGGAAAGAGAGCTTTAGAAATTTTGATTTCGATGTATTGAATTTTGTTTTTTTTCGGGGATATGAATAGATAAAAATTTCAGGTTCAAGAAAATTACAATAAAAAGTTTGAAAATAATTTCCAAGAAAGCTGAAATATCCAATTTTTCCACGTAACTACTGTAGACAGAAAAAATGAATTCAGCAAAGTTGGAAAACTTTCATAAAATTTATGATCCTAAAAAATTAAAAACTTTTTTCTTTTTCAGGTTTTTACATAAAAATATATATTTCTGACATTGAATATCAAGTTTTTTTTAGAAAAATTAAATTAACTTACAATTTTTAAAATTCAAATATTTTTTTAAAAATACAACTTTTCTCCAAAACTCAAATTAGAACATTTTTCTTGAAAATATTCAGACTGTTCTAGTTCTACAAAAAAACCCAAAATTAAATAAAGAACGGTGTAAACTTCTTTACGTGCCAAACGAAAACAATTTTTCTCGCCTAACACGATCACTAAAAAAACCGAGAGGCAAGAAAAACGAATTTATTTGGACGAGTAGAGATGGTTGGGTGATACCAACTCGGCCGAAATCTAATAATCCGAAAGAGCGTGAAAATTGAGAATGGAATAGATATAAGCATTTTTCGGATATTTTTATTCATGTATTATTATTATTTTTTGAAAACTAGTAGTACGAGACAAGAAAAAAACGAGGAGAAAGATGAGATGATGATGAAGTGGTAGGAAACTGAGAATATGTTCATGTAGAGTAAAAAGGAATCTGAAAGTTAGTCAAGGGAAAGGAAAGAAAATAAATGCAACAAGAGTGTAGGGATTGTTTCAAGGAAGACAACTGGAAATAATTACTAACATAAATAACTGACGACAGAAAAATATAAGTTGAAAAAAGAAACAAATGGTTGAAGATCAATTTATTCTAGAAAGAAAAAAAGGTAGGCGACAAGAATACTCGAATCAATTATGCACACAGAACTGTGATTTTTTAAAAAGAAGCAACTTTTGTTGGAGTTAAAAATAGATTCGGAGGTCAAATGAACTTTTCGAGGAATTTGGAAAAATTTTGAATTTTTTTTTTCAAATTTTACAATACAAAATTGAACATCCCAGAGTTTCTCTAACTTTCAAATTAGACACAGTTAAGAATTATTTTCAATCTTCACCTCGTTCTCAAAAAAAATCTCAAAACAAAACATTCTCTTCAAAATCTAACCTTTGAGAGGCACACACACACAGTTTTTTTCTGCTGACAAAATCCAATTTGCCACTATTTATATATCGAATTCGAGAAAATGTCTAGAAATTTGCTATTTTTTCCGTGAATCAAGCACAAATTTCTGCGAAAAAACGAACGAGTAAAATAAAACATGGCAAAAAAAAACGAAGAAGGAGGAATAAGAATAAGGAAAAAAAAGAAATGAAACAAATTTCTTGATGTTTAATGAAGCGAAAATTTACTTTATTCCATGGAAAAATCTCATTTCTAGAATAACCCATTCTTCAGTCCAGCTATTCATTATTAGCTAAAAACAAACTAAACTACATATATTTATTTGTTCTTGGAGAAAAGCCAAAAAAATAAAAGAAGGTATTTGAATAACGAGAAGATTCACAACAAAAAAGCAACAAATGCTCTTTGATATTTCACGATCTTTTCTTTTTTCGTTTTCCGAAAGCAACAAAAAAAAGAAAGCAAATTTTTGGTCAAAAAGCAAAAGTAACAAAATAAAAAAAATATCGAAAAAAAAGTACAAAATGTAGTTTTTGATGGTGGATCGAAGAGCAAATGCTATGATGCATATATGATTTGGGAGGGGTTTTTATATGTATTTACAAGCATTTGGTGGAAAATAAAAAAAATTGAAGTTGGTAGATAGATGATGAGAGAAAAAATTGATGTCCTTCACAAAAAATGTGTGTTTTTCTGGACGGAATGACGAGAGAACATTATATAAACATTTTGATGGGCAAAAATCAAGAAAATTGAAAAGCTTCGCAACTTTTTTAACCGGGGCTTATACTTTTATATATTTTCAGAAGGAGTTAAATTTGAAATTCAAGAAAAGGAGATTTGAAGTATTTTATATTCTGAAAATCTAACCTCACCGATTTGATGAAAAATAAATTTCGAATTATTTTTAAAAGCAGAATTAAATAAATTTCGCGTGTGTTAGAAAATTTAGAAAAAATCAATAAAAATTTTCTAACCTGTCTAGAAAGTTTTGATCTACAGAAAACATTTCATCCATTTTCTCCACGTTCAAAAAAAAATTTCAGCGAAACACAAAATACGAAATATCTTTTGACAAGATGTAATTTGAAACTCATTTGATGCACGTGAGGATTGTGACTAACACAAAAAAAAACTTTTTTTTCTAAAAAGTGCTCAAAAAAAGTTGAACAAAACTTGAGACTAATCGAACTATGGTTCGTCTACTTTTGGACTAAAGAAGAGCATCTTCAGATTACAAGTGCCAATTATCAAATTTCCAGAAAAATTGGCAAACCAAAAGTCAAGAAAACCCATAAAATCTTGCTACATATTCATTCTGGCAAGAAAAAAAGTTCCGAAATAAAATTGCATACGTATGCATGTGGACAGCAAAAAAAGATACAATTAATTGAAGCTCAAAAAAAAAAAGAAAGAAAGCGAAACATGCGTTTTTTGAGTCCAAAAAAAAGAGAAACAAAAAAATTGAAGTTTTGCTCACGCGTTGCCACAATTTCAGTGTTAGGAAGACGGGGAGGTGGTGAATAAAAATGAGAAAAAATAAATGTAAAAAAAACTTTCGAAGACAAATAGATGAAAAAAAAGAGAGTGGACTTCACAATTTTGATTAGATGTATGTAGTGGTTGAAACTGCCCGCAGGGTATTTTGTTGCCATTTTTCTCTTTTCTTTTTTCAACCTCTTCCGAATTTGATCCAGTTTTCTTTTTTGAAAAAGGTGAAATTCCGAAACAAAAAAAGAGCAGGACTCAAAAGAATATACAATTTTGGTTGTCACCAATACACAAACCTCGGCTAACGGAAACTGGGAAACTAACAAATATGGAGCTAGCCAATTTTATGTGAATTTTGAACTTCAAAGATCAAAAAATGTTTCCGGAGAGGAAGGAAAGTATAAAAATTGTGTTGGAGGAAAAGAAGGAGGAAAATTGAAAAATCCTTGGTAATTTTTTTCAAATTAGAGTTGAACGTGGGGGGGGGGGAATTGATACTTTTCTGATATAATTAGACTACATGGAGAATTCAATTTAAAATATTTACACTTTATTCCTAAATTAATCCTAATTCAGTTAAATTTTTCTCCCAAAAAATGCCACCCAAAACTTCTACTCACCATTAAACTTTTGGAAAGAAGTTTTATCGGAGTATGTAATCAGTCAGGCAGTCAACTATAGTGTCCAAATGTTTTGAGAGCAAAAAGGGAAAAGTGAATCGGAAGAATAATAATCCTCAAGAGAATTCCCGCAAAAACATCACATCATACTCATTGAGACAGACCCATGACGAATATTCAAAATGACACTGAACCGGTGCTATATCTAGGAAGAAACAAATTCTGGGAACTACATACATGCAAAAGAAAACATAAAGAACCCTCTTGTCAATACCATAAATCAAATTGCTGAAATTGTGTAAAAAGTATGGAGAGAATAGAAAACAACAACAAGGAAATGTTGAAAAAGTCAAAACAAGATGAAAACATGTCAAAATAATATAACGGGATCCCGTCACAGAACAGAAGAAAAAATAGCAGAAAAAAAGAAGAAAGAAAAAAAAGTTAAAGGAGGAAAAAGCAGAAAAAAGATATATTGATAAAAACAAGAAAAAAAGAGTTCTTTCTTTTTTTTCACTCTGATCATTTCAATTGATGAACACTTTTAAAGAGAGAAGATCGATTTATGTTAGTTTAATATTTTTTGGGATGGCATATCCCATTAATATTTTTGGGTGGGTGAGAAATAGAAGATGATATAAACTCATCATTTTGTTCAGTTTTACGAACTCTTAGATACATGTGTTTACTCATTTTGTGTTTTGATTTCAAAGATTGATCGACTATAAAATTTGTGAAGAAAAATTTCAAAACTTCCCATTTCCTCAAAGAAACGGTGACATGAGATGTCAAATTTTGAAAATGAATTTCAACTTGACACATATCTTCATTTTGTTTCGTTAGTTTCAAAGTTTTTGTTGCAAAAAAAAGAAGTTGGGTAGGAAAGTCATAAATTCACAAGGTGCTAAACTTGTATAAAAAATGAGGGTGGGTGGTAATAAATTTTGCATAGGCTAGAGTTCGTTTTTGCATAAGAGTTGGATCAAAGGTTTGGAAAAGGTTGAACTAGATTTTTTTGATTATTATTGAGAAGAAGAGCTATGAGTTCGGAAAATTTGAATATTCTCTAAGCTTTGGAGCACTGTAACTTGGCTCGAAGGTTCATTCATCTTTCGAAATAGAGTTTCTAATTTTTTTTAACAAAATGTTCCTCATTTTGAACTCACATTCAGAGTTGAGAATATAAAACAAAAGCAATTGAAAAAAGAAAAAAAACTAAAAAGTTTCGAAAACTCAAGTCAGAATGAATATTTTAGAATCTCAAACACCATTACTTCCAATCTCACCCTTTTCTTGAACTTTTGGAAATTTCCAATTTCTCCTCGAAACATTTACAATTCCCAAAGACACCATAAAACAAAACGAAATGTATCTTTTCTTGTTGTTTTTGACAGCGAAAAAGAAAAAACAAATGAAAATGAAATCCTATGTAAATCACAAGGGGTACATTCACTAAAAATGCGCATATATAAAAAAGAAAAACGTTTTTTTTCTTGCTCCTGCCCGACGAAATTTGGTGCTCAAAAAAGTGAACAAATTGAGAAAGTCCTGTGTACGAACAAATATTCTTTTTTCGTTGTTTTTATTCCAATTGTTGTTTTTTTTTCTCGCAGAAAATTGCTTCTTCGGAGAAACAAAAAAAAATTGGTATGAATGAATAAAGAATATCGTTTCAATAAGAAAGACATGATTTATGATTATAAGTATGTATGCATGTTAACTCAAAAAAGCAATAAAAAGAATAACGTAGTAGTAAAATGCGCAAAACGTTTATGATGATGATGATGTAAAGTTGAAGAAAATCGGTGAATGTGTCGGACACATTCACGTTTTATTTGCTATTGATATATTTATGTGTTCTCGAGCAAATCGGTGATTTGTTTTATGAGATTGAATAAAATAGTACATTTTTCGAATCGAGTAGTGTTCAAATGTGCATGAAAATTATGGAAAAAAGTTCAGGAACTTTATAGGTGGATTCTAGATTCTATTCAAATATCAGTGAGAACAATTTTCAAATAATTTTTTAAAGAAATAGACAACTTTCAAGCTACGGTTCAAAACAGGCCAGAATTACGTTCTTCATACTATTTTCAAAACATCTGCAAAGAGAGAACTTTCAAAACCTACTCTAAAACTTTTTTGGAATAAAAAAAGAAAAATTAAAAAAAACCTCGTTTGAAAATAAAACAAAATGCCGCGGTGGTGTGAGCGCAGTGTCACGCGGAGTCTCGTTGTTTTACTTTTATTTTTTCGTTTGTTGAAATCAAGAAGGAAAAGGGAAACCAGATAAAAAATCGGAAAAATCGAGCAAATTAACCTCTTAGAAAATACCGTAGGTATGGATTCTCATTAGAAATTTTTCGCATATTTTTTTAACCATTTTTTTTCACATTTTTCAGAAATTTTAAAAATATACCTAGCGGATATAGGAAAATGCTTTGGTTGGGAATCGAACCCGTCAAAAATTCTTAGATTAGAAGGCAAAGTCACGTACCGTTTTCTGAAATTTCAATCAATTAAGAGACGTTTTTTTTGCAAAAAAAACGGGTAGCTAACAAAAATTCCCGCCCAAATGAAAATTTCGATTCGGGCGGGTAGCTAACAAAAATTCCCGCCCGAATGAAAAAAAAAGTTTTCAAAATTTTCACATTTCTTCAACAAAAAATTTGAAAAACAAACACGTTTATTGATTTTTGAGATGATTATGTTTTTTTTGCAATTTGAAGTCAATTTCAAAGATTATGGTCAAATTAATAATTTCAAAGATTTACAATTAATTTCTCTTTTTATACAAAAACCATCTTCATTCTTCAATTTCTTCAGGAATTGTTGGTTTTTGTCTAGCTGGCCGTAGAATTAAAAATTCAGTGATATCAGAAAGCGAAATGATTCCCTGCAAATTCAAAATTATTTATAAGTTCGAGTAACAATTTTATAGGAAAAAACTCACTTTCAGAACAAGAAACTCGTCAACAAGAAATATTCTATGCACATTTTTGTCAATGAAAATTTGAATAAGATTCCATAGTGTGATATTGAAATGCGCAGTGACAACACCATCCCGACGAATTCCCTGGAAGATGAGATAAAATTAAAATCTATAAAAATATATCTGGAAGTTTCTAACTAACTTGATGTTTATCCTTTTCTTGAATTGCTTGCGTAACTGAAACGCTGAGATCAATATTATCCGAAAATGCAGCCGCAGCCGCGTCAAACCTTGTATAAACTTCGACTACCTGAAGAATTATGTTAAAAATCTTAAAAAATAGATAATTCTGGTACCCTGTTAGTTCCTTTTTCAACGATTGGCATTCCACTTATCCGATTATCTATGAGCATATCAAGAACATCAATCAATGGAGTATCTTCATTTGCCTGAAAAATATTTGTTATTCGTTTCTGGTGTTTCAAAGTCATTTGAATTTACTACTCACAAATAATAAATTTTGCCACGATCCAATTCCAAGATCCATCGTTCTCTCATTCAAAAACGCAGGTTTTGGTAGAAGAGCACACTTTAAAAAATGAAAAATGAGTATATTTACATATACGAAATAAATAAATCTTACATGTTTCCAAATATAATGTAAAATTCTTCGATGTGTCAAAATATATGCACAATCGCCAGATTCCTCATCCATCACTGGCAAACGATGAATTCGATGTTTGTTTAGCAATTCGACGGCGCGATAAAGGCTGAAAATTGGTGGGATATAAAAGGGTTCGGGGTGGATTGGAAAATGGCCCAAGAAAGATAGAATAATTTTCTGAAGCCCAATTTTTGAGTGGAGTCTAGTATCGGACTTTAATTTCTATTTGAATGTTTTGATTATCAAAAAGACTTTTGAAATCGACTTTCAGAATTCCCCAGATTTTTTCAAGTTACATTCTCTTCTAAAATTTACCTCTCTTTCAACCCAATTTTAATGAAAGGTCTCAATTGTCCTTTACTTTCCAAACACTCTTTCCATTTCGAAATTGGCATATAAGCAATATCCATTCTTCTGAAATCTTCATGACTCAATGGCGTTCCTTTGAGATCGTCCAAATTTTCCCGAAATTTCCAAAGCATCATCAAAATCATGATGAAATCAGTGACCGATAAAACACCAGTTATTTCCAAGGTTTTTGCGTTCGCAACAAGACCCGTTCTCATACCTAGAATCATTTTTTTTTTGGAATAAAATACAAATGAAAATTTTCAAGGAGAACTCACAATTATAAACTAAACCATTGAAAGCCTTCCGTACAGAAATATCATTTGTGAAAACTATAAGTTTGTTATTTCTAGCCATCGCTTCATAACATTGTGACAATTGTAATAAATGTGTATAAACCATGTTTGGTTCTTCTGAAAAAAATATTTGTTTTTTTTGGAAAAATTTAGGGTTATACATAAAATTTATTTTAAAAAAGCTACTTACTAACTCCTATCCGTGAAACTGTTTTAAAAATATCTTCAAGTTTTTGTTCCTCGTTTTCATCAGGTCGTTCATCATTCGCATATTTCACAACAGAATGTTCACTGGAAAAGTTTTATTTGATTTTGAAAAAAAATTGAAAATAAGTCTCACATTAGAAACTTTAGAATTTCAAGATTCCTTATGAACTGAACAGCTTCAATCAGGGCTCATTTTCAAAACTATTTTCTTATTTTCTACACTTTTTAAAAATCACACAAGAAAACCCAGTTCAAAATTTTCCAAATTAAAATTTCCAAACCTTATTGTTGCTCCATCCCTTTTAATTGACGCAATTCCATCAACTGGCGCTTTTTGTTTGCAAAAAACGAAATGATGCTGAAGATCGAAGAATGCTGCAAGACAAAAACGTGTCAATAAAAATCACATGAGTATTTTTTTTTTGGTTTCTTCCGATTATTAAAACTCTTATTTGCTCTAGTTAAGATACTTTTTCTTTTTTTTTTTAATTTTCTTATGAAAAAACTATACTGTTACCTTTAGTTTCCTCAAATGTTGTAGCTTTATTTCGACGGAGTTTACCCGATTCGTTATTTTGCTGATGGTTCATATGTTCATCAGATCTGGAAAATGAAAGGTTTCTTAAGAAAAAAAAATAAGGGGAAGAAACCAGGAAATGAGTTTGGAAGGAGAGATTTTTGTAATTAATTTGAACTTTACAGCAGGGAAAAGTGCAGGATTGCAAAAATGAGAAGATTGATGGAAAGTTCCCGGTTCAAAAATATTTGGAAACTAATTTGAGAAAAATGAAAATTAAAAGAATTCAAAATATATCAGAAAAATTCAAAACTGAAAATTATCTTTACAGAAATTTTGGGTCAAAATCATCCAAGAAACAGCTTGAAATTTGAAAAAAATATTCTATGAAGAAACGGAAATCAGAGAAAATAATGATTTCGAAGTTTTTTTTTCAAATCAATTTGAACTTTCGAAGAGAAAAAGTGCAATTTTGCAGAATGGGAAGATTTATGGCTGGAAAATTCTAAAGGTTTTTTAATTGAAAAATCCATAGATTGAATTTAGCTTAAATAATTTATTTTTTTTTCATTTCAAAATAAAAAATAGAAAAAATTCAAAATTCAAACAAAATTTCCAATCCATTTCAAAAATTTTATGAATATGCGGATTAGATTAAATCCGGCAGTTTTCACAAAGTTTCGTATTACACATTAGTGTTTTTTCCTTTTTTTCAAAAAAAATGGCAAAAAAAAAGGCAAGGCATGTTATGTTTTTTCAAGCATGTTAAAACATTTCTCCACGTTTTTATTTTATTTTTTATTTTTTTGCTTTTTCAAAAAAGGAAAGGATAATGGCTATAACTAGTAGAAAAACAAAAAAAAAGGTTTCAAAAGAGTTCAATTTTATGTGTGAGAAAGAAAGAACAAACTGAGTCAAGAAAAAAAGGTTGGAAGAAAAAAGAGCGGGAAAAAGAAGAGACAAATAAAGATCAGAGAATAGACAAAGCAAAAAATGAGCACCTGTTGTGGCTGGAGAACTGATTTTTGTTTAGTAGGTTGATATTACACATAACATAATTTACAACAACTATAAAAATGTATAAAAATAGAATTTTTTTTTGTTTTATTTTTATTTTTTGTGCTTCATATTTGGTTTAAAAAAAATGAACGAAGAAGTTGTTTCAAAAGTCCCAATATAAAAAAATAAATTATAATATGAATTTTTCCCAACAAAAAAAACGAGTGGAAAAAGTGTCAAAAAGGGCATTTTTTTGTGATCGGCTAAAATAAGATGAAAAATATCGAAGTGTTAGAGACGAAGAGAGGCTTTTTTTTCAATTGCAACAAATTTTGTTGGATAGATGAAAAATATTTTGCTCCACTCGGAAACAAATTCGTCGTTGGATGTTTTTTGAAACTTTTTTGCTGCTTTTCTCACAATTTTTTCTGCATAAGAAGTCATGAGAACAAATTGAGAAAATAAGTTTTTTGTGGGTCTTTGAAGATTAGAATATTGAGGAAAGTTGAAAGAAAATATTCATATTATATAAGAGATAACGTAAAAGTAGAGACAACAAATTCTTCTGAAAATCCAGAATTACAGAAAATTCTTCTATCAGAGACAAAGTGAAATGAAGAGAGTGCAGACAATTTTTTTAAGGTATTTTGTATTTTTCTCTGCACGTTTCTTACGAATGAATCTAGATAGGTTCAACCAAGAAAAAAACTGAAAAAATTCTAGAGCCATAATTTATTCGTATCAATACTAACACCGCATAACTTTCCAAAAATACCCGCCGCTAAAATTGGATCTTTCTCACTGAAAAGCCAACAAATAAGCAAAAAAACCTTCTGAAAATGCACTTCCATATAAAAAAACAAGACGTCGACATATTTTTGCCGCCAAAAAATGCACACAAGTTCGTTTTTTTCTCGGCCATCTACTTCTGTTTTCTTGTGAAAGCTCGAAAATTCCATTAATTCTTATGTTAGTTTGGCAAAATAAATAATATTTGTTCTTTATAAAAAAAAGTGGTTTTTTGGAGTCGTGAGTAATGCAAAAAAAACAAGAGAGAAACTAATTGTAGGTTGTTCTGTTATTTTAGAGAAAAAAGAGATACTGTAGTTTTTTATAGTAGGAAATGTATTATCAAATGAATAAAAGTGCATATTACAAGGGTGCTTCATAGAAAAATTATGTGAAAAAATAACTTGAGGCTTTCAAGATCTTTGATGTTTTATTATCTTTGAAAGGTTGAAGCTGAAAAAAACTTTTAAAAAATTAAAAAAAATGAGTCAGGTGATTTTTCGAAATTCAAAAGTTAAAAGAATATACAATTCAAAAAAAGCCCAAAATATCAAATGAAATCAATAGTATATCCCTTCAAAACTCCTGTTAATCAATATGTTTTTATATTTGCTCACAACATATTGTGTTATACTCTAACGGCAAACACAAATAAATATGAGCATTAAAACATTTTGAAACTTTCTTCAAATTTATTTTATTAAATTTGATTAGATACCAAAAACACTATTCAAAGAACATTCCCAAAACTATAAAATGTGTCATTTTTCACACATTTCGCAATACCTATCTTTTTCCCATATCAATATGCCTAGCCAGCGAGATGTCCGTCACATAGTTTTCTATATCTATATAAGCCCCTTTCCTATTTATTATTTCGTTCTTCCGAGAACATATACTAAAATTGGAACAATACAGAGAAGATTAGCATGGCCCCTGCGCAAGGATGACACGCAAATTCGTGAAGCGTTCCAAATTTTTTGTCAGATTTTACATAATTTTTATTGAAATGAGGTTCCCGGAAGACAATTCTTCTTCTTCCGTTCACATGATTTTTGGCCTTCTTTGGTTTTATCAAAAAAGGAACAAAACATTTTTCAAAAATAATAGACAATTTAATTTTTCGTGTCAATTGTTTTGTTTCATTCAAAACCTTGTCATCTTTTTTTTTTCAATTTCTAATTTTTCCTTGCAAAAAAAGGAAAAAACACAGTCATGTTCAATATAAAAATGACTGTATGTCTAGTCTTTTCTAGTTCGACGAAAAAACAGAAAACAATTTCTGAATTTGTGGTCTCAGCTCTGAGCAAAGTAACATCTGTTCATATTATTCTGACTTAAATAACAATATATCTTATTATTCACAAATGCTACCTAAAAAGAATATAACTTTGATTGGCGGTGGTGGATATTTGGGTTTGAATATTGTTTCGAAATTGCAAGCTGAAACTGATGCTGAATATTCAATAACTATTCTAGATTTGAATTTAGTTCCTCTCGAAAATCCTGATATCAGAATTGATTACAAAACTATCAAATTCATCAAGGTTTGTGAATACTAAAACATTTTGTTCAGAGTAGTAAAGTCAGATTCAGTTACCTCTTAATTTAGATGAAAATGTGCACAATATTCATTCAAGTGTATTCTAAAGTGTTTTCTTAAAAGTAGCGTGAATTTTTTCAAAGTTCAAGTTCAGTCAGACTTTTTTGGAAAGTTTTTCATTTTTTTGTCAAACAAAAAATATATTGAAAAGTTGAAAGAAAAACAAAAAAAATGAAACACGGCTCAAAACACAGCACAAAAAGAAAAGAGATTGATTTCAAGATTATGACGAAAACTCAAAATATAATAAATGCACAAATGTTTACTCAACCAAATATAAATTCCAAGTATTCATTAATTTTTTGGTTTTTTTTACTTTCTGCAAAAGAAAATGAAATGAACAAAAAAAATGTTTCTTCTCATCAGTGAAAAATCGTAGACAATATAACACAAAAATTTAGTTTCTTTGATTGATATTATCAAATTAGCATTATTATGTAATCTACTATTGATATTTAATTGATCTAAAATTCATTATTTCAGGGATCATTTTGTGATCTTGAAAAACTGGAAGTGGCTTTGAAAAATGCAGAAATCGTTTTCCACATTGCAGCTGTTGGAGTCATGGGATTAAGTGCGGTGAGTTTCGGAGAGAAATCAGATTTGCACCTGGGATGAATAGAAATACATAATCCAATTTTTAACAAAACACAAACGAAAAAATGTACTTATTATGAGAGTACGTTTCAGGGAGATCGAGAACAAATCTATCGAATAAATATAGATGGAACAAGAAATTTGATCAAGAAATGTCAAGAGTTTGGGGTGAAACGATTTGTATATGCAAGTTCAATTGCTGTTGTTATGATTGGGGATCCGATCTATAATCAATCAGAAGATGAACCACTTCCAGCTCCTAGTCAGGTTAGAAAACTTCAAGATTACAAACAAACAAAAAAATGAAGATCCTAGGGAAGCTCTGGGCCACCGGCCTTTTCAAAACAAGCCTACAAAAAACCATTACAGTACCCAACATCTTATGGATATTCCAAAGCTGCTGCTGAAAAACTTGTACTCGCAGCATCCTCAGAAAATTTCAAAACATGCGCTTTACGATTCCGCGCAATTTATGGACCTGCTGACCCAAATGCAACAAGAAGAGTTGTCGTAAGTCTTTGTTTTTTCAAAAGGGCAATCTGATTGTAGAAAAGGTTAAAAATAGCTAGATTTTTTTTTCAATTTCAACGAAAAAATTCATTAAACCAACGGAAAAAGCTCATTTGATCAGACGAAAAAAGCATTTGCAAATCGAAACGAAATAAATCTTCTTTGTTTTGTTTAAGGATGAAAATTAGAATGAAATCATTTCTCACCAAAAAAGTAAAGAGAAAAAAGTGTTTTTGAAGGATTTGATAAAAGCTGGGCTATTCATCTCACTCTGCACAAGAAACAAACATAAAAGAGAGGCAATAACACAAGCATCAAGTATTAATAACTGCACAAAAGCTTTCATTTTGGCTGAAAAAATGCTTGAGAAACCAGATGGACCGCATGGAAAAGTGGGTTACCTCAATATAAGTGTGAAGCTTTTTTAATTTTGTCATAATTTTCAGCCATACAACATTCTTGATGCAAATATAACAGGAAGTTTCGATTTCTGGGGACCATTAATAGAAGCACTCGGTTTTTCAAGACCAACATTTCACATGCCATTTTGGTTCTTGCATCTTCTCGCTCGATTTTACGAATTTCTTTGTTTTCAAGTCTTCAAAACTAATCCTATTTTGACATCTTTCGAGCTAATTCTACTTACAACAGATAACACATATAGTCTTCGAAATGCAAAACAAGATTTGGGATATTTTCCGGATGATGGGATGATGACTGAAGTCGCTGAGTATTATAGTAAAGAACGTGTTGAAACATGTTCCAGTTCGGCTATGTCATTTTTTGTTGTTTTATTTATCGTCTTGCTTTTTTTGCTCACAATTTTTCTTGTATAAATGCTTTGAGACGGGCAGCAGAAAGGAATTTGAAATTAAAAATAACAAACCAATTCATAAAAGTACATTTTATTTGCAGAAAAATCATGAATGTAAACTAAATATATTATGAAATCATCAGATAGACTCAAATGCTAGTTTTTTCGAAATAAAATTAGCTCTAAAAGACTAGAAATGACAAAAAGTTTAATGTAAACCAGCAGAAAACACACATACAATGAGCACAAATATTATTTGAATTAAATAATATGTGAATCAACACCTTCTTCTTCAATACTTTCCAAAACAGCGGTAGCTTCAATTGTTGTACGATGGCGAGAAAGAACACGAAGAAGTGGGCGAAGACCCAACCACCATTGATTGTTTGGTAAACGATGCTCGAAATCAGTGTCGGTTTTCAAATCTTGAACTGGTGTGAACACAACTTTTCGTCCTTTTAATCCTAACAATGTGGCAGTGTGTGGTGATTTTGCGACAACTTTGTTTTCGTGGGTCAAGTTTTCCTGGAAAATTAAGAGATGAAGGAGTGTTTTGTGATACTGTGCCTTTTTAAAACTGAAATTCGGAAATTCCAGAAAAGACACCCTATTTTTTTAACTAATGTGAAATGAAATTGAAATTGAAATTGACAAATCATAGAATAAGAAAAGTGTTCGTTCTTAGATCTTCATAATTTTGAATCAAAAAATTTCGAAAAAATAGTTCCAAATTCAACAGACATCAGATTTTCCCAACTAATCTTCTCACATTCAGAATTCCCAAAACCCTCACCTTAAGTTGAATCAACAAATATTCCAAAGCTCTAGCAGCCAACTTGGTTCCCATATTTCTATCAAAAGGTGTTGGTGAACCTCCTTGTTGAACATGTCCAAGAACATTAACACGAGTGGTGAATTGATTCTTTCCTTCTGAATCGAACAAATTTTGAACAAATTCAGTTGTCAAGTGTTTGTCAGCCCATTCATTACGGACGACAAGATAACGTTTGGCTCCGTATTCCATTTTTGACAAGATAACCTGGAAAACATTAGAAATTTCATCAAGAGTTTTATTGCGAGTCAAGACATACCTCAACATCATCAGTGAGATCTTTGACGGTGAAAGGTTCTTCATAGATATAAGCATTATCAGCTCCAGAACTCAACGCAGAAACAGTTGCCAAATATCCACAGAATCCACCCATAGTTTCAACAATAAAAACTCTTCTCTTCGTTCCAGTCGCAGATTGTTTAATCTTGTCAATCATTTGACAAATCTCATTCAAAGCAGTGTCAGATCCCAAAGAAACCATAGTTCCAGGAACATTATTCGAAATTGTGCACGGAATAACACACATCGGAATACAAAGTTCTGGGAATTTATCGCGATTTTCAGCAAGGATAATAGTACTGTGATACGCTTCGAATCCTCCGATAAGAAGAAGAGCTTGGATATTGTGTTTTTTGAGTTGTTCAGCAATTTTTGGAAGAGTCTTGGCGTTTGGCAAAGATTTTTGAGTTCCAAGGAATGAACCACCATGCATAGCCCAATTGGTGACATCAGACCATTTGAATTTTTTGAAAATACCATTTGCAAGTCCTTCGAAACTGTCTTCAATTCCATAAACTGTGCATTGATGGTAAAGAGCCATTCTAACAAATGATCGAACAGCCGCATTCATACCTAAAACATCAAATAAGATTTTTTTATTTTAAAAATAGTGTTTTACCTCCAGCTGGAGCTCCAACATTGATAACAGCAACATTGAATTTATGTCCTTCGGAAAGATTATCTTTTTCAACAGTTCTCATTTTAGTCAACAATTTATAAGTCTCCAAATTTCTTTGGAAACTACGTCCACGAAGCATGACAGCAGTTGTCCAATCCTTCTCAGCCATAGCTTTTTGGACAGCTTGAGTGCGTTCGACACATTTCAAAAGTGGTACACGGACCATTGTATTACCATCAATCGAAATAACACATGGTTCATCAGTTTCAGTCATTTCCATCAATGCAAACACCGCTTCAGCTCCCATTCTGCATCCCAAAAGTCTGTCGAAAGCAGATGGAGCACCTCCTCTTTGAACATGTCCCAAAACAGTGACTCTTGTGTCGTACTTCAATTTTTCTTTGACAGCATTTTTAACATCATCAGCAGTGATTGGTTTACCATCTCGATCAATAGCTCCCTCGGCAACGATAACAATGTTCAATCGTTGACCTTCAGATCTCATTTGACTTAATTTGTCGCATAAAACATCGCGCCAATTTTCTGGTGCTGGCCATTCAGGAATAAAGCAGAAATCAGCTTCTGAAGCTAAAGCAGCAACAAGTGCCAAATAACCACAATGTCTTCCCATGACTTCAATAATAAAAGCTCTTTGATGTGATTGTGCAGTAGCGACTACAGCATCAATTGAGCTAATGATACGTTGAAGTGCTGAATCAGTTCCAATAGTCATATCAGTTCCACAAAAATCATTATCAATTGATCCGACAAGACCAACAATTTGGATATATGGAATCTTTTTGGCTTGTGCTTCAGTAACTTGTCCACCAGCCAACAATTCTTTCACCAAATCAGTCCAATCCAAACGGAATTGATTGGCACCGGTAAGCGAACCATCTCCACCAATACACACCAAACGACCGATTCCACGAGTCAACAAATTATAAGCTGCCTTCAATCTTCCTTCACGTGTTCTGAATGCAGCCGATCTTGCCGATCCAATAATTGTTCCTCCCTGCAAAAAATGGGTAATTCAATTGTCTTATTTACACAAGTTTGTTGATATGGAAAAAAAAGGGGACAGATAAAAAATGTTCTTTGGTATCTAATGATTTCATTTTTAAGAAACGCCTATTTATAGATGTGCTTATGAAAATGCACTTTTATGGAGAATATTTTTATAAAAAGCTTTAATTCACGTGGTGTTTTTTGAATGCTCATTTTCAGTTGTATTGTGTTATTATTTTTAAGTGGGAACATTATTTTGGCGCGAAATATATTTGAAATTTTCATAAAATTTCAATAGACTCTTCTACGCAGACCGTTTGAAGCATACAGCTAATCGCAGACCGTTAGAAATAGACAGCTAAACGCAGACCGTTAAATGCACATCGCTAATCGCAGACCGTTAAGTGCAGAGCGCTGATTGCAGACCGTTAGAAATGGACAGCTAAGCGCAGACCGTTAAATGCAAACCGCTAATCGCAGCCCGTTAGAATAGACAGCTAAACGCAGACCGTTAAATGCAGACCGCTAATCGCAGACCGTTAAATGCAAACCGTTAGAAGCACACAGCCATACGCAGACCGCTAATCGCAGACCGTTCGAAATAGAAAGCTATACGCAGACCGTTAGAAGCAAACAGCTAAACACAGACCGTTAGAAGCAAAGAGCTAAACGCAGACCGTTAAATGCAGGCAGCTTATCGCAGACCGTTAGAAATAGACAGCTAAACGCAGGCCGTTAAATGCAGACCGCTAATCGCAGACCGTTAGAAGCAGGCAGCCAAAAGCAACTTCAATATCCCTAAAAATTGACCTGTTGAATAATATCTGATACAGTATTCCAAGTAGCCTCCTTGATAAAATCTCCACCCTCAATCATTCCTTCATAACCTTCAAATATCAAATAAACTTTGCAACCACAATAAATAGCCATTCTTGTGATACTTCTAACAGCACTATTCATTCCTTGTGAATCACCACCAGATGTATAAATGGCAAGTGTGCGACCTTTGAAAATATCCGACGCAATTTCAGCACCCTCTTTTCCAGCCGTTGGAACAATCGAATCAAATCGACGAAGTGCGCGTTGCTTGATAAGCTCAAGCTCATCTGGTGATAACATTTCCAAACCCTCACTCATTTTTGAATCTGAGTCTGCAAAACAAAAAAGTTTTTCGAGTAAAAACCAAAACGTAGAAAATGAAAGAAGATTAAAAAACACTAATGTAAACAACGAACAATTTTTGAAATGGCAAATATTGAGGTGATTTCTTTTATTCTTGGAGAAATGAAAAAAAATGTTTTTTTTTTATTTTCGCGAGGGACTATGATGCAATTGCGCATGACGAAATAGAACAAGAGAGAGAGAGAGAGAGAGAGAGAGGGACCACAGAAAAATATTTGATTTTTTTGTCATGTTGTTGTTTTTTTTTGTTGAGAGATTGGAGAGTTCAAAAGATCAAAAGAAAAAGAAAATCTTGTTTCAAATAGGATCATGTTGTTTCAGAGTGTCATGGAAACCGATATGTGTTTTTTTCTTTTTTTTAATGGGAGAAAAAATTGAGAAATCTCAATAGTTCAAAAAATCAAAATACAGAGAACAAGGTCAAATTTTTTATAGTAATATCAAGGAGAACTTTCTAGTGATATCTTTCAACATGGGAAAATATTATGAAGATAAGATAGCTCAAAGTGTGCTCACAAATAAAGTTCCAGCGCGTTTTGGTGCTCACGAAAAGCCTGACTTAGAGAAACTTCACGATGCCTCAAAATTCTCTCAAGCTACATGTTATCAGAAATTTTCAGATTAAAATATATTTTCAGTCACTTGTCTTTGAGAAGAGCAGCAAAGTGAAAGAGTGAGTGTGAAGATAGAAGGAAGAGTTTGGGAAAATCGAGAAAAAACACACACACACACACAAAACATAGAAAAACGTTGAGGGGAAAAGCCTCAGCTGCTCGACGTGCACAACTGAATTTTCGTTTTTTTTTCTTCTCATTTTTTTGCCTTCTTGTGTTGAAGGAATTCTGGTCAAAAAGACAAGAAAAGATAGATGGGATAATAATAATCTAGGTTTTTTTTGAGATAGAAATAAATTGTGTAACAAAAATAAAATTTTAGAAAAAAAAAGATTGAAAGAAAACATTTTGGTGGTCGTTGATAAGATATGGTTTTCAGAGAGATTTTTTGAGAAGTTTGCTAACCTAACTTGAATTTTGTGTCACATGAAACAATACAATCGATAACAAACTATTTTTTCTATCATTAACAAAAAATAAACAAACAAATATAGTAGTATACATTTGAGAGATGAATGACCCTGAACAATAAGTTTTAGATAGAAAAAAATAAAAATTTGAAAGAAACAAAAAGAAATCTGCTCTAGAGTTTTTTGTCTTGTTCACAAATGAACGCAGAAAAAAATGAAAGAGGAGGAGAAGAAAAAAAAACAACAGGGGTAAATAAAATAGAAATAAATGGCAGGGACGGAGAGTGCAATGGGGCGCATATTCTTGAATGACACTTTTGTTTCATGGTTGAATGGGGAATTTTTGAAAAAAAAACTGAATGTGAGATAAATTGGTTGGAGTGGTAGAGGAAAAGAGGTCAAAGTTTTGTTGGAACATAGAAAAAAATTGGATAAATATTTGAGAAAAATGTTTTTGATGTGTTTTGATTTTTTTTCTCTGAAAATTAAAAAAAAAATATTTTCCCTATGAAGAAACACTTTTTAGAATATTTTGTAAAAATAATATGTTTTTGATTAGAGACAACGTGAAACTGAGAGAGTCCAGACAGAACATCAATTTTTGAAAATTGAAATACCATTTTTGTCATTTTTCCTGAACAGAGTATAAAATCAAATTTCTAACACAAAAAAATATTGGTCCACATTTTATTCAGAAAAGTATCACCGGATTTAAAGAAAATTCCAATTTTAGCTAAATTTTGAATTTTGCCAGAAATATTTTTGATTGTTTTGAGAACGTTTTTTTTTCACATTTTCCCGAATGCTCATAAATTTAACAAATTCATGAAAACGAAAAAAAAAATGATTGAAAATTTATTAGTTTATTGATTGAATATAACGAAAAACCAGGACCACGAAAAAACCACACAAAATGACAAAACTTAAACATATTGCCTATAATCAGAAGTTCTTTTGTATTCTTCTAATGATTTCAAATTGACAGGTCTTCTGAAATTGACTTCAGCATAAGTGTAGGAGGAAACCATTGCTGCGATCCATGTGAGCCACTGGAAAAAAGTTTGATTTTTTGCAAAATTTCTGCGTTTGTTGCCTTTTTTCATATGTTTTTCTCACATTCAGAATTTGATTATACTATGTAGCAGTCAGAAAAAAATCTTCTGACTCTTCTGACTATTTTCAGGTAATTCTGACTTTTAGAGATTGGTTCTGACTTGTTCTGAATAAATGTTTTTATCCCACACAAATTTACTTTTGTTTGAGTTTTCCATTTGCGTCCAACAACACGAATTGCCAAATAATATCCTAAAGCAGCAAACAATCCACGTTGTATACGTAACCTGAAAATTAATCAGATGAGATGTATGAATTTTGAAAGTCTTGGGGAACCAGGATCGCTCTAAATGGTCTAATCAGATTTGGACTATATTTTCAGATGGTTTTTTAAAATTCTCATTACTGAAAATGTAGTCACCCTGATCTTTACCTTTTTCAGAAAATTCTGGGCCTAATGCTCTCGAACAGGTTTAATTCAATAACCAACCTGTTCAAATTTCTTCTTGCGTTGTGAACATTATCAATTTTCTCTTTGAGAATATACTTTTTGATACCCATAACATAATCGAATAAATATGATTCCCAATTCAAAGTACGAATATCAAAGTTATATGTGTTTTTGTCTTCCGTTGACATTTTTGTGATAAGTTGTGGTAAACCTTTTGCATTAAATTGCCATCCACGAGTTGTGAAGAAATGAAGGGCTTCGATCATTTTCCAAATTTTACCATAAAGTCGAACATTTCTAAACAGGTTTGGTTTGGTTTTTTTTTTCATTTTCTAAAAAAATTGAACTTACGTTTGTTTTTTGCCAATAAGTCCGTAGATTACATCCAAAATTTTCGCGGGAATTTGATGTTTCAAATAATAATTCACCAAAAACCATTTTCTAGATTGATGGAATTGTGTAGATGGAACACCATAACATTCCAACATTGGATACTGTAAACTTTTTTGTTAGGGAAAAAAAGTTCAAAAATCTTTAAGAAAAAAAATACCTTTTTGTAAAATTGTTCCAAGAAAATGACAACAGTTTCCCAATATAAAGGATTGAGTTCACCAGATGAGCAATGAATAATTGGGATATGGTCGAAAGATTCGGAAGCACGGTATCCTGCGGCAACAATGATCATATTGGCAACAACATCGACTGGAATGATATCGGCTTTTGATTCGACACTTCCACACATGTTTGTGAGAACTCCTTTTCCGACCTGGAAATGTTTGGGATGATTTTGAGGTTGAAATATTTGGGGACTATTGAATTTTGTGAAAATTTGTATATATTTAGATTTCGCAAAAACTTTTTTTTATTATTCCGATTCATTCTGTATGTATTTTAAGTTGTTTTTTCATTAACAATAAGAAATTAATTTATCATATGTTCCATCATTTTTTGTGCTCATTCCTCGCAGCCTTATTTTCTGACTAAAATCTACCCTGATACTTCTGACAGTTTTCACTTCAAAAATTGATAAACAATCGTCTAATCAGTTTATTATTATTTCCCAATCCTAAACAAATTCTCACTGTTTTTTGCTATCGATTAATACCGGTCTCTCAATTCTTTTTTTTTTGATAGAGCAATCTCTAAATTCTTTTCTTTTGTTGCTCTTATCAATTTCCGTCCGAACTTTTTTCTCGGCAAAACTTTCTCCGATTTCTTGTGACTGTTCGCAAATCAATCAATCATGTGATCAAACTAACCGCTGTGAAAATTCCAGTTGGCCCATTGATATTATCAGTCCATCCTGGAAGTGGTCCACCCCACATTGCACCAACAATTGATGGGCGAATGATAATAACTGGCAAGCCAGATGAATCGACTTCCATTTGAGTTTCAGCCAAAGCTTTTGTCAATGTATATGTGTTTGGACGAGCTCCAAGAAGTTTCGGAGTAATTTTGCTCAAGTCTTCATCATCCATCCAAGTCAAAGCATCCATCAATTTTTGTGGAGCAACTGGGGGAGTATAAATCTACAAAAAACATCAGAATGAATCCAGATATCATAAAATACCTCCTCCGCAGTTTCAAAACGATCACAATTTGCATAAGCAGTTGAAACATGAACAAATGAAACAAGCTTATTAATTTTATGACAAAGTGCAATCATTCTAGTTGTACCAGTAACATTCATATTAACTGCGGTTCGAAGATGTTCGTCGAATTTAACTGTGGCAGCACTATGAATAACGATGCTAACCTGGAGAAGATTTATGAATTAGATTTCTAGAAAGGGAATGCTTACTTCATCGCAAATAGCTTTCAAATCGTGTGGTTGAATTCCTAAATTTTCTTCCATCATATCCCCAGAGATTGGGATGATTTTTTCGAATTGATGTGGCTTGTTTTCATGGAGACGGCCAAAGAGAGGATCCTGAAATATTTTTTAAGGTCGTGGTTTCAAAAGGTGCAACTTGTATTCTGAATTTTTGATACGTAGAAAATGAATGCCTATACAGATTCTATAGCAAGTAACATAGACTAGAAATCCTAGTTGTCAAGAAGCCGCACCTAGAAAGTTCAATCAGCAAGGGTCGCAGCATAGAGCTACCGCGAATGTTTGCAAAAAATAGTCCAGGGTAAAAATACTCACATTCAACATGTGCACCAAACGCTCCTGAGCCTTTTTCCCTTTTTGATCTCGAATAATAACATAAATTCTCTCAATATCATCAATCGTCCACAAAAGTTTTTCAACAATCACTTTACCAAGAAATCCAGTAGCGCCAGTTAGAAGAACCGAACGACCGGAGAAGACTTCTCTCACTTGAAAAGTCATTTTTTACCTGCAAAAAAACGCGCTGAATATTTCGAAAAGGCACAAAAAATGAGGGGAAATGAATGAAACAAGAAAGAAAATGAGAGAATTGTTCGATAAGAAAGGGGTGAAGATAAAGTTGGAAGATTACAAGAAATAAATGAATGATGGACGTTTTTTCCAGAAATACCTTGAATTTTAAACTTAACACTAAAGTATTTTTATGAGTACTTAAGACGATTTATATGGTAATTTCAGACCCTAAAAAAATTCCAGTTACTGCGAAAAAAAGTGTTATCTTATCATGGTCCCAGACGAGACATAAACAATTGAGCAGCATTGTAGAGAAGAGAAAAATTAGTCATGTGAACTCTTATTGGGTTCATAGTAGACTATATAAATCGGAAAATGTTCTTTCTTTATTTCTCAGGGGGGTCAATGTACATGTGCATATCAGCACATTATACACTATCAAATAATGATCACGCCATTTGCAAATCAAAAAAAAATTATTTCACACCTGCTGTTTTCACTAACACCAAAATATAAGTAAGACAAAAATCATTTTGAAAAAAATACAAATACTACTAGAGTGTACTCAAAAATATGCACTGATTATGATGTTGATTAAAATAGAAATAAAAAATTTTGACGATGTCAACAAAAATTTTCGAAATTGTGGACGTGATTTATTATTTTATCAGTTACGTGATTTTTAATTATATTCATGATTTTTGTAGACGAGATGCTTGATAATGTTAATCTCTTTGAAAAACAATAAAAATGTAGTTTTTTTGTTTGGGATATTAGCCGACACCAGAAATCAAATGGATTTCTCATTTTTGAGAAAATATTGAGCCTGATTGGTTGAAAAAAATGTGATTCATTTGTCAATTTTATACATAGTTTGACAGTTTTATGAGGTGGAGCAGGGAACAAAAAAAATCTGGAAGTTGTAAAGATAATTTGTTTATGATTTGGAACTCAAAGAACAATGTATCATAAATCTGAAACAAAAAAAATTTTTTTGGAGCACAACTTTATAGCTCTGCAATTAGATTTTTGCTCAGGTCAAGATTATTTTTTCAGAATCCCAAACGATCACCGCAATTGATTTAAGTGAAACTCAAAAATCAATTTTCAGCTGGATTTTAAGAATCTCTTGTCTTGTTAATTAATGCTCCTTAAAAAATCCACCTCGTACTAAAAACAATTTTTCATAAAAGCGGATTAATTTTTAAACTTTCTCCATGTTGTTTTACGTCAGAATAAGAACTTTGCTGATAAACAAAACAAGATTTCCGCGAACAAATCCACTTATAAAATTTATCCTGATAAACAATCCCTGAAAATCGAATCCCTTTTTAATATGAACATATGAAAAATAATTCAATTTTTTCAGAAATCTGTTTATTTATTATGAGCAAGAATAAACTTTCAGAGTTTTTTTTGTTCAATTTCACTATGATCCATTTTTTTCTTATTGAAAATTCGTTTTTTTCTTATTGAAAAAATGACAACTCTAACAATAAATAAATTGTTTATAATATAATATTTTCCAGAATCCGAACTCTTTCTTCCCCATTTCAAACTGCTTTGCACTCTACTTCCCTTTCCCACCACCTTTCTTCTGTTTTTCTGGAAAAAATCGTTCATGGTTTTTTTTGTTGAGAAAATGAATAGAGAGTGCAGAAAAATACAATACACCTCGTGTTCTTTTTTTCCTGCTAGAGACTTTTTTGAGTCACGTCTACCTACCTAAAAAATGACAATTTCCGCACTAACTTCCGTACTTCGTCATAGTTTCTTTTTCTTTTTTTCCAAAGAAAAAAACCGCATATTAATTCCAATTTTTTTCAAATTCAAATCCGAATTTCCAGCTTATCAAGTAATCTTATATATATAAATCCTGCCTCTCATTTTTTCTTGAAAATGTCTGATATGGATTTTTCTGCTGACATTGAGAGGATTATCGTTTCTGGATAGATGTATGTATATTAGTTTTTTTGCTGTTTTGTTTTTGATTTTGTTTGCAGATGATGAAAAATATGTTTTTTTTTTCTTCTTCAGTAAAGAAACACATTGTCTTTCTTTCAAACAACACATTTTACCTAATTAGGAAGAAAAAGCATTTTTCTAGAAAAATAGAGATTTTATAGTTTTGGAACTATATATTTTTATATTTCGCAATGTTTTTCTAACGCAGTTAGGATAGAAAAAAGTGTCCAATAAAAATGAATCATTTCGAAGAAAAACCATCTTGAAAATTGGAAACCGCAGCTAGAGAAAATGTGAATTTCTGAATTACGAGGTTTTTTTTTAGCTTTTTTGATAATTTTGAATTCAAGTTTATAATTGTGAGAAAATTTAGAATTTATGATATGGCTTTGAAATTTTCGATAACTTTTTCGAAACGAATCGAAAATTTCAAAGAAAAAATAAAGAGAATTTTATTTTTCAATTTCAAAGCTTTCAGAAAATCTGTAGTTTCATCAAAAATCTTTTGAAAGCCCAACAATTTGGATTGAAATTTTCAGTATTTTGAAACTTAATACTATTTCAAGTGACCAGAGCCCAATAATTGTCCAGTCTCTCCAAAAAATCTAATCTCTAGAACATTCCCAAAATCCTCATAAATCCAAATAAAAAAGTTTCAAACTTTTTCAAAGTTCATTTTTCACATAAAAATATCTGAAAATAATGTTATGTGTTTTGTTTTTTTTTGTTTCTCATCTTATTTTGTTTCATCTTCTTCTCCTTCTTTCTCTAACTGTTTTATCTGCAAGACGAAAAAATGTCCTGTTTATTTTTGTTGATTTGTTTTGTTTTTCGTTTTTTTAAGGACAACATTTCTATTTGTTCAAATCAAATTGTGTACGGTTTTTTGTGGATATATTTATTATGATGTATTTTTTTTCTTCTTGATTTTTCTGACTCAAAACACATTCTGGAAGTTTTATTTTGCTACTAGAAAATTCACAATTTACGGCTATTCATGAAAAATACACTTTTTCTACCTACCTACCTACCCCAAAACCAACACAATAACAACAAAATTCAGCACTTTTCCAACCAAATTTTCATTTTCAGTTCTATTTTCAGCCAAAAATTTGTAGGATTAATCCAGTTGATTTTTTTTTTGAGATGACGAAAAAATTATATACATATTGTCGTTGAAAAATAATAGATAGCACCTTGTTTTTGTTATTTTTCGACATTTGTTTTAGCAATAAAATTAATTTTTTGGTTTCTTTGGTGAGTTCAAAGCACTATCCAATTTCCTCCATAGTTTTTTTAAGATGGAAAAATTTTGGCTGCAAAATTTGCATCTGAATGAATGACATCTGCAGACCACCATTTTCTTTGTGGGTGGTTTTTTTTCTGGCTGATGGATTCAAATGGCTTATTTCTTTCAGCAAAGACTTTCGTTTTTTGAATTTTTCTGGCCACCCACGACGTTTGAACTTTTCGAAATTGAAATCATGATAAATTGTGTTGCTGACAATTTTTTCGTATAGTTCTTTCCAAAAATATTTCCTGTATGACATCTGCACTCCAGATCTTCTCTTGTCAACACATCTGGACTAAAACTGTCCAAAAATAAGTGGATCAGAAAATTAATGTATATTTTATTTTTTGGACATTTTATTCCAGGATTTCTGGTTTTTTCTTTCAATTTAAAAGCAAGTTTTCGGCTCAAAATTTCAGTTCATAGCTGAAACTGTTCAGAAAAAAACGTAATTCGATGAGGAATTTATAAACTTCCTCATCCATATCATATATTACCTAAACACGAGAGTTGATCAGAAGACCACCCACGACGTTTGAACTTCTCGAAATTCAAATCATGATAGTTTGAAAAGCTTTAAAAAAATATGCTGATAATACCTTTTTCTCGTAGTATTTTTCTGATCTTCTATTTTATGTTTTCCGAAAAACAAAATTTTCCAGAATTTTTAAAAACTGTAAACTTTTCACATTTTAAATTCAGTCTCTGCATGTATTGCTAGAGCATTTTTTGACCTCCCATCTCATTCTATTCATCTGTGAACAACAAATATTTCAAACTTTTTTTTTTGCAAACTGCAAATAAAAAGTTTAATTCGAAACCCATCCATTTTTTCCTGTCTCCAATTCGTTTTTTTTCACATCGATAAATTTTTTCGCCGTCGCCGCTGAAAACGAACGAAGAAAAAAAAAAATAAAAAATTAGAATAATCCACCTCCTAAGCTCCGCCTACAATCTTGCCATCAATCCGTTTTTCTCTGTTCAGTTTCTCATTTGCCTGCCCATTTTTTTCACACCTTACATGAAAAAAGTTGCGAGTTTTGTGGGGTGACCAGAGTTCATGAAAACGAGGCAAATTTCCAAAAATGGATGGGACAACCTAATTATTCTACTTCCTTATACTTCTTTTTTTGTATCGCTTTTTTTTCTTTTTTTTTTTTGAAATAATTCAAAATGAATTCATTATGATATCAAATTTCTCGAAAAAAATGAAATTTTATTTACTTATTTATATGTATGTATTTTTAAGTTTCAGATTTCAATATATTTTTTTTGTTTCAAAAATAGTAAATAGTACATAAAAAGTGTCAAAAACACAACCCTTTAGAATAATCAAATATTCATTTTCTTTCATTCAATTTTTCCTCATTTTCTTTTTTTTTCTCATAATATGTTTGTGACTGGTTAAAACAAATGACATTAATCGGCCAGCGCCAATATATTTTTCTGATGATGTAAAGGAATTAGATTTTGTTTCGCTTGCTTGAATAAATCTCGACTTTTGACTTACGCCCAAACATTTCTCTAGTTCCTCGTTTTTATTTCAGAATGAGCAGCACACCATGCGCAGATCCGCCTTCTGTTTCTGCTCTTTTATTGGATGGTCCCATCTCATCATTGGTTATTATAGCTGGAATTATTGGTAATATTTATTCGTTGAAACAATTGTTTTCTCGATCGATTAATACTGCAATGTTAGTTTCGCTAACTGGATTGGCTATTTGGGATATTGTAAGTTATCTGAAGAAAAAATATATATGACGGAAAAAATCTAAAAATAGATTCATGAGAAAATCTTGAATGTTATTTTCTTGGAAAACTATTATAAGATTTCTTTAAAATTGCAAATTTGCCCAGGTTTCTGATTATGAGAGATCTGGATTATTACTGAAATAGAAATTAGTTTGAAAAATTGTCTCTCTAGGCGCTGGCTAGGCTTGGGCACTTGATAAAAACGTTCTCAAGGCGCCGCTTCTTGTCAATGTAGGAGTCCAGATGTGGATCCTATACAAATAGTCTTACAAGATGCGGCTGCTTGAAAACTGGGCTCTCTGAGCGCTGATCCTTGACGATTGAATTCTCTAGGCGCGACTACTTGAAAACTAGGATTTCTAGGCTTGGCTACTTAACATCTCAAGGCGCGGCTCTGGTGACCTTCTAAGTTTAGGTGTGGAGTGTAAAAAATTATGCTTTCAATTTTTCAGAAAATTTGAGCTCATAATGCTCAAATATTCTTGTCAGTGTTTTTGTGATCATTGAGCCGACATTTTTGCATACGAAATTAAGTTCATCTGAACTTGCAAACACATCATTTTCCCTCGCGAATTCCATTCCACTTCCACTTTTTTCTATGTCCATGTGCATATTCAATAAAGCTCGAAATAAATATTGTTTTCTCACGGTTCTACGAAAATCACCTAGGAGTTTTCCGAAAAAAAAATCTCAAAATGTTCTTCCTAAAACAAAACACAACAATAAGAATTTCAGGTCTTGTTGATTGCCGCATTCTTTCATCACGCACTTTGGGCAACACTTTTCTACTTCAAATTACGCGATGAGCCGTGGGATGCTCAATTAGTTGCACTAAACGGACTTGTCGAATGCGGTCACATTACATCGGTATGTATCATATTTATATCCAATTTTTGATTAGTCATAGCTGAAATTTCAGACATGGATGCTAATTGAGGTGACTGCCGAAAGATTTTTCGCCGTTACTCGACCATTCCATTTCCCGCCAGTACATCGGAAACAACGAAGAAAGAGTTATGCAAGAGTTGTTGGAGGTCAAAACAAAAATGTTTTTTGACATTTTTATAACCCGATACATTTCCAGGTCTCATAAAAACACCATTAATGATGACGGCTTTGGCATGTGTTATTACTTTACCATGCTCCTTTGAATATGACTTACAAACATGCACGCGTAATGATATTCAGTATCAAGAGGTAATGAGCAAAAAAATAGAAAAATTAATATCCATTTTTTTATTAATCTTTATTAGAAAGAATTAGAAAAATGATGATTAACTAGATCAAATCAAAAGAAAGAAAGAAAAATAAAATAAAAAGAAAGAAATCTGTCTCAACAAAGATTAAGAAAAGATTTACAATGATTCTTTTTTCTTCAGAAAAGGCCAACATCTTTGATGAATAATAACTCATATCGACTCTTCTATCGAGCAATTTTCCTGTCTGTTAGTAAAACATTTGGGCCATTTGTGATTATTACACTTTTGACTGTTTCAACACTTCGAAGCATGCGGAAAAGTATGGATAGTCGGGCATCGATTTTGATTGCTCAAGGGCAAAATCACTTGTTTCAAGCGGATCGAGATAAAACTAAAAGCTTGCAGGTAACATTTTTGAGAGCCAATTCACAAAAAAAAAATTTTAGCGCTCTGATTTTACTTGATCTCAAATTTTAGGCTATCTCAATAATGCTCCTTGGAAAATTTTTGCTTTTACGCTGCTGGCCAACCGCTCTGGCTCTAGTTCAGGTAACTTTTTCTCACATTTACAAACAGTTATCTCAAATCACCTCCTCATAAATTATTTTTCAGATGTTTGTTGAGCAAAATGGCAAGAAGAATAGTTTCGACATCTCGCATTTCTTCCTTCTCCTCAATTCGGCTACAAATTCCTTTGTTTTTGTTGTAGTTAAATCGGCTTTTGAAACTAGAAGGTTTATAATTCTATATCTAGAAGCAAATAATACAGATTTCGAAAGTTTTTCAGGTTGAAACGTATCCGTCAACGTCAACGTGAATTGGTTGCACAACACGCTGAACAAGTTTTATGTATTGGAAAAGCGTTGGCTGGTGACAAGATGTTCCTTTTGCCCGATATGGAATGTGAACCCTCTTCTCCAGACGATGAATCATATGAACTTCAGCCGATGATGAAAACAACAGCTACAAATTCAACGAGTTCAAATCCTGTGTAGATTATTTTTTCTCATATTTTTTTCTTTTGTAAGATCTCCAAACTAATATAATATAGAACATTTTTCAAACATATCTTGTTCAATTTTCCGGGCATTCCTTCCTTCCTGTTCTTTATTTTATTTTATTTTCTTCTCAAAAATTCCTGCCAATTTTCCAGGATCTCTTCTTCTTCTTTTTTGAAAACTTGTTAGAATAAAATTATTTATTTATAACAAAACTAATCAAATCAACCGGAATTGGTATCACTATTGTATGATTATCAAATGCAGATATTTTTGTTAACGATTGCAGATATCTTAATTGCAAAGCTGTTGGTGAACCAGCCAATTCATCTGTGTGGCGGACCAATCCCAAGAGATTGCTCCGCCCAGGAAGCTCCGCCCAAAGGAGCAGCGCGGGAGCGCGTGGATGAAGTGGCCAGATTATCGAGCGCCCCTTGTTGGCTAGCGACAAGGACCACCGAGCGGAATCAGGTTAGTTTGGGTTTAGTAGTAAGAGATCATAGGATCACCAAGTAGTGAAGAGGTAGTAGCTACGGTGACCTACATTGGTGCATCGACCGGATCAAAAACCGGGTCAATCGAAAGCCAGTGGAACTCCGAAGGAACGAAGATCCTGCTAATCGGTAGGTTACCAGTGAAATCGAGTCGGGAAGTGGCAGTGAGCGACGAGACACTGGGGCAACCTTGAAGGTAAGCAAGGCGTCTTTCTTGGGCTAATTTTGTTCCCCTCTTTGCTTCAAAAATTTTTCAAGCAAAAATTTGTGTTTGTCAGTTTTCGTCTTTTGTTTTTGTCTTTTGGGTCCCAGGTTACAAATCAGAAGTCCCATCTGATTTGCCAAATCGTTCTGGTATTTTACCAAAACGAACCAACCACCCGAAGGTGAAGAATACTGGCATTAGCCAAAGACAAATCAAAACCCACCATTCGGTGAAGAAATCTGGCAAAGCCAAAAAAGAAATCCAATCTCTGGAAAATATTCGAATATCTCAAATTATTCCTTGTTGAAAAGTATCCACTTATCCAAACTTTCAACAAATTTATTCACTTATTTTACTCAACCTAGAGTTAATCAATTCATTTATTCAAGAAAATAAACAAAATTCAAAAAAAAAATGGATCAAAAAACAATTTCTGAAATTCTTTCTGTCTGCAGCAATGAAACAGTCAGACTCAAAATCAAAATAATCACAAAATTAGAAAAATTGAGCACCAAATATTCGGAACCGTTCAAATGGGACAAATCTCAACCTGAAAATGAAGAAGTTATGAAATTGCAATATGAAATAATCAAATCCGAAGTTTTAGAAATGAAATCAGATTTCGAAGAAATGAAAAAGATCTATTCAAAGTTATCAGAAATGTTAGAAATTTTGGATAGAGATGATCAAAAAGAAGCAACCAATATTGAGCTTCAAAACCAAAAAGAAGCACAACAACAAGCTATCACAGTATCCGAAAAGAAACTCGTATATATGAGATTAAGACACAATGAACTGTTGGAAGCTTTCACCAAAAATTCTCTAGCAAATGAAGAACTTGAAGCAATTGATATAAAAATCTCAAAAATGGTCGATATGAGTAAACTCGATGATATTTTCGCCCAAATAAAAATCCAAAAAGGAGATCAAAAACCAATAGTAAAAACTGAAAATGAAAGAACTACTGAAAATTCAGGTCAAAATCCTAGTCAAATTACCATTAAAAACTCAACTAATGAAAATGAAGAAAATATGGAAAACCCAAAAAATGAAGAAAACATTGAAAACCCAAAAAAAGAAGAAAATAATCAAGAAAAAACTGAAAATTCAACAAAAAATCAAGAAAAAATCGAAAAAATTGAAAAAACACAAAAAGATGAATCAAATAATGGAAATGAAAATCCTAAACATTTTTATAACACTGGAAAATTTTTGCTTAAAAAGGATATAATAGAAATTCCGCCATTTGACGGAAAACCTGAAAATTTCTCAACTTTCATTGAACTATTCGAAAATTTAGTCGATAAAGATAAAGATATGCCAAATGTGCTGAAATTTGCTGCTCTAAAAAGTCTGACAACAGATACTGCAGCAGAACAAATCGCAAGATATCCAGGAGATGGAAGCCTCTATGAGGAAGCCTTGCAAAAACTGAAAACAATGTTCGGAAGTGTCAACAGACAATATACAGCCATCTGGGAAAACATCAAAAAATTGAAACCGGCCAAAAATGATGTTGTTTCTTGTAGAAGAGTTCTCAACGATTTAGCAATTTCTATTCAGAAATTGAAGAGACTTGGTTTTGAAACAAATGGATTGCCGTATCTGGCTGAAATCAAAAGCAAACTTCCAAGAAATCTGTTATCCGAGGTCGTAAAAAAGGAAAGAAGATTACCAAATCAAAGATTTGGAAATGTTTCTGAATTGATCGATTTCATAGAAGAATTGATAATAACTCAAGAAGAAATTTCAGCAGCCAGCCAAATATCGGATACAGTAACCCTTGATTCAAATATTTTCAAAACTCAAACAGAAGAAAAAACAATAAATCAAAGTTTCGCAAGGGAGCAAGGAAGGAGTAGCCGACGGGACTACGGTAACCGAGACAATAGTCATAAATCAAGGATGGAGAACTTCTATAGAAAGAGAAGCAACACCCCGTACTATTCAAATAATAAATCAGAGCCAGATGGCTACAAAAACAGAAGCGACAGCAGAAACAGATATGAGAGAAGAGAAGGAAGCAAAAGATCAAAAAGTTGGGACAAAAGATCATATGACAGAAGTAGAAGCTGGCACAGAAGTGGCAGCCGAAACAGAAGTCCAGAAAAATACAACAGAGAGAAAAGATGGGAAAGAGATGGAAAAGCAAGATTTGATAGAAGTTATTCGAAAGATCGAGACTATCGAAGAAATTCCAATTCGAGAAATCGAGAATATTCGGGATCGAGAGAAAGGCGTTTCTCAAGAGACCGAAAATTTTCAAAAGAATCAGATAGAAACATTGAAAAAAGAGATGACAGATCGAGATCAAACAGTAGAAACAGATATGTGAAATTTGAAGGAAAAGGCAAAGAATTGAAAACTCGTCAATTTAAAACATCTGCAAATGGCAACAATTTGTTGATTGCACAAGTGAAAATCCAAAAAGATCAAATGTCGAAAGATCAAGAAGAAGCAAACATTCTGCTTGACACAGGTTCAGACACAACTTTCATAAAATCATCACTTGCAAAGAAACTGAAATTGAAAATTCTGAAAAAAGGAATCAAATTAAAAATCACACATTTTGGAAACACAGATAAATCTCATGTGTTGAGCAACAAGGTAGAATTGACTATTCTAGCTAACAACAAATTTTTCGAGATTCAAGCTTACACAGTTGATCAAATAACAGAAGAAACAAGAAAAACACAATTATCCAAAGACGATATCAAATATCTAGATGATCAACAAATTTACAATTTTTCAATAAACAAAAATCAAGAACCAGATCTGTTAGTCGGTCTCGACTACTTATTCGATATTACAAAAAATATTCGAACAAGAAAACTACCATCTGGTCTAACTCTAATAATATGTGCACTTGGTAATTCGATATGTGGTAAAAGACATGACGAAGAAAGTGATGAATTGGAAATATATTTGAGTAAAACAGAGGAAGAAGAACTTGAAAAAATGTTTTTCCTCGAAGAAACTCATAGAGAAGAATTGGATTATAATGATGATGCTATCAGAAAAGAATTTGAAAACACTGTAAAAATGACAGATGAAGGAATATGTGTCAGATGGCCATGGAAACCATTTGGCAAAGAACAACTCGGAGACAACCGAGAAGTCGCCTATCGCAGATTGGTGAATATGGTACAATCCAAGAAAAGTGCTGAAAAATTGAAATCAATGAGAAAAATATTAGATGATCAATTAGAAAGAAGGTGTATAGAAGAGATATCTTTGGAAGAGATTGAAAATTCTCGACAACCTGTTTATTATATGCCAATCCAATTGGTCAGAAATGAAAATTCTGAAACATCAAAAGATCGTATTGTTTACGATGGTTCTAGTAAAAAGAAAGGAACAAAGTCTTTGAACGAATGTTTGGCTCAAGGTCCAGTTTCAATTCCTAAAGTTCATGGAATAATTCTGAAAGCAAGAACATCTAATTTGGTATTGACAGCAGACGTTGAGAAAGCGTTCCATACGCTAACACTTCATGAAGATGATAGAAATACAACTTTGTTCATGTTTTTGCGAGATATAAACAAACCACCAACAAATGAAAATATTATTATCTACAGATTCAGAAAAGTACCATTTGGAATAATTTCCAGTCCATATTTATTGAGCGAATCAATAAAATTTTTCTCAAAGAGATTCTGTGAAAATGAAAAACTTGAGAAATGCATTGAAAACTCGCTGTACGTAGACAATTTGTTTTGTTTCCTACAGGAAAAATCTGAAATTGAATCAATGTACCATGAATCAAAAAAGTTTTTCAATGGACTCCACATGAATTTACGTGAATTTGGAATAAATAGAGAGAAGCTCGAAGGAATTGTGAAACCAGAAGATTTGTCAAAAAGCAAAGAACACCAAAAATTGTTGGGGTATTTGTGGAACACAAATAAGGATACTCTTAAAGTAAAAACCATCAAAAATCTCAAAAACAAACAACCGTCGAAAAGAGACGCAATTGGAGTATTAAGTAGTGTTTATGACCCCCTTGGATTCTTTGACCCATTGACAGCACAAGGAAAATTATTGATACCAGATGTCTTCAAAACAAAAGGCAAATGGGAGACAAAAATAAGTATTGAAGCTCATAATGCAATAAACGAATATTGCGAAAAGTTATCAAAGATGAATATGGAGGTACCACGAAAATCAGTGGAATTCAATAAAAATGATATTTATGAATTGAACATTTTCTCAGATGCATCCGAAAAATTATTTGCAGCTTGTGTTTATTTAGTCATCACAAATTCCAAAGGAAAAAAGACAGTACAATTTTTGATGGCAAAACAAAGATTGTCCGGAACAAAGAAAACAGTTTCAATGCCTAAATTGGAACTAGCAGCTCTAGAAATGGGTGCAAAATTAGCGGAATTGTGCATCGAAGAACTAGATATAAAAATCAAAGAATGTATTTTCCATTCAGATTCAAAAATTGCTCTGCATTGGCTCAAAAAACCAGAATTAAAACAAGTTTTTGTAGAAAACAGAGTTGAATCAATTAGAAAGACATCTGTCAAACTAAATGAATTGAAAATCAAAAATTCTTTCCGATACGTCAATACTCATGAAAATCCAGCTGATCACAGCACCAGAGGAATTCAAGATATTGAAATGTTAGAAAAGAGTAATTGGTTGACAGGGCCAGAATGGTTGAAATCAGACAAAAGTGAATGGAATGATGAACTTATCATTGAATCAAATGAACTATTCCAAAAAGTTAAAGTTGTAAAAGTTAACAAAATCGAAGTCAAAGTCGAAAAAGATTGGACTTCATTCACAAATAATTGGGAAAAAATGAAAAGAACAACATCAAATATTCTAACTTTTATAAACAAAGTTATTCTACCAAAAGTATCAACAGAAAACAAGAAGAAACTCCTGAAAAATATTCCAGAATTACAAATCTTTCAAAAGAAAGAGTCAACAAGAAAAATGAAACATGATGCAGCCGAAAGAGCAATCATTCGGTACCATCAGAAAAAAGAAGAAATTGTTGAAAATGGAAAAGAAGGATTAGTGAAAAAAGATGATATTGTTTACAAGAAAACAAGACTAGAAAATGCACTAAATGGAAAAAATATCCAGATGCTAATTGCAATGAAAGGCAATTCACACATCTCAAAAGCAATTATTGAACATTATCATGAAAAATATGGACATTGTGGCGTGAATGCAACAATGGGACAAGTGCAAGAAATGTTCTGGATGACAACTCTAAGGAGAACTGTGAAAGATAAACTGAAAAAATGTGCAACGTGCAGAAAACTAAACAGCTTGCCATATGAATATCCACAAGCACCTCATCTTCCAAGAGATCGGGTTACAGAAACAAGTCGAGCTTTCGAAAATTGCGCAACAGATTTCTGTGGTCCTTTCTTAACAAGAAATGACAACAACAGGATGAAAAAAGTATTTATTTGTTTATTCACATGCTCCACTTCACGAGCAGTTCATTTAGAAACAACTGGAAGTCTATCCACCCAAGAATTACTTCTGGCACTTACTAGATTTGTAAGTCGTCGAGGAGTGCCAAAAATAATGAGATCAGACAATGGATCGTCATTTGTGTTAGCAGCAGAAATATTAAATCACAATGTTCCAACCAAGGAAAACTTACAAAAATTGCAAAACGAAGCAGAAAAAATCGGAATCGATTGGAGATTCAACACAGCAGCTGCTCCTTGGCAAGGTGGAAATTTCGAAAGATTAGTCGCACTAGTCAAAAAAGGACTTAATACCTGTATTGGAAAAAATATAATTGGAAGAGAAGTTTTTGAAACTACAGTTACAAGAATCGAAAAAATCATTAATGAAAGACCAATAACAGTGGCATCAAATGAAACTAATTCAAATTCTTGGGATCAAATTATCAGACCTATCCATTTGATATGCCCGAAATGGGAAATGAAAGAGTTGAATATTCAAACTGATTCTCAAGAATATGACGAGTACACCAGCTGGATAAAAAGCTGTGACTCATATGTAACAAAGTTTTGGAAAATCTGGAAAAATGACTATATTTTGAACAATGATTATCTGAAGAAACAAATCAAGCTAAAAGGAGCTAAAAATCAAATCAAAATACCCAAAGAAGGAGAAATAGTTCTGATAAAAAATGACAACCAGAAAAGGAAAGAATGGAGAATGGGAATAATAACAGAAGTGATAGAATCGAGAGACGGACAAATTCGATCCGCAAAAGTGAAAATGAATAATTTAAGAGGAAAGAAAATAATTACTCGACCAATAAATTTATTGATACCATTAGAAATCAGATGCACAGAAAAAATCGAACAAGAAAAAGAACAAACCGAAGAGAAGAAAGAACAAAAACAGAAAAAAAGAAAAAGAACTGAGGAAAGAAAGACAAACACAAGAAAAAGTTCCAGAAACAAGAAAAAGTACACGGATAAATAAAGGAATAATCAAAAAGTCACACTTATTATTGACAATCTTAACTTTGGCGAATCTACTACAAATGTCATCAGCAAGATTACTACAATCAGCTCCATCAAAGTTGAAGTTGCCAAGACTTCAACGGCCTGGTGCCCCCTCAAAAGATTTCTTTGTCCGACAAGGCTATAAACCAAACGCAAAAGAAAAAGAAAACGTCAATCAAAAAGAAAAAGAAGTTCTAACATCACAAAACATAAATCATAAAACAAAAGCCTTTATAATATGCACAAAGTACGGCGCTTTGTTGATAGACAAAGAGTTGGACCCTCAATCAGAGTACACAGTGTGTGCCGAAAACACATGTGTCAAAATGAAAAGTGATCACAAAACAGAACTTGCTCTGCCGGCAAAAATAACAACACATGAACATCTTATAACATGGAGAAAAAAGCAAATTAAAAAGAATGAATATCGTGAAGAATCGTTCAAATATACAACAATCAACAAAACTTGCCCAGCAAACGAGTTCTGCGAAAAAATTGATTGTTGGCTCTGCAAAGAAAAATGGAGTAATCCACAATGTCATCCAATTTTGACTTGTTTATTAGTAACAATTCTATTAATTATTTCATGTTTGTCAATTTTCAAATGCTCAAAACCATTTCTAACAAAAACAAAGAAAAAGTTATCAGACAAAAAAGTGAGGTTCAAAAAAGCAGATGAAACAATTGAGATAGAAGACAAGACGGAAGAAGAAGAAGAAGAAATCAAATCTATACAATCAAATAATTCAAACTTTTCTAATAGATCAATTCAACCTTCACGATTAGCAAATATACCTATTTTGATAACAATTCTGATGTTTATAATAAGTAAAGCAGAAGGTTGTGACATGATAATACCGATCAATCACAAAGAAATACTAAATGGAAAATTAAAATCTATAGAAGATATCTTCATGTCACCAATGTCAACAGAAGTGTGTTTGAACATCAAATACAACAATCAGATGATTTCATCTTATAAAATCAAAAAAGTTCAAACAAAACAAGTATGCCTAGAAGGGAAAAAATTGTTTATCAAAAATGCAACAGTGGAAACACAATCTGTAAAACATTGCGGATCTGTAGGAAAATGTTCAGGAGGAAAATGTAAAGATATCCACCCAGATACAAAACTAGAAGAATTAGAATTTGCGAACAACTTTGTTGGACGAACATACTGCTCATCCAGCTGCGGCGGATGGGGTTGCGGGTGTCTGTCACTGACAGACGGATGTATGTTCTACAGGAACTTCGCAATATATGATAAAAGAAAAACACTAGAACTTTTCGAATGTGCCGGATGGACATCTGAAACACATTTTTCAATTGAATATAATCACAAAACAAAGTCAAAAAATGCAAGTATTTCACTAAGAGAAGGTTTTTCAAAAGAAATTCAATTCGATGATAATGAAAAAATAACAGTGGCCTTGATATCAGCCGATGATGGAATTGGACTAAATTTTGTATCAAAACAATTTTTGAGGTTTGAAGACTCTCTAGCAATGGTAAAAATTGAAGAAAATGATATTGCAGTAAAATGTAATGAAAAGGAGGAATGCACATACAATGAAGTATGTAAGTGCACAAATGGAGAAGAAGAAGTATTTTGTTCATGTAAGGAAAAAGATTTCATTGGAATGTTTAATAGTTACGACAGTCAACTGCCAATAATCAATGAAAAGTGGACAATAGAAGCAGTAGCAGGTGCTCCAACAATTGTTACAAAAAGAGGCAAGATACATTTACAAGTAATAATGGAAGAACTTTTGGAAAACAGGATAATGTTTGAAAACGAGAACTGCTCAATAATTGATTACACAGAATTACAAGGGTGCTTTGGATGCGAAAAAGGAGCAGTCGCAAGTTTAACTTGTGAATCAGAAAATGACAGTCATGCATTTCTAGAGTGCGAAAATTTTGAAACAACTTTGACGTGTAAAAACGGTGGAGAGCACAATTTGATCCGAAGACATTTTTCAAAAAGCAAAATTAGCGAAACATGTCAAGTATCATGCGGTGATTTCAGAATATCAGTACCATTTGAAGGAACTTTACATTACATCCCACCAGAAGAAAACGAAAAGAAAAATGAATCTAACAAAGGAAAAGATAATTTTGAACCACATATCCCAAAAATACCTTCCCCAGCATGGTGGACTACAATAGACATTATTTTTGAAAACCTTCCAAAAATAATTGGAATGCTCATATTGGGAATTATTGGAATAATTATCATTGCGAAGTCAGTAACATGTTTACTGAAACTAATATAAACAAACCTCTAATTCTTAATACGATAGTAAAAAATAATCAAATGTACAAACAAATTAATATATCTATAACTAAATATCTGTAAAATTAAAATATCTGTAATTATACGAAATGAAAAGAGACATCTCTCAGAAGCAAATAAAACTAAATGTTAACAGGAAATTTATTCGCCTCAAACAACAAGAAATCAATAAAATAAAACAAAACAAAAAAATAACAGAACAACAGAAAACATAAACAAATGTTGAAAAATAAACAATATATCGAGGACGAATAAAAAGAGGAAAACAGATCACTTCTTCGAGGAAGTCGAGAGTGTCATATCCTTCATTTGACCAAGTGGTTGTGGTTCTTGCTTGTCCAAGGGACACATAGCAAAATGGTGGCACGCCTTAACGAGGACGCAGATGTCATGGCGACATCTATTGTCAAATCTCTCCCTACATATAATTTCGTGATGAGTAGCTAAAATAACTCAGCATTACACAAGAAGTACAAAAAAAAAAAAAAACATACCAGAGGTGGGATGCCCGCACATTAAGCACAATTGGAATCGAGCAGCCGTTGCGGCTTTTACTTCTCCCTTTTGGGAACAATCAATAAGTTTATGCTCGCCCGAGCAGACAGCACACCGAGGGCGCCATTCGTGGTCGACTCGTCGACGCTTTTGGGGTTTCTCGTTTTTGACGAGAAGAGCGACCTTCGCAGCTATTTCATGGGTGTTATCCATCCGAAACTAAAAAAAGAAAAAGTAAATATTAAAGCAAAAAAAAAAAAAAAAGAATAATAATATAAGTAATAGGAAACAAAGAAAGAAAAGAAAAATCGGTCACCTCGGACCATAAACTGCCTCAGCAGGAAGACTCCCCCGCATCATTTTGCGGCCGCGGGGAGTGTGGCGGACCAATCCCAAGAGATTGCTCCGCCCAGGAAGCTCCGCCCAAAGGAGCAGCGCGGGAGCGCGTGGATGAAGTGGCCAGATTATCGAGCGCCCCTTGTTGGCTAGCGACAAGGACCACCGAGCGGAATCAGGTTAGTTTGGGTTTAGTAGTAAGAGATCATAGGATCACCAAGTAGTGAAGAGGTAGTAGCTACGGTGACCTACAATCTGCAGCTTTCTGGAATGCTACAGAAGCATCGAGTTCACCTTGAGCAGTCACAACTTTGGCATCACTTTCACGTTGAGCTTCAGCTTCGGCGGCCATTGCACGACACATTTCACGGGGTAATCGAATATCTTTGATTTCGACTCGTTCAACACGAATTCCCCAATAGAGGGTGGCTAGAAATAAGTAGATGAATTATTTTAATTCATGGAACAGGATGTTATGAAAAACAAAAATTGATGAGATTAGTGGAGAAATTATGCGGGGGACATCATTTGGTCTCTTTGAATTTTCTAAAATAGAAAAGTTTTTAAAGGAGGGGGTTGACAAGAAATTATTTCTAGTCAGAGTTTGGGTAACCCAATTGTTCCTAGCACAAGGAATCCAACCAACTCACCATCATCTAAAATCTTCTTAACTTGTACCGCAATTCCTTGCCTATCGGACATCATTTGGGCCAAAGTTCGAGTGCCAAGAACATTTCGTAAAGTTGATTGAGCCAGTTGACGTGTTGACAGATGAGCATCATTGACACACGAAATACTTGCAATTGGATCACTGGAATTGCAATAAAGGTCAACAAATATTTAATTAATTTATTTATGATTTTTGTCTGGATAATCTTCATTTTTTTCAAGAACAGCACTAAAAATGATAATAACAATAATGAGATTAAAAATTGTGGATGTCATCAGGGTTTTTTTCCTGGTTTGAATATAGAAAAATCAAAAAAGGGACACTTTTTGCTGTGCATAATTCAAAGAATAAGTGTTTCTGACAACTTTTGCAAGCTAGAAGATGTACTCAATTACAGAATAATTTTGTTAACACAAGTTTCCAGAAAAAGTGCAAAAGTCTGACGAAAAGAACTTTGAAAGTGCTTCTGCTTGAAAATTTTGATCCGTAAAGTGGAATAATATTTTTCTCTGCAATAAAGTACTTTTTCGAAAAAATATATATGAAAAATTATCTAGAGAAAATTTAATAGTTTACGGGGATCAAGAAAAAAACCTGGTTCTATAATAAACCGCAGCATCAACTCCAACAGTTACGCTATCTCGAGTCAACATTTCTTGTGTTGGAACATCGTAAGACATTGTTCTGAAAAAAAAGGTTTTGAAATTGTAGGAAGTTCTTAAAAATTGTGAGGTAAATTTTTAGAGTTCATATTTATGAAGACCGCAAAAAACTTCATCTTTGTTACCCTATATTACTTTCTTTAGGGATTCAAAAAACACATTCAATTTTGAGTTATGATAAGTTGAACTTAACTTCAAAATGTTTAATTTTTCAGTATTTTGGCAATTATTTCATTCTCATTTTGAAATTATTTTTGACTGGAAATTCAAAAATATATACTTCTACTTATAATAAGAAAGTATTTCCAACTTACCTCAAATCCACAGTTTTATGTGAATCAACAAACGGTATAACAAATACCAATCCAGGACCTTTCGGATTCCCTCGCCAAACTCGCCCAAGCCGAAAAATCACCATTCGATCATATTCTTTCACAATTTTTATACAGAAAAATATCGAAATAGGAAATGTCAAAAACAACACAACCCATGAGAATGCAAGAGCAAAGAAATCAGCAAAACCAGGTTCAAAATTCCTTCTTGGAATTGATTCGCCGATCATCAAACTTCAAAAAAAAAGTTTTTGAATCTTATTTTCTCACAAATTGAACGCTGAAAAAAAGAATCTGGAAAAAAAGAACAAAGAAGTAAATAAAAATCAAAATAATAATAATAAGCAAAACAAAAAAACGGCCGACAAAAAAGTAATAATTGGATGAAGTTGGGGGATGAGTGTTGAAAAGGCAAAGCATTTTTGGAATTCTGTTGGGGCCCCGAGGCATAATATGAGAATATGTTCAAATTGAATGTTGCGATTTGTTATTTTTTCTTTCTTTCTTTCTTCAATTTGAAAATGAAAATGAAAATTTCCGGTAAGAAGTGTGGGAATACAAAGAGCAACAACAATTTTTTTGAAAAAAAATGTTTGTTGGCCAAATAATTACTCTTCGTTTTTTTTCTATTCTCAGAATACATTGTTTCAAAAAAGGAGAATTTCAACATTCATTTGAAACAAGAGAATGCACAGAAAAGCACAAAAAACCTATAAACATTCAAATTCCAGCTGATTCAGACCAATTAACATGTTTTTGTTGTGTTGTGTAAAAAGGACGAATATATGTACAAAATGAGATTAAAATGGAAAGACAAAAGAATATTTTCAGATTAAAGTTCTTCAGGTATTGAAGCTTCTGATATGACGGATCGCGAAAATGAACTTCCACTTACAGTTCCACGAATTGAATTTGCTGGGGTTGCCAATGATCGGCAATCCTGGAAATTTTGAAGCTAATTTTGTGAGTAAAATGTTTTTGATTCGGTGGGATCTTGAGCCTGAACTTCACAAATTTGTGTTCCAAGATTATATTTTTCCGAATAGCTTTGATGTTTTATATTTCTAAATTAAGAACTCACCTGTAACCTGACATCAATTTCAGCTATAAGTCTTCGAACTTCACTTGTATGAACAACCGAATTCATTGGCCGAGTATACATATAAGGAACCAAACCTCTCGGACAACCTCGCTGATTCTATAGCAAAATTTAATTTTTTTTTTGAATTTTTTTTTAAAACAAAAAAACTCACCCTATTTGTGGCTACAAAAGTCCACCTTCTCGTTGGATCAAAATCAATGGGAGGTAGTCTTACTGGACTTGCAGCTGGAGCAGATTTTGCAGATGCTGCGGATGATGAAGGTATCGTAGAGCTGCAATTTTTGTTTTTGTTTTCAGTGCAATTGCAAAATTATCAGGTCATATTTGTTTGTGATTAGAAAAACAAAAAGTGCTCAATCACAAAAAACCGTTTGTATTTAAAAAAACATACCTTGGTCTATGAGAAGATGATGCCAAGCTTTGTGGAAGATTTGATGAAGAAGAGCAAAGTGACGCTTCTGCTAAGGCAACAACAGGCCTACTTTCACAGCGAGACGGTCCGCAGAATGGGCCATCAGGGATTAGGAGAAGGTGTTGAGCTGGAAAGTATTTTCATTTGAAGAGCGAGAGGGCTTTCAGGTTTTTAAAGATTAGTCAGAATTTTTTGGAGCACAATGTCAGTATGTGACCTCCTTAAATTCCGAACTCCCGATTCCCACCATCCCTTATTTCCTTACATTTATCAGAAATAACTGAATTTCTAAAATCAGTGATACAACTTTCAACATCACTAGTTTCTGTAAAAGCTTCTTCACACATATATCCATAATCAGTTTGTGTATATTTATCCTTCCTTTGCATTTGTTTTTGAAGTTCTGCTATCAAATTTCGACGTTGTCTTTTACGTGAAAACGGTAGTCTCTGAAACTCATTTTTTTATTAAAATTATATTGCAGCTTATCAACATACCTTCACGAAATTCTTGCTAGCTTCATTTGCAGCATCACGAGCACTTTTTGCTCTCTCCAATCCATCGCCCAATCGACCTTTTCGCTTTTTCCAAGCTCTCCACATTTCACGCATTCCAATTGCACCTGCTTTCAAATGAGTTGCATCTGGATCGGCGCTATATTCTTCCATCAAAGTTAGCAAAAGTTCCTAAATCACAAATATTACGAAATTTCGAAAAAATGGATCTCGTCACCTCAAATAATTTCTCTAGTTTGAGTTGAATAACATTGATGCACATTGATACTAGAGATAGTCCAATTATAATAAGTCCAAAAATAATAAACATATCTTCACTATTTGTTGGAGTCACATCACCATATCCAATTGTTGTCAAAGAGCAAAAGAAGAAGTAAAAACTCTTGAAATAATCCCAATCTTTTTCAAACTTCAAAAATATCGCAGCACATAAAAACATCCAACCAAATGCAACTCCAATTGCAAGAATCACAGGCATCTCAGATATTCGATCTTCACTTGATAAACGAATTCGATTCCTACCAGTGACAAAACTAAAATGTTCAGCTACTCTGAAATGTTTTGAATATTGGGTTGTTTGATTTTGCGTTTCTGGCAAACCTCAAAATAAAATCCCAGAAATGCTCCAAACCCATCAAAAATAATCTTCCTGATTTGTGTAAAATCATAAGAACAAGAGGTATTCCAACAACTGCATATAACATTGCTGCCAATTTTCCTAATCTCGTTCGAGCTGTTATATTTCCATAGCCGATTGTTGTGTAAGTTGTGACAGCAAGAAACATGGCATTCCAAAATGTCCAAATCGGAGTCAACACATTTTCAAGTCCAACCTGATTGTTGAATTGTTCTATTGCTTCGTGAATCTACAAACAACATTTTTGTGCTCTAATCTCACAAGCAAACCAGGCTCACCGTTTTATTATAAATTTCATAAGTGAAATTATTATTTCGACCTTCATCACTAATTTCCCAACATCTTTGACATAAATGATTTGTAAAATTTCGAAGTGCACTGATTCTTCCAAGATTTGTTTCAAAAAGTCGATCTACATTTCTTGGTCGCAACGCGTCAGATTTATGCATCTCATTTTCAGTCAAATAAAATCCAGATAATGTGTACCAATAAACTATCTGAAAAAATATGGAGTTAGTAAATTTGTGAGCCAACACCCACAATGCCTACCTTTTCTACATCGTTCATAAAAACAGTGTGAAGTCTTCGTAAATGGAAATGGTATAATTTATAATCATTATAATAATATTGACTTCGATCTAGTTTGTCATGCATTGAAACAACTAGATCAACCAGCTCTTCAATCACATTTCTGATATATCGAGTCTAAAAACCATTTTTTTAAAGATTAATTCCAACTTTTCTAACCAACCTTATGTCCAATTTCAACATCTTCATTGGGTTTTTCAATAGCCCAAAAAATAAGTCCACCCAAAACCGAATAAGCAATCAATAAAATAACGGGTACAAAATAATGGATTCTTGATTTATCATAAACCATTTGAATGATTTTGACAAATTGTTGAACGCGCGAACGATTGTGAGACTCATGACTTCGACGTTTTCGAAATGCGTGACTCCAAATACTTTCGTGAAGAAGGAGTGCCTGGAAACAAGAAAGTTTTGGGGATGGGAAATTTGAAAAATCTTCAGTGTCATATTAGTAAATTTAAGAAAATCATATGAATTTTCTGTAAATATTGCTGAAATTTATGAAGCACAGTTGTGAAAAAAATCTAGTCTAAAATTTTGCTTCATTATGTCAAACTAGGTAAATATGAGTATAAGGCTGATTTGAAAATTAAAAAAAAATAGGATACCTATTCCGAGAGAAATACACACACACTATGTTTGCAACAGAGCAAACTTGGTTGTCCATACGTTATGGGTGGGGTTTTTTGTTTTTTTTTTAACTTGAACAGTTTTTTTTGTTTTTTTTTAACAATTTTTTTGATGAAAGCTGGGGGTGAATTGTTTTTTCTTGAAATATGTCTCTTTAAAGAAAAATATTTACAGAGCTACTTTTCTTTCAAACTAAAAATTATTTTCAATGTGGTAAAAGAAGTGCCTTGATCAAAGTTAACAAAAGTTTTGACTATGAAAATTTTCTTTGCTGGAAAAAACAATGTTTTCTCATAATTCAATTAGAACTTTGAACTAATCGAAGGAACTCTGATTAAAATAGTAAACTGTTCACTGATCGAAACCATTTTTTAATGTTTACTCAAATCTTCTGCTCCTCACAAACCTGCATAGCATTTTCATCAACAATTGTATCCCTTCTTCGAACATATGGATAATTAGTTGGTCCATTCATCTGATCTTCGGTCCGTTTTTCTTCTTCTTCTTCTTCACCAACCACTAACCTGTTTTCTTCGTTCGCTACCGCCTTTTTGTTGTTATTATGATTACTATTATTATTGAGATTCTTCACTTGATGATGATCTACAGTTCCAATTGGCTCGTTACAAAGTTCATTGCTCAACGAGAATGAAACTTGCTTTTTCTTTTTGTTTGGCGATATATCTAAATGGTCGAAAATCATGGTGGTCAAAAAATGAATGAATGAGTGACTTTTTTATACATAAACATTTTCTATTGTTTATACATACATACTACAAAAAACTAACAACAACAAGAAAAACTCTGGAATTTTTGTGGAAAAACAAATCCCACTTCATTAGGAAGAGAACAAAACAATAAAAAACAAAAAGTATTTTGAAATTCAAATTTTGCACTATCCCGAAATACAATCATGATACTTCTTATACTAATAAACAACAAAAATATATTGCGTAAGCTTGTGAGAAGAAGAAAAAATGGAAACATAAGGAAAAGAATATGTGCTCAGTTTTTCTATAATCTTATTAGTCAATGAATTCGATGGGCCCCTTCTTTTTTCACACATTTTTTGGAATTGAATGAAATAAGAAGGCTATCTATATGAATATATGTATGTACAATATTGCATTAAAATATATTTACATTGGGTTTGTTAAAAATTCGAAGGATAATCAAATTCCACTGAATCGGTTAAAGGTGCACAATCCTGCAATAATATTTTATAAAATTCAAAAAATATCTTTTAAAAAATTGAGTTACCTTTAGAGATTCACATAATGCAGAAGCATCAAATGGATTTTTGGTGACTTCATCAATTAGAAACTCCAGATTATTTTGCACAGTCGACAAACATCTTCTCTTATACTGAAAAACATTAGAAATTCCGGTTGAATAAAAATTCAAAAGTACCTTGGCATATCTTTTGCAAGTTCCATTCAATTTTTTTATAATTTGTCGACGACTTGGTCTTTTACCAGAAAACCATCCATGAACCGAAGCAACAAAAACTTGACATTGGCTACATTGAAAATCTGCCATTCGAAGTGCACTTTCCTGAATTTGAATATCAAAATATTTCCTCATTTGTATCAAGAGCAATAAAACTCACAGCTGATATGATTAACTCCAGAAGAAAGAACAGAACAAAAAATACTTTCATTGTTGGAAATCTGAAAATACAAAATGTTTTGTCATATTTTTTTTGCAAACAGTTCACAACGAGTTTTTTTTGGTGAAAATGCAGTGAAACAACTTTTTTCTTCTACAAAACAATAGTTTCGTTTTTGATAAAAAATCTAAAAATATTATTATCGCAACATTTTGACAAACAATCATTTTTAATGACCGGTCACAATAATTGTTTTTTTTTTGCATCCAACAAAATACGTATATGAGTTTATAGTTTGTAGATTTAAAAAATCTGAATTTCTTTCTAGTTCCGAAAAAAAACAACAATAAGAAACTAAACCACGTGTTCATGTAGATGAATAAATGTTTTTGTTTTTATGACAAGCACGGTGTAACAATGCGCAGTATTTCAAATAAAAGTGCAACATATGACTAGAAAATAACATAAATCAGTGACATGAGTTGTTATTTTGAGTTTTTTATTGCAACCGCGCTGTAAACTTTGAGTATTTCATAGAAAAAGTAATAAAATCTATGACAGATTTGAAAATAATAAATATGAGTAAGAATTAAATCTATTGGTAACTATTTTTAAATCAAAACATTTTGATATTGAGATAAACAATTTCTAATGATTGATGATAAGCAAAATCACGTGGCAAGTTTTTGAAAATCATAAGGGTGTTGGTATTTTTAGTTATGAAATCGTGATGGCAACGAAATTTTGTAAATGTATTTTTGAATTTGCAAACTGGATAAATTTTTTCAAGCTTCCCGACAATGTTGTCATTTTCAATCCAATTCTATCTACAAGTTTCGAATGTGCGAGAGATAAAGCTTCTGAAATGTTTTTTTCAAGATTGGACACATTTTAAAAATATTCATTCATTAGCGAAAAAAAGAACAAAAGAGTAACTTTAAAATTAAATAAAAATAATTAAGATTTTTTCATATGCAAATAAGATAAATAAAAAAAAGTAAAATAATAAAAAAGATACCGTATAACTGGCTCAAAAACTCCCATCAAAATCAATCCTTGTAAACAGATTCGACGTAAACTCTGATGACAGATTCGAAAGGTCTGCGAACTTCGAAATGATCCTCACGCTCAATCACCTCGTCAATGAATGCTCCCTCTTGCAAGAATCCAAAAACATCTAATCTGGGTTCTGGGAAATTTCTGAACTTCATAACAGCTTCATCTGCGAGGTAAATCTCCTGGAAATAAATATTTTATTTTAAGAATATGATGAAAAATTACCTGAATTATTCTATGCAATCCATTCGCTGCTATTTTCGAACTTGGATGCAAATCAATTTCCAGATATTCGAGAACTTCTGTTGCATCCATCAGTTTTTCCAAATCCTCATAATGACAAATAGTTCCAAAGCCTGTTAATTTCAGTTCAACAAAATTTTTCATATGTGACAGGATTGTTTCCATTTTCATTGTAGATTGACAATTCAAAGTGAGATGAGTGCAATTTTTGAACATAGCAACATAGGTCTCGTAACTTTTGGGGATATTTTTGATAATCACCTGGATAACATTTCATGCTAGTTTATTTTTGAACAATTAAAAAGAGCCAACCTTTCTCCTCTCATTGATCCATTCTTCGTTCAATTCACACATCGCAAGAACTTTATCATCGATGATCAGCTCATCGGGATTTGTTTCAAGTGCATGCAATCCAAATTTGTCCGTATCGATGAAATACATATCATTTGCTGGACGACCAGCCATTCGAACACTTTCAACTTTGACTCTGATCGAATTTTCGGCATGTAGAACTTCCATTTTTCCCATTGGAATTCTTCTGAAAAAATTTTATTAAAAGTTGAAGGAAAATGTTTTGATTATTTTAAATGTAGAAACTACGAATCCTGATTTAACAAAATTCCCCACAATTTGAGTTCAGGTTGTCTCTTTCTTGGTTGTCCAAAAACAATTTTTGACCTAAAATACTTTCTAGAAACAGCATGTTGAAGCGTCGTGGGTGGTCCTGGCACGATTTTTCAACAAGGGGGAATAGCGAGAGACGCAGAGAGAAAACTTTGAATATACTATAGTTTTGTCTCGAAACGATAGATAAAAATTTGTCTCTTATATCTATTTTTTAAATTTGGAATTTTTAAGAAGGTTTTATCAACATTTTTTTTTCTGACAAACGGTGTTGGCTTGCAAAAGATTGAAAAACTAACTGTAACTGCATTCGATGCTTTGCGATGAAATCTCTGATTGTTGGGTCGGACTCTCTGAAACAATCAAGCACTTCATAATCGCAGTGGCGGAGCTTAGCAATCAACTCTTCATCGCTGAGTTCTTTCATTCCCAGTTTTCTCTGCAAAAATATTTCGAAATGCAAAAAAAGCAAAACTCTCCGAAAGTGCAAAAATGCACACTTGTTGAAAGAAAGAGCAAGAGCATAGACATGAGAAAAGAAATATGCGAAAATTGGGGCAGGTGTTTTGATAATTTATAATGAAAAAATGGCTTTTTTGGAAAACATACAAATTTTCGAAAATAAAGTATTCAAGGTTATGCAAATTGCTAAACAATGGAACTTTTATTTTGAAAGAAAAAACACGAGAAGGCTTTTCTTTTTGACGAACAACTTTTATATACACATTTGGTTTAAAAAAGTAATAATATATAAAAGCTCAAAATCATTTACATATCTTTTTCTTTTTTCTGGTTAATATCTAGAGATTTTATAGAAATATGTCGCTAAGAGACGAAATGAATTATTTTTTAATCACACATAAAAATAATTTGATCAAAAACTATGGGAAACTATGTGTGTATAGACTTTTTTCTGGGGGGAAAGAGGAAAAATCTGATAGACATAAAGGTATTACTCATTGAATGAAACAAATAAAAAACATGATTTTGTGATTCATAAAATGCGTTTATTAGTAATGCTGAAAATGGAATATTGATTAAATAGATAAATATGTTGGGGATACAAGCGATTATACAGCACCAGGAATATTTGAAAACAAAAAGACAAAAAATGAACTGACATGAAAATGGAATGAATTTTTGCTTTAGAAAATTAGAATGTTTTTGAATCTCAAACAGACAAATTTCAATTTTCCTTTTCAAAGCTGAAATAGACATTCATTCTGATTCCATCAGTTCGGTTGAGTACATATTTGGCACCTTCTTTGATCATTGGATGGAATGAAGTGTCTGCTTTGATCAGTCTCTCAAAACATCTTCGCAAACCTTTGATGTTCCAAAATTTGAAAGTTGCTTCAGTGATGCAATTGACTTTCTGGAATTTTATTTATTCAAAGTTACAGTAGTTCACGTTGTTTTTCCATTTGTTCAGAAAACAGATGTGTTTCAAAAACATTGTGAGAGACGCAGACAGAGGAATAGCGCAATTGGCCAACAGCCAATGGCTGGCAGAGTGCCAACCCCAATTTTTATATGGGAATTCTATCTTTGCGATGTGTTTGGCGCTGGGGATATGAAAAAAGGAACATTTGTGCATTGATTTAAAAACCCCAAAAAACAATTTTCAGAAAATTTATCAGACATGCAACTCCGCCAAAAAGTATACATTTTGAAAAAAAAACAGAGTGGTAATTATCACGGAAAAACTCTCACAAAACGTTCATTTTATTCGAAATGTTATATGTGGTTTACAAAACTACTTTCGTGTTTTTTTTTCAATTTTCATATGATTTATCTCCCCCTCACCTTCAAGAATTCAACAAGTCCTCCCAAAGTGATTTTTGACGATAACGTGGGTTGTATTTCAAGATACTCGAATTCGCTAAATTCTTCTGCGAGTTGTTCGAAATCCGAGTTTGAGCATGTGACTTTGGTAGATTTTTCATGCAACTTGAGATGAACAAGATTTGGCATATTATCCAAAATATTGCCAAGATTAGCTCTTCGAACTGTTTGAAGTTCAAAATGTGTGGCATTCTTGAACCATTTTGTGAGGGCATCCACCGTGTTCACATTGTCGTTCAGTGAAACCTGAAATATAAGATTTTCAAAAAGTATTGCCCGACATTCGACGGGTCACATATACTGAAAATCTAAGAGAAGGAAAAAATTCTGCGTATTACGGTGGCGTCGTGGGTGGTCTCGTTCACAAATTAGTTTTCAAATTGTCATAATAAAATGTTACCTTTTTGCGTTCCTCCAGCCACCAGGAATCCAGTTGTTTCAAAGGGTTCAGCTTCGTATCCACAATCAACCATTGTGGATCTAGGCCATGAATATCCAAATTATATCCGTCATCTTTTTTATAAACCCAATTGGCGAAATTGTTGATTCGCGTGGTTTTAATATGATGAAGCTTTACAGCAAGTCGAGTCTTCATCAAATCGTTAGCAAGTATCAACGATTGCATCTGTTGTTTTCTAGAAAGAACCAATTTTTCAAAATTGCAACAAAAAATCAGAATCAGTAAATGAAACTTACTGGTAACTTCTGCGATTTCTGTCAATGAATGGCTTCATTCTGCAATTGGTTTCTCGGATGTTCTCGATGTGTTCATAAGAACACGTCTTTAAAAAACTGTGGAGTTGAGTTCGAGATAGATTATTCAACTGAATTTCGGAAGGTGGATCCATTTTTCAACTCTGAAAAAAGCAAAATGAACGAACATATGTCAAGAAAAAAATAAAATCAGTTACAAAAATATGTCTCAAGAAAAAGGGAAGCAGTTTTTGTTTTCTTCTTCATTGAAAATTTTTTGGCGCCGCGTAACATCTGTACGCTATTCATACTATTTTTGTGGTGTTATTCATAGAAAAAGGGGGAGCAGAGTTTCAATAAGTTAAGGCAACTCGAAAAATAATAGATTTTTTCTAATGAATGTCGAAAAAAAGTGACAAAATAATATAGAATAACGTCTAATGCCATGTTACTGTTGAGTCAGCACAGTAGAAGGCACCATTATTTTTTGTGCGTTCCTAGAAAAAACATTACAAATGATTCATCGGAAAAAGGATCGTCTATATTTTTTATCATCATGTTCCCCTTTTCTTTCGTCGATTTCCCTCACTTTTTTGTTTCTTTATTTTTATTTTTTCTCTAAAATAAACGAGCCCTTCGAAAAAATAAATCAATAATTTTTTTACAGTACTTTCAACTTACTGTAATGGTTAATCAACGTGTTCCGATGTTTCCCCATCAAGCGGTAGGTTCACAGTACCTGTAAAATCAGTATTTTTCGAAATTCCAGGCAGAAATCGAGCAAATCCTGTTCAACTTACAAGCTTCGTCAGAAATGTTGACTAATACATTGCCGTTTCTCTCTGGACCAACGAAACACGCAATTCGGAGAATTGTCGATGATATGAATAAGAAAATCGACGATATCGATTTCAAGTTGAGAAATCCACGCGTCGAACATGATCATGAGGTGAGGTTTTGATAATTTTTCTGAAATAAATTTAATAATAGCATACATTTTATTTCGAAAATTTTGACGAAAATAAACGCCAGTAAATTAGTTTGTTAGGCAAGACCACCCACGAAGCCTCACCTTCTAATGAATAGAAAACTTTTATTTCGAAATTACAAAAAATTATCACCAAGAAACTTTGAACTTTCTTCAGATTTGATATCAATTCAACTATTTTCAGAAAGAAATGTCAAGTCTTCAGAAATTCTGCGATGAATGCTCTGAACGCATTGGTGAATTGCAAACACCAGCACCATAAGCAAATCAACCCCGAGTTAAACATCTATTGCACCCGTTTTTTTTTCATTTTTTAAATGATTGATGTTTGTAACTACGGTTTTTCCAACGAACGATGAATTTTTATATTTTTCTAAATTTTACTTACGGGTCAACATTTTTCCAGTGTGCTTGAGAGAAGCCTCGATGTTAAATAGAAAAATTTTAGATATAAGCATTTAAAAATTGTCAGATCACATCTGTGAAAGTACAATATTTTTTTTTCAAATATCGGAACTAATATATAATAAGGGATGAATAATTCACTTTTAATTTTTGAAAGTGCAACAAAGCAAACTTGAAGATGCGATTATCTGAAAGTGTTCCACAGTATAGTTAGTATCAACCTTCTGTCACTTCAAAAAAATTAACTTTTTTTCAAAATTTATTTATGAGAATATATAGAAAAAAGCTCCATTAAGAAAATAAAATTGATTTAAAAAATACAAAAAATAGAAGGTTTCAAGGATTAAATTGAAAAAAAAACATTTTTCTTTACATAACGCATAACTTAAAACAAGTGTTGTGAAATTCCAGTCTCTTCTTGTCTTGGTTTAATTCCCATCACAAATTTATGAACTTCAAGAGCCACACGAAAACCTTCCATGACGGCATAAGAAATCGCTGTTTCACCATTGCAACAATCTCCAGCAGCAAAAACTTTGTCAGTTCCAGTAGCATATGAATCTGTGATGATGTTTGACGAATCGTCATAATTCAAACCAAAGTCGGGGGTGAATTTAGTTCTTGGTTCAATACATCCATCCGAAACTATCATTAAATCAGCTGTGATAATATTACTATTCTCGCATTCCTCAAAATTTTCGTTGAAGAATTTAGAGCTGTTTGAAATGGGCAACGTCACTGTGGTTGTTTCCAATCCTTCAAAAATTCGTTGTCCTAACAAACTTCTTCTGGTTATAATTCGTTTGATAATCGGTTCCATCCTAACACCTTTGAATTCTTTTCTGTTGTCGATTCTCATAGTGTCAGAATCACTTTTGATGAAACATCGCCATTCGGGTAATTCATGTTCGGTATCAATGATACAACCTTTTTTGGGTTGTGGAAGAATTTCGATTATTTCGAGATTTTTACAGTGCTGAAATATTTTTATATAGAAATGATTATTCAAACAATTTATCTGGAACTCACTTTTTCAAAAAACGATATCTTACGAGCTTCGGAAACTCTATCGTTGGTAATGTATATAACCCGTTTATCAGCTGCATTTATGTCGTCCAACCTTTGTTTCCGTTCCTCATCGAAGGGCAAGAATTTTGTCATGGAAAATACCCCAACTGTATTATTTATATCAGCAGGTAAATAACTTCGAACAATTCGAGCCCCGGTGCAAATGATTATCGCATCATATTGTTTGAAACAAAAACGAATATCAGTATTGCTAACATTTTTGTTGCAGAAAAATCGAATCCCTCGTTTTTTCAATTTTTCAATGTATTCATCAATAGACAATCTGGAATTCTCCATTGTAAGAAATCCTTCTCCCAATAACCCGCCACATTTTGCATTTTTTTCAAAAACATCAACAGAATGGCCGCGATAAAGGAGTTGTTTGGCAGCTGATAAACCGCATGGTCCTGATCCAATGATTGCAATTCGTTTTTTCGTTTTGAAAATTTCTTGGCAACTTGTGTAAAAGCATTTGGTTAGCTCTTGGTTAAACCATTTTTGATGTTCAGGAAGAACTGGCACATTTACAACGCCTTTAGTTGAAACAACTTTCTGAAAAAAAAAATCATTTTTTTGATAAAATTTTTAGTTGTTTCAGGAAAGTCTTCGTTCAATCGATCAATACAAAATTTTCAAAAAAAACTTACTTTCACCCAACACGAGTCACACAACCAAGAGATGTTTTGTTCCATCTCGTGAAGATTCTTCAGACAGTATTTGTGTTCAGAAGTTGAGCAATCAGTACAAGTCACGATGTTTTCAGTGTTCCAGCTCATCAAACAAACTTCACATTTTTCAGCTTCAGCATGATCTTCATTTGCATCATTTTCGTTAATGTTTCTTGAAGTTTTACTGAATTTGCCGTTTGGTTCTTGCAACACAGTATCCACACAATTCCCAACTTCTTTACACGATGGGCAATATGGTTTGTTAGTGTTTTTATCATCGAATGTCTGAAAATTATAGAAAATTCAAGATGAGCTGCACAATCTAGGAATCTAGAATCTAGGAAAGTTTTTAAAAAGTTTTCGATTAAAAAATTACCTCCATCCATTTATCGAAACATTTTGAATGTAAATAATGATTACATTTTCGAAATCCTGTTTTCGATTCTCCATAATCCATGACTCCAGAGCAAATTGTGCATTCAATTTTTGGAAAAACATCCGCCATTGTGAGCTGGAATTGTTTTTATTGGATCGAGATTCAGAAAAAATGAGAAAAAAAATAACAGAAGAGACCACATAAACAAAATGAGATACATATGAATAATAAAAAGTGGAAGGATACCTATTTGGCTAATTACATATAACGCCGACCGCGTTGCTCAAAGCGGCTGCTGCGGATTAATATGGGAAGGTAGTGGGCGTTTTTTGAACCAATAATCTCTCACACCTGGACTACGAGAGCGGGGATGTTTTGAACAAATGGGTTATTCTAATCTAGTATACAGAAAATAGATTTTTGAAAATATAATTATTATTTTTGCATCTGTCTAGGAAAGAATGTGGTTTCCAGAAACTGTAGGATTTAAAAAAAAAGAAAGTTTCACCAGAAAAGGTCTCTAAGCGTCCAAATTTTTCAAATTTTTGGCTTGCGCAAGTTGGATGTTGAAGTTGGGATTAGTGAAATTCCAAATTTTTCAAAAAGATATATGAAAAAGTCGAAACGTTCTACAGTACCTTGAAGAATTCACAAGAAAAGAGTGTTTTCTTTTATTTTTAGTAAAGAAATAAATCACATTTATAGTTGGTCAACGACTCGACTTGAGTCGAGTCGAGTCGATTTTTAGTCAAGTCGATAAGAAAAAAAATTCGACTCGACTAACGACTCGAGTCGATTAGTCGATAAGGCGAGTCGATAAGAAACGACTCGAGTCGAGTCGTTTAGATTTTTATCGACTCGACTCGACTTGGTCCCTTGAATTTTTGAGTCAATTTTTTGGAGGGTGGGAATTTTCAGATATGGCCTTGGCGTTGAATTTAGATGGTGGATAGACGCCAATGATGGGTGTTGGTGCAATTGACGTGATTGGTGCAGCTTCACCAATTGGCGAGAATGGTGCAATTTCACTAATTGGTGTGATTGGTGCAATTTCACCAATTGGTTCATTTGGTGCAATTTCACCAATTGGTGTGATTGGTGCAATTTCACTAATTGGTGTGATTGGTGCAAGTGGCGAGATTGATTCAATTGAATTGGTGAAGCTGCACCATTCTCGCCAATTGGTGAATCTGCACCAAATGAACCAATTGGTGAAATTGCACCAATCACACCAATTAGTGAAATTGCACCATTCTCGCCAATTGGTGAAATTGCACCAAATGAACCAATTGGTGAAGCTGCACCAATCACGTCAATTGCACCAATATCATCATTGGCGTCTATCCACCATCTAAATTCAACGCCAAGGCCATATCTGAAAATTCCCACCCTCCAAAAAATTGACTCAAAAATTTAAGGGACCAAGTCGAGTCGAGTCGATAAAAATCTAAACGACTCGACTCGAGTCGTTTCTTATCGACTCGCCTTATCGACTAATCGACTCGAGTCGTTAGTCGAGTCGAATTTTTTTCGCTTATCGACTTGACTCGACTCGACTCGACTTTAGTCGTTGACCAACTATAAATCACATCCACACAATAAAGTTATGTATATAAATGTGCAAATGAATGTAATTACCAAGAAAAGGTAGTGTTTGCACTCTCCTAGGAGCCCACACTATCTCGAAAGCGTCCCTGTGAGTTTTTATGACATCTGCTCTTTTTTTGATGTTCTGATATTGAGTGGTGCAATTTGTAGATATGCAGGTGTTATTAGTGTCAAAGAAAAACGATTGAATGTCACTTTTAATTGGGAGACTGGGCAAAAATATTGACAATGCAACAGTTTTACTCAACGCTGTGAAATATCATGGTTTGTCGCCCATTTGTTTTCAAAACAACTTTATTCTTTCAAAAATTCAAGTAATTAATAATAAAAATTTATTTTTTCAAATTTCCGGCAAATAAGTAAATGAATAAAAAATTAAACACGTATGTGAAAAAAACAGTTTTTTTATATCCTGTGGTTTTGTAACAGTCGAATCAGATCATTATGATATTGCATACAAAATTGATTAACTTGTTGAGCAACACAAAAGCCATTCAAAAAAGCTTGTGAAAGCGTGGTCTCGCCATGAACACAATCTCCGGCAGCAAATACTTTATCAGTTCCAGTTTTAAATGAATTATCAGTGGTGATGATGTTTGAGGAATCATCATAATTCAAACCAAAATCAGGACTAGATTTTGTACTTGGTCGAATAATCTCACTTGAAACAAGCAATAAATCAGATCTGATTATACGTTGTGTATCAGGAAATTCTCTGAATGCTGAGTTACTAGAATCCCACGCCACATGAATAAGTTCCAATCCTTTGAAAGCCTCGTTTCCTACTGGTGTTTTCGTAATTTTAATACTTTTGACTATTTCTGCAGCTTGAACTCCTTCATTCTTATTATTGTTTTCAATCACTACAATATCCTTGGTACTTTTGATAAAACATGGCCATAATTTGGGACATGGAAACTCGAAATCAACGTTGCGGCGACTATTCTTGGGTTGTGGAAGAAGTTCGATGATTTCAACAGTTTTACATACCTGAAATAGTTTTGTTCATCAAAAAGATATTCAAAAACTGTTTTCATGTACTCACCTTTTTCAAAAATAATATGTCACGAGCTTCCGAAAGTTTGTTATTGGTAATATATATGACACGTCTACCTGAGGTTAAATGTTTTAATCGTTCTCGTTTATTTTCGTCAATTGAGAAATATCGTGGTATATAATATATACCATCCTTATTATTCAAATTGTCAGGAAAATCTCTGCGAATCATTCGAGCTCCAGTACAAATTATTACTGCATTATATTTTGTGAGTAAACCACGGTATTCTTCGTTATCGATATATTTGTTGCAAATGAATTTAATTCCAGAATTGGCCATATTTTTCAATATCTTATCGATTGCGATTCTTGAAATGTTCATTGTAAGAATTCCTTCACGCAATAATCCACCACATTTTTCATTCTTTTCGTAAACATGAACATCGTGCCCAAAACTGGAAAGATGTGTAGCTGCTGCCAAACCGCATGGCCCTGATCCAATAATTGCAATTTGTTTTTTGGTTGCCATCAATAATGGATAACTTCGACAAATTCCGCTGGTCGCGTTCAAAAAACTCATTATAGAAAGTTGTGTTCCATTGAATGACAACGTTTTCTGAAAAAAAGAACAGGAATAATTGAATGTGAGAAGTAATTCTCCTAATTCAAAAACTCACTTGCAGCCAACATTTCTTGCATCGCCAAGATATGTTTGCTTCCATTTTGATAGGAGGATCGAGACAATATGTGTGAACACAAGATTGACAATCTGAACAAGTGAGAGAAAATTCATTGTTCCAGTCCATTTTACAAACTGTGCAGTTCTTTTCACCAAAATCTTCTTTACACGCTACATCGGGTTTGGTTTGAATTCTCCAAAATCGACGATTTGTTTCAAGGATTGTATCCACAAAATCTCCATTTTTTCGACATGTTGGACACGTTGGTTTTCCTCCTCTCTCTTCAAATGTCTGAAGAAATTTTTAAAAATATTCGGGAGTAAAGTAAAAACTATTTTAAGTTTAAAAAACACACCTCTACCCATTTATCGAGACAAGACGCATGAAAATAATGAATACATCCTCGAATTCCTGCGGTTATTCCGTTATAATCCATAACATTCAGGCAAATTGAGCAGATCATTTCTGGGAAAATATCTGCATTTATGAGCTGAAATTTTAAGATTATGAAATATTTAATTGAAAATTCAAAAAAAACTTACATCGACCCGTTGATTGGTCAAAGAAGGATATAGAGAATGAATACATTTTTCAATTCCTGTTCCGAACTGTTCCACGTGCTCTTTTTGTTTTGGACAATTCAGACAAATTATTTCTACACCATCCTTCATTTGCTGCTGAAAATTAGTAATTTTAAATTATTTTAAGGCAAAAAACTAAAAAGATTTATAACAAAAATGAATAATGAAAAAATACCAAACATTATGTACATACTAACTAACCTTCCCAAAGTTATATGCACGCCGCGTTGCTCGAAGCGTCTGCTGTACTAGGGAAGGGGGACTGTTTTTAGTGTCCCTTTGAAGATGGGGAGATGGCGAGACAGAGAGATACTAATCTCAAAAATTATGGTACACTTCGAGTGATAGGTCACGTTTTTGCTCAATTCCAAGATTTGGGTCGGAGATTGAGAGAATTTACTTGAAAGGCATAAAGTTATCAAGAAAAAAATTCCAGGAAATATTGGGGAATTGTATTTTTAAGACCCACAGATTTTCAATTTTAAAAATGTATTTTATTCAGATTATTAGCAGAAATTTGGCCATGAACTTGAATCCGAAACACATCTTTTGTAGAAATTGAATCCCTGAAAAACATTCATGCCTGGACCGATTTTTAATGAACATTTTTGAATTGGAATGACCACAGTTTATATTTCTCCATTTCATTCCCAGCATCAGATTGATATAACAAAAAAGCAAAATGAGATAATCGGGCAGGCGGTATTGAACTATTGACCCTTGAATCGGAAATCAATTCCTCTACCACTCTACCGGAAGATCTCTGAAGAAAATGTTATGATTCTTCGACCATTAAACGCCGCATATTTTTTTTTGTTTTCACACAAAACTGTTTCTTGGTTGTCTGTTCGTCTGTTCGTTTTTTTTGCTTTTCGATGAATCATTAACATATTTATCAGAAAAAATCAAAACAAAAATAATTAAACTAATGTGAACAAATAAACGTATTTCTGTTTGTAATGAAAGCAAATCAATGTGTGTAACTGACTAGTTATGTTATGGGAAAAAAAATATCGGTAAACAGGTAAATCTGAAAATTTGGTATTTTCAGTTAATCCCGTGTGAATCATCTTCAGCTATTTTGGTCCACCAAATTTCCAATATTGAATCAGTTTACTATCAAAATGTTTTTTCTGGGTCCAGAATTTTTTTTTTTAGAAAATAGTTTTTTTTGACTATAAGAATTAGAAGCTTGTCAAGTCAAAATCAATCACAGAAACGTTGAAATCAAACAGTTACCGAACGTTTTCATAAATTAAATTTGTTTCAATTATCTTTATTTTATTTCAGTTCTGCAACATTCGGCTAAATGTTCAAAATTACATTCGTTCCTGCTGTAATTGTAAGCGTCCAGGTGTTTTCCAATTATTCTCCATAAATATTTGATTATTCTCTGATGGAAATTTTATATTTGACATTATAAAAAGAACTACTTCAATTTATTAAATCACATATAAGAAGCCCAACAAAATCTTATCAATATTAACAGCAAAAAATTTAATCTTAATGATCTGATAAACTCTGGATGAAATTAAATTTAAAAATAGAACTTGAAGGAAGAATGTTGGAACTTGTTGAAACTTTGAAATCCGCATTCTCGCATATATATTTTTTCAGGTGTTTGTATCTATGTATTCTTCAAATCAAACATGTTGTGTAGTCTCTTGAATCTTGAAAAAAAACTCACACAGTCATTTATTTTTCACAAACCTCGAATTCATCTCATTGAAAATGACAGAAAAAACATCTCAATTGATTGAGAAAGGACGTTCAATTTTTCATCTTCTATTTGAAATACATACGAATTCATACACTCAAAAATGGGCGGGTTCAAAAAACATGGGCAAAATTATTTTGTTCGTTGTTAGTTTATAAGGAGATAAATACTGGCTAGATATTTGTGAGAACAAAAATAAAATATGGTTCATGCTTTATTCCCAGATACTTATATTTGTCATGATAATCTTGAATCTTGTGAGTTCTTTTTTGTTTTGTTGGAATTTCAGAATAGATTGTTTCACTCAAAAAAAAAATTTAGTTTCACAATTTCCATCAATTTCTAAAAAAAATAATTCACCTTTTTTCAGGCTTGAAAATGTGCTACACACGAAATTGTAAGTTATCACATTTCACATAATATTATACTTTTTTCATAACCAAAAATGTTCTTCAGGTAATACAACTGATTGTGCGATTGGAGAATGTCTTTTCATTGATAATTGTAATGATACATCAAAAAACTATGCTTGTGTTGTACCCAATATAAACATGTTAATGTAATATTTCCCAGGTTTTCCAACTTCTCCAGAAAACATTTTTTTTCAGCTGGGGATTTGCGGCAATTTGTTTCGCTGCTTGCTTGACTTTGGCGATTTTCACGTTTTGGTATTTTAGAAAACTTCATCAAGTGAAAATTGTGAAATCGGTAAGTAGAAATTAGACGACCCTGACTTTTTGACGTGAATATTGTTTTTGTCAATTGAATTATCACATGAACATGTTTTGTTTACACTAACAGTTTTCTTGCAAAAGTTAGATTTTGAGGTCATTTAGATAGATTTATAATCATTAACTAATTTATTTCTTTGACAAAATTTGAAAAATTTTTTTTCAGAATTCTAATAATTTTTTCAGACCCCAATGATATCACGAACAGATGAAACAACTGCTATCACCAAGTTCTAACCTACAAAACTTACATTAACTTATTATTTAAAAATGTTTCAAAATTTTCCAATTTCAACACCAATTGTATGTACATACTTCATTGTTTGATCCATAAATGTGTTTTTTAATGTTGAAAAAAACTTGATTCTCATATATGTCTTCATTGCGTTTTTCTTGGGCGTTGACCGTGTTCTTCTGTCATCGCAAAAATTGATTTTCATTTTGTTTTCGTTTCGAAAAAGGAACTTTGCAAAAATGGGCAATGCTATGTACACCAATGAAGTTGCTTGTCATGAAACACTCGAAACTTGTGAGTTTTTTTTACTTTGAAAATTCGCGTGACTTTTTTCTAATTTTTCAACAATTTTCCTAGGAGCTAATTAAAAATTTAAAGAAATTCCATTTTTTCACGGAAAGAGAAACGTTAATACATAAATGTTTAATTTCACGAATCCCAATTCCTTTTCTTCAAACCAACACAAACATTAGTAAAAAATCAATAGGAGGGTCTAAAAATGCGTCCCTGCGAAGTAATACTGCTACCACCTGTGTCTCTATAGAAACAGGAACACTATCGCTTTCTCTGCAAAAAATGTCCCTGTCCAAAAACCTTCTATCACCTGTTTCTCTATGCACAAATGAACACACTCGTTTTCTTTGCGTCTCCACAGATGCGCCATTTTCATCTGTCCCGTTTGAAAGTCTGCAAGTGTTAGAAAATAAAAGACAGCTAGAAAATGAAAGCTTTGGTTTTAACCCAGTTACTCAAGGTAATTCGGAGTTCCGACCTTTCTTATGAGAGTGTCGACTAACTTGAATTTTTGGATTCGAGCTTCATCGGGGTATCCGGTGGGGCAAAATAAAACAAATTTGAGAAACTGAAAATGGAATACTGACGATGAAACGATTTCTATGAACTTTGTATGGATAATCAATTAGATTTTCAAACAAAATTATTTAGATATTCATATCAAACTAACATCTGAATAATTACGGTTTTCCCAACTTCATCCCACGAAAATTTTATTAAAAGTGTCATTTTTCACACATTTCGCAACACCTATCTCTTTCCCATATCAAATTGCCTAGCCAGCGAGATGTCTGTCACATAGTTTTCTATACCTATATAAGCACCTTTGCTATTTATTATTCCGTTCTTCCGAGAACATATACTAAAATTGGAACAATACAGAGAAGATTAGCATGGCCCCTGCGCAAGGATGACACGCAAATTCGTGAAGCGTTCCAAATTTTTTGACAAATTTTACATATTTTTTGTTAAAACAGGTATTCGAAGTCTAGTTTTCGAAAATCATTGGAATTAAACTATACAAAATACTTCCCGGTTGAAAAATTCTAGATTCTTCAATTATTTGGATTAGACTTTCAGGATCTTTCAGTAATGACCTTGTAAATTTAGTAGCAAGCAGAAATAAATTTTGTCTGCACCGAGAAGTTGTTCATCTTTGGTTTTTTGTTTCCAGATACCAAATAGTTTGATCTATCAAACAGTAATTTTATCGAGTGTTATGCACCCTCTCACATTTTGGCTATAAATATGTAAATAACAATCTTCAGTTTCTTCAGAAATTATGAAGTTTTCGCTGAACACCAGCTAAAACATTTCAGCAAGACTCAAAAAAACTGCAAACTCGATTAGCATATAGATTTCGAAACAATCCTCTCCGTCTCTATAGAAACAGGAACACTATCGCTTTCTCTGCAAAAAACGTCCCTGTCCAAAAAAGTTTCTATCACCTGTGTCTCTATGCACAAATGAACACACTCGATTTCTTTGCGTCTCCACAGATGCGCCATTTTTAAATGTCCTGTTTCAATGTCAGCAAGTGTTAGAAAATAAAAGGCTGCCAAAGAATGACAGATTTGGTTTTAACCCAGTTACTCAAGGTAATTCGGAGTTCCGACCTTTCAATAGAGAGTGTCGACTAACTTGAATTTTTGGATTCTAGCTTCATCGGGGTATCCGGTGGGGCAAAACAACTTATACATTTTATAATTCTGAATTAAAGAAATACGTTAAAACTCTCAATTTTCAGGTAGATCACACTGCGACAAATCAGAATGTATATTCGTCGACAAGTGCAACAATCTTGCGAAACAGTTTGTATGTGTTCCATTTGATCCACGATTTATGATGTAAGGAAACAATTTCGATTTGAAAAAAAAAATAATGAAATACTTTCAGGTGGATAATGATCATCTCATTCCTGATTGTTCTGCTGACTTGTTCTTCACTCGTAGCCTGTTATATTTGTAGAGCAGTCAGAAGATCTTATCAAATGCAAGTTCAATATAATAATAATCGAGAGGTCAGTTTCTGAATACTCAAATTTGACATATAAAAAATGGATTCAAAAGTTCTGAACACCTTTTTTTATTTCCTCATTCCAGGTTGTGTTCAATAATCCGGGACGAGTCCACCATGTTCAATATGATCCACCACGTCGCTATCACAACGGACCACCAAACAAATATTGAAAAAAACCACTGTTATGTACGAATTCAATCATTTTTTCTTTTTGTTTATTTGAACTGTCTTTTTTCCCTATTCATTGTACAGAAAAAATGTTTTTTTTATCGAAATATAATAAATCAATAAAGTGATATTTTTTTGTGGTGGTAAACTACACTCTAGTGTGACCTATGCTCATTCTTTTTCTCTTTATTCTCTTACTCTATCCAAAAACAAATCAACTTTGATCAATCAATAAGGTGTTATTTTTGACTGCAAAGAAAGGGGAAGAAAAAATGATGAGAACCAAAATTGTTTGTGTATGTATATTATATGTGCTGTCTAGCATTATTTATTTTTTGGTGTTTTTTTTTTTTTTGAAAAATAGAGTATTTTTCGGTTTCAAAACCATTCAAAAATCATTAAACAAAAAGTTGAGAGAACTATCAATATGTTTACCTTTCTTACATACTTCTAACTCATTTGTTCTTCAAGTTTTATTTGTTTATTTTTATCAACTGAAAAAAAAACCAGTTCAATTTTGATCAATTATTGTAAATAATATTAAGATCGATCAGCTGTTACTTTTCGTTTCTCTTATCACAAATTTTCAATTAAAAAACAGACAGAAAGTTGCGGTTTTACTCTATCAGCTTATTTACTTATTTATTATTATTTTTTCATTTTCACTCTTCATTTGAGAACGTTTTCGATTGAGCAAAAAACGCAATTTTTGTTTATATTTCTCAATTTTTCTTTTTTTTTTTCAATTTCAAAAAAAATAGGATTTTTCTGACTCACAAAAAACTGCTGAAAAACTCTTTCTTTTTCTTTTCTATCTCTTTTTTCCTTCTCTCTCTCTATTTTTTTGGCAGACATCCGGAGATGTGCTCATATTGATCTTAAATTTTTTTTTTCTTTTAAGATGACTCCAACTCCCCAAGAATTCTTCAAAACTCCGTCAAATTTGCGCACTTTTCGCATTTCTACATCGACTGATGATTTGTTTGTTAACATTCAATTTTTGGCGGAATACTCGGAGTTTTTCAATATGTGAGTTTTTTTCCGGGTTTCGGGAAGAAATTTTTCAGGGGTCACAGAAAAGAAAACATAGAACAGAACAGGTGCTTTTGTTATCATTTTTTGAAAGAAAGATTATGATAGCATGCTGAATTCAGATTTCATTGATATTGAAAGTTTATAGAACAAAGTTTTACTATGATATGAGAAATTTGAATTTAAAAATCTTTAAGAAGTGATCTTTCTACATGAAAAAATATATCTGAAATTTATTTTATTTTGAAAACAACTAAAACCATAGAAAATAATTATAAAATACAAAGTTCTAACGTTATATTTGAATTTTGATTGTATTTTAATTGATAGTCAAAATTATTTTTAAAAACATTTTTTATTAATCATAGGAAAAAAACCTAAAAACGACTCAAAATTGTATAAATTCTAATTTTCAGAATGTTGAACGGAGAATTTCGCGAGAAACAAGAAATGAAAGCAACAATTCCAGACGTCGAAGCTGATGATTTAATCGATTTTCTCTCATTCATCTGTCCAGTTAATTATAAGCTGAACCAAGTTATCACAGGTAAACAAATTCAAATAGCCCGAATAAAGAAAATTGATATTTTCAGAGTCAAACATCTACAACTTGCTCTATTTTTCTGATCGTTTGATGTGCCCATTTATCAAAGAACACATCAAGAAATGGTTGATTGGAAATGAATTCAAAGCTGGTACTTACACTGCAGATGTTCTTGTTAATTCAGCAGTTCTTTTGCATACACAGGGATTTGGGTGAGATTTTTTTTGAAAAAAATGGGAGAGCAAAGCTGGAAATCAAGCCAGTTTCAAAATCAGAAGTACTATGTAGATGTTTCAAGAAAATTTTTGTTTCAGGGGAGCTGAAATGACACCAGTTTTCAAAAAGCTTGGGTCAATGAATCTCACGCAAGTCTCAAAGACACTTGACATAATTGATCCAACTATCAAAGCAATCTTCGAGGAGAAAATTCGTGTTCACACACCAGTAAGTTCATTTTTCGCTTTAATTGCAATTTCATTTTTCATTATTATTTTTAAAATTTTCAGTACACATTTGCTCGAAGAGAACCAGGAAATCAATGGGGAGATTATGACTACAGAGCTAGAATTTTCTTCTAAAGAATTTCAATTCGGGTTTTTTGTATCTACACAGACACAGTATTTAAAAAATGTACAAATCTTGTATATATGATTAGTTAAAGCCTAGCTTTTTAAGATCATACATTTGAGCTGCCTTTTTTCTATCCTATCATTTTTTTCGTGTAACGGTTATTTTATTAAAAATAAATTTTTTCCATGACATTTTTGTTTTGAGGGAGTTTAAGGGTGAAATTAGAGGACCTGGACATTTTTTCCCAGAGAGATTTTCTAACTAGGATTTCATTTTAACAAAAACAGTTTCAGAATATTTTCATGATCAAAACTGGAATAAAATTCTTCAATTATTTTTTTTTCTGGTGAATATTTTTGAATTCAGAACCAAACAACTATTTTGAATAATTCCTATTGGAAAATAATTTCCATCAACATATTTATTCAATTTCAGAAATTGTTCGTCCTTTTCCAATTTTCAAATGACCTCTTCAAAGATTAATTTACCAAATGGGTTTTTTTTTCTAATTTTCAGTCAGACAGTCATTAAATAGAACTCAAAGTCATTAAACAATTATCTCAACTACCCGAAGTGAGATAAAAAAGAGTCATAAAATATCCACTTCACACTTTTTTTCTTCTTCATCTTCATCGTATCAGTCCGATCAGCGGCATCCTGATAAATATATATTACAAATAAATCATTGAGTTGTTTTGGCATTCTGGTCATTAAATGTTTTTGTTGTATGTGTGTTTTTTATTTGTTCCAATCATTTGCTTTTTCATCTTCTTCATTCATTCATTCTCAGCTTCTTCTTCCTATACCAAGGTGCTGGATGATCGTTTAGTATGTGTGTGAGTGAGTGTATGACACAAGTCGGAAAGGATAGGAAAAAAGGCGGAGACTAACTGAATGAATGAAAGCTGGTGTAAGACAATTAGTTGAGCTATCAAACATTTTTTTGTTTTGTTTATAAATTTATTTTAATATGATATGATTCAAAACCAATTAACACCTTCTATTTTTTCCAGATTAAAATGGCGAGAAACGCCAAAACCCCAACAGTACCAAGTCCCGCTCCAACTTCAACAATATCACAATCTCACTCGATTCCGTCTATTAGAATCGAGAGAATTGGGAAAGATGAGGTACCTGTGGAGATTTTGGCCGCACCAAAACCTACACCACCACCAAGGGATTTGACAAAAGTTTTGAATAACAATAATACATTGAATACACCTGGACGCGCTCAAAGACAACCACGTCAAACATCAATCAGACCACGTGAGTTTTTTTTTGAAGGGGGGAAGAATAATGAGCTTGAATTGATTTTTGGGGAAAAAAATTTAGGATTGGTATATTTTCCTGCTAAAAATACTCATTGAGTCCTCATTTAAAAAAAGAATTCGTAATGACTTTAAAAAATCCAGTTTCGAAATAAAAGGCGCGAAAAATTTATGAAAACCTGAATACATTTTTCACCTGAAGGTGCAGGAAAAAAGACCATTTATCTCTGGAACCTTAAGTAATACTACTTTGTTTAAAGAATTCTTTCCGAAGTTATAGCGATTCCTTTCCAAGGATTTTGCCGGTTTTTTATAGGGTGAAGGGTTATTTGAGGGCTCTAATTTGAAATTTAATTTGATCCATTTTCCAATTTATGAAATAGGTTTTTTTCTGCTCAAAAAGTCCATTGTTCTCTGTTTTAACAAAAATAATTACTATCTGTTCTACCCCATTTCTAGTTCGAAAAATCTTCCAGTGCCAAAAATCAATCAGAAACATTTTGACTAAACCCAAATGTCAAAGACTGATTTATTTCTTTCTCGCATCTTTTTTGTCTGTTCGCTCAAAAGCACAGCGGCAAAAAAAACAACTGAAGTCTGTTTCAAATGAAAAGCCATGCACTTTCTCAAACCACTTCTATCATTAATTATCCGCCTCACTTCATTTGACACTTTATCATTTTCTCAAAAAGAAAACGGAAAAAAGAGTTGAATAATTTTTGAACCAACAAAAAAGAGTTGGAAGATTAGATATAAAAATACATAAACAGAGCAGCAGGTTGACATGATTTTTTCTTGCTGATGTTTTTTTTGACAAGACATTTGGTCGTTTAAGTTGTCGTAAAATGATGGATTAGGATTTGATAGAGAGCTGACGATTAGCGGTTAGCACCTGAACATGTTTCATTTTTTCGTTCGGGAGGCTAATGGAAGAATGTCAGATTTTTACACACACAGAGTTGCGTAAAGTCGAGGAATTTCACGTTGACAAAAATGTAAGGGATATTTTCTTGAACGATGTTTAGATTTTGGGAAGATTCTCAATTGAATTTTAGCAAGGCAATTAAAAATTTAATAAAAATCTATAATATAACTCTGACTTCAGAATGGTTTTGTGATATTGATAGAAAACTACAAAAATATTTTTTTAATCTTGAGGAAAAATCTGTATGAGCTTGTGATTTTCTTTAATCTGCTTTTTTCGTTCTGAATAGCTTTTCATATTGTACATAGTTTCAGTTTAATTGTACATTTTTCAGCTCTTGAACTTATTTTTGCACAACTCTTCTTGTAGTTTCACTTTCATGCAAAAATTCTCCACAAAAAAAGTTCAAAAATAGATCTCATATTGTAGCATTAAACTCACAAAATCAGAAATTTAATTTCTATAAATCCCATCTGTTTTCATAAACCCGTGCAACCTTTTCCCAATTTCTCAAAAATGTGTGAACGTTTCAACTTCCTGTTTCGTTTTGTTCCTCAAAATTACATTTCTGAACTCTTCTTCTTCTTCTTGTCTTCTCTTGATTTCCTTTTAACACATTCGCCAAGAAAAATGTGACAATTGAGTTTATTCATTTCAAATTGTGTTTATTCTTTTGTCAATTGAACGCGAACCTTTTTCTTAACACAAAAAAAGAAGAAGCAAGATTGAAAAAAGTGTTTCTTCCTTTTTATTCGCCACAAGATATCGTCGCATTTTTATTGAATCAGTTGTTGTTTTGCTATTGTGTTCGAGTGTCGGGAGGTTAGAAAAAAAGTATTTTTTTCAGCTCTTTATTTTATTTATTTTTTTTTTTTTGAAAAAAAATATAATAAAAAGAAACCTCATTATTTCCATTTATATTTTCATATATTTATCTATCTATTAGAAATAATTGTTATGTCGACTACTGAATTGTTGAAAGAAAATGAGATGCCAAGATCGAAAAGTATGCCAAAAATGGTGTTGAAAAGAAATTATGAAATTCGTGCTGTTCCTGGGATTGTAGTCATCAAAGGTAAGATTGAAGTTGAGAATTACATATGAATTTTTGAATTTGAATTTTTTTTTGCGAAAAAATTAGTTGGTGATTTAAAGGTGGAGTCCGAGCAAAAATAAAGTTTTGCTCATTTGAAAGAGCATATTTCAATTAGTACAATCCTCGAAGGATTTCTTCTGGAAGCTTCTCAAATATTGGTTAAAAAATTACAAAGTTCGAAAAAACAGTGAAACACCGTGTAAAATGGCTGTAAAAGTGGAAAAGTCCATAAGTACTGTAGCTTGGATTTAATGTTTGAGAAGCTTGCAGAAAAATTCCTTCGAGGATTCTACTAATTAAAACATGCTCTTTCAAATGAGCACAACTTAATTTTTGCTCGGACTCCACCTTTAAAAGCTCTGGAATTGTATCAGGGAGTTATAACTCCATTCATTCAAGTTAGAATTCATTAAAAACCTAGAAGTTTCACATCAGGGTTTCTGAATCAATTAAAATCTGATTCTGATTATGAGTTACTTTTTTTGAATAAAAAATTATCTAGTTTTGTGGGTTGAAGATCGGTATTTGGAACAAAATTAGTTTTTTTTTAATTTCAGAGATCTGAAAGTGTGTGTTTATTGTGGATTCTGAAAGTTTTTTGTTGTCAAACTTCGGTTAATTTTTTCAGAAAATTAAGTTAAGTCTTTATGAATTGAATAAATCACAGAACAATTCTTAAATACTTTCCTGATTAATATCAAAATCTCTATTATTATTATTTATTTTAATCCGGAAGATTTCCTGTCAAGTTTGTTCATCGATAAAAAACAATTGAATCTATCTCGAAAATTTTAATTTTTTCAAAATACTTGACTTGAAAAGGATATTGTGTACTACCAAATTTTTAATAAAAAAGTCACAATCTCTTTCTAGTATTGAATAATTTTCCAATCCCCGTTCTGTTTTCAAGAAGAAAAACATATAAATAATCCAAAGCCGAAAAAACTTATTTTCTATTTTTCCACTTGTTTTACATGAACCAAAAGTAATCTGACACTCGAATAGTTTCCCACGTTTTCTTGTTTTGTAAATATAAAATGTTAGTCACAATAATTTTTCCGTCAGCTGCTGGTCAAAATCATTTTTTTTGTTTTGTTTTGTTTTGTTTCTGCTCGATTTTTTGTCTATTTTTTTCATCATCATCATCATCATAATCACTCAATCATTTTCATACGTTTTTTTGTTTTTTTTTTCTTTTCAAACCTACCTAACTAACAATAAGAAGAAGAAAAAAATCAAGTTAAGTTAATGATTGATGGTTTCGTTGAAGAGCATAATTCCCTTGCTCCGCTTTTCTTGAAAAAAAGAACCAAAAACGCGAAAAGTAGGAACACATACATATATTCATAAATTTTCACAATGATTCCTCGTCGCATGGCGGGTTGACTCTATTTTTCAAAAAAACGAAACGAAACGAAAAAAAGAGAGAAAAAAGAAAGTTTTTTTCTTCGCTTCCATACATTTTCTATATTCACACCAGAAGAAGAATATTTTGAAGTGATAACAACATTCATCACGCAATTTATATGAATAAATAATATATTTTCATATATCATGTCGTTGAGGTTTTTTTTCGCCTCGCTTTTTTACGGATTTCATATTTATCTGTCTTGATATTTTCATTGAAAAAATATTATTCATAGTCTTCTCTATATATGTCAAACGATCAGTTTTCAACTTCTGTTGCCACGGCATTGGTGATTGAAAACGATTCTGAATCACAGAATATGGTTTCTGTATATCAACATAATCATATACAACATCGTAAGTTCAATGTATTCTTTCAGTTTCTAGCTATCCTTCTGTGAATGTTTTTTTCTAAATCAGGTTCCCCTTCAAATAATTTTCAAAATTGTTTTGACATATCCGAAAATTCGGAAAAATCTTATTCAATAAATTCATCAGCTTAAACTTTGATGTTCTATAAACTCTCTAATCGGAAATTATTTTTGTCGTTCAAAAATTTCTGTCAGGAAATGAGATATTTATGAAACACATCATTGATAATGTATATATATTTTTTGGGATTTTTTAGAGTCCGAATTTTAATGTAAGGTGTGAATAGGTTCATTTAAACCCGTGCTGCAAAAAATGAGCGTTTACGATTTAAAAAATTTAAATAATAAAATTCTGTTTTTAAAATTTCATCTTTTAATTTTCTAATTTCTTCCATACCGTTGCTCATGTTTAGTTACGTGAACACTGTGTTCTGACTATATTTGTATTTATAAATCTTGTCTCCATTCATAAAATCGTTCAATGTTTTTTCTGAATTGCCCTAATTTTCTATTGAAGTTAAGAGTTCATGAATCACCTTTCAATGGAGCAGCAATTTTCAATAATGTTTCATTTGAACGCTGATTTTTCTTTCTGCAAAACATATGAACTTTATATTCTCGATAAATTTTCGGATTTCAATTTCAATTTTTTTATTTGAAAAAAATCCATCCCTGCACAATACACAAAACATCTGTGGAAATGTTTCATTTTGAGCAAAAAAATAGCAAATTGAAAAAAGAAAATGTCAAAGCGGATATTGAATTTTTTCGAAATTTCGTTCGATTTCATACATCCCTTTTTCTTGAAACAAAAGAAAATCTTCTATTTCGTTTTTTTTCGCTGCTATTTTTTTCAATTTCAAAGTTCAATAGACATAGACATAATGACTTTTGGCGTCAGCAGGTATATAAAATAGGTGTGGTGCATTAGAAAAAAAAGGGGTGCGGAAATCTAGAGTGCACTAAAAAAATAGAAAATGGAGATTTTTACTATATTTCCAACTACAGATGCAAATGGTAATGGTGTGATGAAGGGTGGAGCATTGCCAAGAGAAACTGTTGTCAATTTTGGATTTTCTGAAGAACCTATTCCACCGAGTCATTATTGTTGTGGAAAATTCAAACTTCATGTGGGTTTTTAGTTTTTTTCAAAATTATTTTGATTATTCATTAAAAAATTTCTGTAACAAAAATTATTTCAGAAAGTATGCCGAATAGTTGGAATCTTTTCATTAATTGGATTCATCATAAATCTGGTATTGTATTTCATGGGACTCTCAAAATTAGGATTAAGTGGTTAGTTTGATATGAAATCATGGGACCACTTCAAAAAACCCTTTTCAGGATATTTGGAGACATTTTTATTGATATTTGATTTCATCGCAGTGTTCACATTATTATATGGCGTTTCGAAAAAACGCTCTGGAATGTTGAAACCATATTTATTTTATAATGTTAGTTCTCATTAACAAAGTTTGATGTAGTTTTAAAAAAATGTGATTCCAGACGATTTGGAGTTTTGGATTGATCATTTTATTTCTTGCATTCATGTGGCAAATTGTTAAAGGTTCACATGATGTTTCGAGAAATCTTCTGGAGAATATTTATTCATTGCGTAATACACGTGAAGATGATTATCATTATCATAGACCAAGTTACAGTACAACAGGTAGGGGGAAATATTTTTGATAAACCTTGAAAAATAAACCTTGAGAAGTTTGAAATTTTTATTGAAAAAAAATTTCCCCTGAATTTTTCATAATAAAATTCAACAATATTTTTTTCAGTAGCAGTTTTGGTAACATTGGGTGTCGTTTCTGCAATGCTATCAACTATAATTGTCGATTGTCTATTTCTCCACATTGTCTACCGAACTTTTCAATTTTTCGCTTACACGGAGGATAAACGTCGAGAAGAGATGGATAAAAAAGAGAGACTCTAATATATTTTTTTCATTTTCTATTTTTGAATTGTCTTGTTTTATGTTCATATTTTGAATGATCTCATTTATTCATATACACAAATTTTGTTAACGGGTTGTTATTTGAAATAAAGAGATTTTTATTGTGAAGCTGCTGAAAAGAGACCAGAAATCCAATTTTCTTAAAATTAAATGAACAAAATAATTAGAAAATGTGTCTCTGGCGATCAATTATTTTTGTTTTGATTAGATAATGTCCTAGTGAATCTATTGGGATATTTGATTTATTTTTGAACAAGAATTGAACAAAAAAGGTTTTTTATAATGATTGAATAAGTATATTCGGAATAATTTTGATTTCAGAGAACTAGAAATCCAAATTCAGCAGATTTTATTCAGAAAATCCTTTTCTAAAATGAGAAATCTTTATTATTTGACTATAAATTTACTTTGAAATAAGAGCCAAGTTGGTTTTAATGACTGGATCAATTTGTTCGAGCCATGCACTAACATCAAGTTCTTGAGCAATTTTGTCAAACATCTCATTCAATGCTTTGATGTAACGCTCTTTGGCTTCATCTTGGCTCACACCTTCGAGTTCCTTCCACGAGTCCCTGAAAAAAAATATATAACTATTATTAGATTCATTTTGAATTCGAAACATACCACTTCTTTCTCTCGACAATCGAGAAAATACCAGGTCTATCAGTATTAACATTTCCGATTGTTGCTTGTTTGAAAAGTGAATAGAAAGTCAATTTTTGATCGTTAGATGTGCTAACTGGCCCTGAAAAACAACGGTTTTCAAAAATTTTTCAAGACTTTTTTTGGGGGGAAATATTACCTGTCTTTGGAAGTTTTTGAATAATTTCAACAGCGGCGTCGAATTTTTGTTGAAGAGCCATTTTTCGTCAACAAAACTAAAAAAAAAGAAACATTTCTTATCAATTGAAAACACGTATTCAAAAAAATATTGATAGTCACTCATTTGAGAGACAACAAATTAAAATTACTTGGAACTAAAAAAAAACAAAGAACTTGGAAACGTTTGTGGTGTTGAAGTTATGTGGTAAAAACCATAATATTATAATAATATAAATAGGAAAAAAAAGAAAGTACAAGGACAAAATTAACGAAACAAGAAAAGAAGAATAAGAAATGGAAAGAAGACGAGAAAAAGAGATATGACCTATATCCATACGGGAATTGGGGGATTGAAATGTTTTTGAAGTTGAAGAGAAGAATCAAATGAATTGAATTGGATTTAAATGAATTGGTGTGACCTTTTCAACTAACACGAACTAATAAAACACTAAAAAATGTGAAGCGTTTCAAAAAATATGTTTTTAACAATCTGAGTCATCTTGAAGAACAATTTGTTTTTGTGGCGTGGCTACATTTTTTGAGACACTCTGCACTTTTATTGAGAAAAATGTGAACGTACCTTATAAATTTTGAGTTCTAGAAAGGCTGGTCGGGAATAAATTTTTCTAAAAGGTGAACTGATTCACTTCTCATATAAACAAGGATCCCGGAAGATAGGACTGCCTATTAACAATCAGAAGTTTTGTTCAATTTTTAAAGTTTATTGTTCATTATTCAGAAAAAATTTATTATCAGTTATAATTTGAAGTAAAAATAAGCTATTTCAAACACTTTTTTGAAAATTTAGAAGTAACCCAATATAATTGAGGCAGAACATCTAAAATTGGAAATAAAGGTATAAAATAATCAACCATCGAACAGGATAGTGTAATTTCAGTATTGATAAAAGGGAGGAACAACAAAAGAAACACTGGGATATGAACACAAATAATTGGGAGAGCCAATTGAATTATAAGTCCTTTTAAAATCCGAAATTGTAAATGTAATGTTTCACGTGATAAACGTGGTATATTTTGTAGTGTTCTATAACATTTGAATGCAAGGATGAAACTGATTGAAACAGATGTTGATTGAATCAAAAACAACAGTAGCATGAATTTCAATTTTTTTGCTGAACTGGAATCAAAACTCAAACCGATTAATGTTAATTCGCTGGTTTCAATTTTGAGATCATTACTCAAAGTATATAATGGAGTTGTTTCCGAATCAATGAAAAATGATGAAAGTATCCAACAAAACAAAATTGAACCAATAAATGGGAGAAAACATGCCATGTAGAAAACTGTTTTACCATTAAAAATTGCACGGAATTTGAAATTTACCACGCTGTATCGATGAATAAAACGAATTGGTTCAAAAACTAAAAGAATTGCGTAAAAACCAAGGTGTAGCAACATTAAAGTCATATTTTGTGTCTCATTCAAATTGCTCTCCTCCCGATAAATGATGAAATCAGATTTTGAACACCGCAAACTCTTCAATAAAATGTCTCTGGTTATCGAAAGAACAGAGTACTCTTACCGTTCTAACAAATATTCCAACAATTGAAAAACAAACATGTATTGAACAACCGTAGGCCAGAAAATATCTATAATTTCCCAATGTTCTCAATAATCCGTTATTTGTGATCACGATAAGTGGAATATTCAACACGATAGCTATGATTCTACAAAATAATTGATATTCACTAATATCGCCGGCCATCGTTGTTAACTGGTAATTTTTATTGTTAAAAGACTGATCCATTTTTGAAAAACAAAATTGAAAACAAGAAGTATGTACGCCCCTTTGAACCCTCGAGAATTGTCTGTTATTTTACTAATTGTTTTCAAGATTTCGATACAAACAGAACTTTGAGACAAAAACAATCAGAAATCAATCGGACTATTTTTTGCAGATTTTAGGATTTGTAGTTCATAATTTCGGTCAAAAACTGGATATTGAAAAATAATTCATTATTAATCACAGTTTAAAACAAAACAAATTAGTTATTTCAGAATTTTTTGAAACTTTTGAAGAAACCCAATACAATTGGGGCAGAACATCTAAAATTGGAAATAACGGTATGAAATAATCCATCAATAAACAAGATATTGTTATTTCAGTATTGATAAAAGGAAAAAATAATAATAGAAAAACTGGGATATGAACACATATAAATGGGAGAGCCAATTGAATTAGAAGTCCTCTCAAAATTCGGAATTGTAAATTTAATGTTTTCCGTGACAAACGCGGTATCTTTTGTAATGTTCCATAACATTTGAAAGCAAGGATGAAATTGGTGGAAAACAATGTTGTTTGAATCAAATACAAAAGAACTATGCATTTCATAGTTTTTGTTGAACGGCAATCCCAATTTTCTCGAAAACTCAAGCCAATCAATGCAGCAGTTTGAATTTTGAGATCATTACTCAAAATATACAATGGGTTTGTTTCCGAATTGATGAAATATGAGGAAAGTATCCAGCAAAACAAAATTGAACCAGTAAATGGAAGAAAGATTGCCATGTATAAAACTGTCGTTTTATCAAAAATTTCACGGACTTTGAAATTTACCACACTGTATCGATGAATAAAACGAATTGGTTCCAGAAACAATAGAATTGCGTAGAATCCGAGGTGTAACACTAACAAAAACATATTTTGTTCTTCACTCAAATAGTTCGCCCCGGGATAAATAATGAAATCAGATTTCAAACACCGCACATTCTTTAAAAATTTTCCATGTTTATGAAAAAACAAAGTAATCTTACCGTTTTCACGATAATTCCAACAATTGAAAAACAAACATGTATTGAACAACCGTAGACCAAAAAATATCTATAATTTCCCAATGATTTCAATAATCTATTATTTATTATTACGATAAGTGGAACATTGAGCACAATAGCTATTATTCTACATAATAACTGATATTCACCAATATCACCGGCAATCATTTTTAACTGGTAGTTTTTCGAAGACTGATCTATTATTTAACAAAAATTGAAAAACAAGAAGTACGCCCCTTGAAACCCTCGAGATTTGTCTGATATTTTGCAAATTTTCTGTCAATTTAAAAAAAAACAGATTTATAGCACGAAAACAATGAAAATATATTGGAGTTTTCTTTGAGATTCAAGCCCTGAAGGACCACCATACAAATATGTTGTTTTAATCAAACTGAAAAAAATACTGTCAAAAATTTGAAATGAAATTTATGATTTTCTAATGTTTTGAGAAAAAAATGTTTTTCTTGAAAGAAATATTGTTTCGAGATCGTAGTTGCTAGTAAATTGTTTCTATGCTTGTGAGTTGAAAATGTATTGTTTTTATTTTATTTAATTGTCTGAATTATTTATTCATGTCAAGTTCACAGGTTTTTTCAAAAATAAACAACAATAAACTGGTAATTTGGATGAACACAAAGTGGGTTTTTAAAAAAAAAAAAAACAATAACAAAAAAAACGTCGAGGTGTAGAAACAATTTTCGGAGAGCTCACGAATTTTACGACACAAGAAAAACATTGCAAAAACAGCATAAAATATTGACTATTGAGTGAAAACATCGGCAGCAACATGGATTAATGGGTTTGTCAGTGATTCTTCATTTATTTTATTTCTACTTATGATAACAAGGTTTTGGCGAATTTCTATATGGTGTTTCATGGTATACGTAGAAATATCAGATCTTTCCACTTGACAATAAAATTGCGAATCATTTCTTGTGGAGTATGGAAGAGATAATTGGAACCTGAAAATTAAAGATATATTTTTTTGTGCTGCACAAAGGAAACAGATTTTTTTTTCAAATTAATAAAATAAAATTACCTTTCGGTTCTGGGATTCACTCCAACTCGATTGCAAAACTGTATCCAATCAATTTCCATGTGAAGGTAGAATCTGATGGTTTGAACAGAGTCTTGTATACGTTCCAAATGCCAATCTTTAACGTAGTTATACAGTTCTTCAATATTTCTATTCTTTAATCCTATGCTAATTGAGGATGCAGCAAGTGATTGAACGTTATCAAAAGACAATGTACACGTTGGACAATATATACCTCTTGAGACTTGTTTGACCTGAAAAAGTTAATGTTTTGATCAAATAATTGATTTTAAAATTGAATACCTTATTAATAACCAAATCGAGTTGTGAAAGCGTGATACATGGATTGATTCCCAATAATTCCAATGGCCGTGTTGTATTGATTTTGGTTAGCAAGGCCTGCGGTCGTCTTGTTGTTAGAATGAGGACACATAACTTCGAGAACTGAACCGGCGCTATTTTCCAGATCTGCCAATGGTTTTCGGATAGACTCAGATATGTAACACTTCGCGCCGACTTCAAAATGAAATTGTTTGCAATTGTGAATTTGTTAATGCAGAACCGTTTTTCAAACAACTTTTCTTCGAATTCAACCGAAATATTGTACCATTTCTTTGAAATCCTTTTTAAGCGTAATCGGTCGATATAGTGTCCGTTCCTTGCAACATCATTTTTGGCAGTTACACAAGTTCTTGCAAAAAGGTGTCTTCCGTATGCATCCATTTTATCAATTATAATTTCTCTCATTTCATACGGTAAATCAACAAATCCAGTATCAATTGGGTCCATCTGAAAATAATCAAGTTTGCTTCACGACTAATAATTTCAACATTGAATTCTTTGTTAGAACATTGTGTATTTTGGTTGACATTTTATTTTTTTATATTGTTTTTACGATTAGAAAAAATTGAAAGTGAAACCATGTTAATAATTCCAGGCTGTTTAAAGCCCCAAAAAATCAAAGATTTCAACTAAACTGTGTGTTGTACAATGACTGAAAATTATTCTTTGAAATTTATATATCGTCTAGAAAAAGTATATGTTTTTATAAATATAATTGAACAATTTTAAATGCTGTTTTCTACATAAAAAAGTCTTACCTTTTCCAAATGAGACTATAAAAATGTGACAATAACTCCAGAAAACAGCACCAGCGCACAAAAAGACCAGAGCAAATCCTGTTTGACAAAGGACAATTGGTGGAATTTCTTTGATATTGTATTGGTTGGCTGTTGTATTAAATGTGAATGTAAATCAGTTGGTGAGGTTTGATTGAAGAGTTCAAAATGAGAACAGCGAAATATCACAACTCGAGACGTAGTCTGAAAAATATCTGATTCTTTTTCTAATTTGTGATTCTATATTTTCAAATCTGATATGCTTGAAAAATTTTTGATAACTTTTTTTTAGTTAGACAAACTGTCTAAATTGAGACAATTTATATCCTTCTCAGGCTGCACAAGATGACAAAAAATCAAAAATTTTGATTAGAGAATTCGAATTTATAACATGGAAGAAATATGCTCTCCAAAAATGTGTTTGTAAAACCGTTTGTATCTAACATTTCGCGTTAACATTTCTTCTAACTTCATTTTTACAAAATCATTGGAGATTTCTTTTTTTTTATTTCAAGGGAAAACTAAAGATTTAGACGGAAAATAATCAGAAGAATTTCCGTGATTTTAGAAGTGATTTTGAAAATATTGCATACCTGAAATCGTCGAGCAAACTCGTGAGAACTCTCCAAAAATCAGTCAGTCCAATCAGTTCAATCAGTTCAATCAGATGTACGAAGATGCGGCTCAGATTGTAAATGGAACCAAGATACGGATTGGATTGTGACACAGGTGGCTTAAAAACGACAGCTTTTTCAGTGATTTATTACCTGCAAAATATTTCTCTCCAGATTCATGGAAATACACAAGCAGTGAAAACATCAGAAAATCAGAAACTTTGTTGCAATAAAGGATACATAAAGTCGAACTTCAAAAAAAAGCTGAAAACTGAAAAAAAAGAACAAACCCAACAATATGGTTATTCGACACAACATAAAAATATAATGAATGAATGAAGAAGAGGGAACACCCGCCAGGTAAAAAATAATGCGCCAGTCTTTAGTGTGCTTGCGCAGAAAAAGTAGGCGGAATATTAAATCAATAAATAATGGAATTTTTTGAGCCAAAACATTTTTTTTTCGAAAATTTTACCTTTTCTTTTGCAATGAAACTCGGTGGTCATGCTTTTAAGCATGCTAATAACGTTTGTGTAACTAGAAATCAATCCTAAAGTAGTAATTCAGATAAGGATCTGACTCCTAGAACTTTAATGGACAATGATTTCGAATGCATAGGTTCCCACCAAGTTGTAAATACTGTAATTTTTAGTGCCATAGCAAACTTCAATCCACTTTTCTTCATTTTTAGGTTATTATGAGATCGGCCCCAGCACTGAATTGATCATGTGTGTAATTTTTCAAAATCTTAGCCACTGCTCCATTTATTTCTGTCCAATTTATTGCTTTTGACAAAAAATACACCTAGACTAACAAATTCAATTTCTATTTTTTGCAAAGTGACTAACTCAATTTTCATTAACCAGATTGAAATCTTCAGAGCAAAGAAGTGTGTTTTCTTTTTAGAATTGAAATGAATCCCTCTGATTTTCCAGCCCGTTTTGAAAAAAAATTATCAGATTATTTTTTGTGTTGATGTATATGGCCCAACTCAATCGTACCCATTCCACATCATTTTTCCAAAAGTGATCATAGATATATTTTCACTTTTTGAACTTATTGAACTTGTGTTTTTCACGTGTTCAATTTGTGACTACTTGGGTATAATAAGAACATGTATCGACATTATTTTTTAAAAGTGTTTGTTGATTTGGAGGTTGTTTTATTTCTCTTATTGTCATTTTGTATGTTTTATTCTAACCTGGTTGGATTTTTCAAGAAAAAAACATTTTATAGCATACGACATAATAAAAAATATAAATTTTTAATACAAAATCCAACCAAAATCCTTGATCATTCCTTTTTTCTAAAAAAAACCCTTTCACAGCACTGAAATATGATAAAAATGCTGCAAACTAATTCCATCTATTTTTTCCATGAACCTATGTAATATTACACCACGTGGTTCTTATCAGAAACCGCCCCAATGCCCTATTACAAAGTCCATTCTCAATATCTTATCAGTCAGTAAATATTCAAATTAATTTGCTGGCCGAATGAACGGGGGACTAGAAAAAGCGTCCCTGTGAGTCTATTTCATCATGTTTATGCGCTCCATTGCTAAAAAGTTGTTTTTGTTGTCGCTTGTGTTCTTCTCTCATTTTTTTTCAAATGTGTACACTTTCTACATATTGATCTGTTTGTGTTCTGCAACTTTTTTAAAAACTACATAATTTTCTACTCAAACATATTTGTTCTGTGATTTTCTTGAATACGGAAATATTTTAATAGTCATAATCATTGATCTATTTTAGTTGTTTGGTCTTAACTCTTGTGAGGTCGCTTGTAAACAACAGACACCTCTTTTCATCTTTCTTTTGTCTTTGTTTTAACTTTTCCACACACTTCTCGGATTTTATTTTATTTTATTTCATTTTCTTTTTGAAATAACTTCAATGTTCAAATTTCGAAGATCACTAACCTACTGATTGTGACAAAAAATGACCTCACAAAAGTTGTATGTAACGATTTTTCAGGAGTGTGTTTGCAGAGATAAAAATCATTTTTATTTATTTGGAAAATCAAAAACCAAACAATCATCTATTTCTCCCACGTGGAGATGGGTTTTTCCTTTTTTTTTTCCTTTTTTTTCCTGGTATTGATTTTTGTGTTTTTTGGCGGAACTCGTAATTTTGAACAAAAAACATGTGGTTTTCTCATTTTTCTATGATATAAATGTTTTCTTAAAGGCGGCATTGAAGATGAGAATCGGTTTCTGAAAGTTTTGCTTAAAAATTTCGTCTCTATGAAAATTCGAAGAGTCTGACATTTTTCAAGCCATTTTACACAGTTTTTCATTGTTTTTTCTAGTGCTTTAGAAACTTTCACTGAAAATTTTTCTAGAAATGAATTTTCAAATTAGCCTAACTCATTTTTATCTCACATTCCACTTGTAAAACTGAATAGGTTTTTGTGACATTACATAAAAACTTCAATTGTAGATGAATTCCATGTGTGAATCTAAATTTCAGAATAGTATTTTCAGCATTTCCCCTCTCATCTATAGATTTTTCCACCCAGAAATCATATATGAAAAATCCTATCCTCCCACATTTTTCGTTAGCCATTTTTTCTCTCCATCTTTTTTTCTCTACCCTCCTCTCCCACTCTCTCTTTATCTCTAACCTACTTCTCAACTACTGGACAACGTTTTCTATGTGTGTCGATCCTCGTGCGAACGGCATGGACTGCACGATATTCAAAATCTGCTCTATCGCACTCTCGCGTTGTTGTTTATTGTTGTGCAAACTTGTTTCTTTCATTATTTTTTTTCCAAAAAAAAAAACAAAAATTATAGGCTATTTTGTAGCGTGTATTTTATCTAGAGGACAAGGTACATTCCGATAATTTTGTTGCTGTCTCATTTTTCAAACCACGTTGTTTTCTTTTCTCTTCTCTTCATTTTTGCGTCTTTCCCGTTCGTAGAAAACAAATACTATTTCTCTTTTTTCTTCCACTACAATGACGCAACGTTTTTTTTCCACAAAATATTTTTTCCAGCCACCACACAAAAATGTTGTCAAGACTCAGTCAGCCATTGCTCGCCACATCAGCAAAAATTCTTGCGCCAGCGTCAAGAAATCTTATGCTTCACGAGCATCATGGTATGAAGATTCTTGAGAGTTATGATATCAAAGTTCCACCATTCGGTGTTGCCAAGGATGCTGAAACTGCTCGTGCTGCTGCCACAAAAATCGGCGGAAAAGACTACGTTGTCAAGGCTCAAGTTCTTGCCGGAGGTCGTGGAAAAGGACGTTTCTCTTCAGGACTTCAAGGAGGTGTTCAAATTGTCTTCACGTAAGTTTTCCCTAGAAATATATTTATAATTTTCATCTATTTTCAGACCAGATGAGGTCAAGGAGAAAGCCGGATTGATGCTTGGCGCCAATTTGATTACAAAACAAACCGATCATCGTGGAAAGAAATGCGAAGAGGTACATTCTCTTATCTTTGAAAGATTTTTGCATCAGCATTCACGTGAAAAAGACTTCGAAACATGTGAATGGAACGTGATTGTTTGAGTGCAGGGGAAACCGTTTTGCAAACACGGAAAAAATAAATAGAAATAAAATTGGAGTGATTATTGATGTTATGAAATTGGAACTGCATTGGTGAAATTACACTGGAGCAGATCTGAAAATTTTGAAACTCAAGCGCTCACTTTGTGACTGTAAATTTGTTTCTGTCTCTGAAAATTTCACGTCAGAGAATTTTTATGCAGATCTACTGAATTCACTTGATTTTTGGTCTAATTTGATGAGCAGATTTCTAGTCAAGCTCTTCAGATCTCACTCATCTTTCATTGTATCTGAGCCAAGGTTCTGATAATTCAACAACAATTTTCCCGGCTTTAAGCACAAAAAACATTCTATTTTTCCAGGTTATGATTTGCAAACGTCTCTTCACTCGCCGTGAATACTACTTCTCGATCACCCTCGACAGAAACACCAACGGACCAATCGTGATTGCTTCATCCGAAGGAGGAGTCAACATTGAAGAAGTTGCTGCCACCAATCCAAACGCCATCGTCAAAATGCCAATCGATATCAACGTTGGAATCACTCCACAAATCGCTGCAACAATCGCCGAAAAAATGGGATTCTCAAAAGACTGTGAAACTCAAGCTGCTGCCATCATTGAAAAACTCTACAAAGTCTTCCGCGGATCTGACGCCACTTTGGTCGAAATCAATCCAATGGCTGAAGATGTCAATGGTGATGTTTATTGTATGGATTGCAAACTTCTTCTTGATTCCAACGCTGAATTCCGTCAAGATAACTTGTTCAGTTTGAAGGATAAGAAACAAGAAGATCCACTTGAGGTAAGACAACACGTGGTGGTCAATCATCTAGACGCTTTCGCGACCTTGATAAGATTTTTTTTTTGGAAAAATGGAAGAATATAGAGAATGAGGAAGAGAGAAAAAGACATCATAAATGGGGAGAGAATGTTTTAATGGGGTAAAATGAGAATTTGAACTTTTGTTCGCCGATTTTCGTTGACAATGTGATCAAAACTAGAAAATATGATTCATGATGAAATCTCAAAAAAACATCACATCATCTGGAAGACCTTACTAATGTAATTTTTTTGTTTCAGATCAGAGCTGCCGCTTCAAACCTCAACTACATCCGCCTTGATGGAAACATTGGATGTATGGTCAACGGAGCTGGTCTTGCTATGGCTACTATGGATATCATCAAACTTCACGGAGGTGAACCAGCCAATTTCTTGGATGTCGGAGGTGGTGCCACTGTTGCTCAAGTTACTGAAGCTTTCAAAATTATCACCGCCGACAAAACCAAAGTCAACGCTATCTTGGTCAATATTTTTGGTGGAATCATGAGATGCGATGTTATTGCACAAGGAATTATTCAAGCCGCTAAAGAATTGAACCTTAAAATCCCAATTGTCGTCAGATTGCAAGGAACTAAAGTTGAAGATGCGAAGGCATTGATTGCAACATCAGAACTTCGAATTTTGCCATGTGATAATCTTGATGAAGCAGCAAAAATGGTTGTCAAACTTTCGAATATTGTTGATTTGGCTCGTGCTACCAATATTGATGTCAAATTCGAATTATCTATCTAATTTGCATATTTGATTTGTCTTCTTCGTATTTTATTATTGTCAAATTTTCAAATCTTTCTCTCTTTCTCGTCCTTTAATTTTGTTGGAATAGTTTTTTTTGTCCTCCAACAAGTATCTCCATGCTTACTATTTGTCCATTTGGTGCATTGTAGTTAATTTGTCGTAACGAGTATAGTGTCTTCTAATTAATTATACATAAGTTTTTTTTTGAATTTTCTTCTCGATGATTGTATTGTCAAAACCCTCACCACACACACAAAATAAAAGAATTGATTCATTCTTGATGTTGATATGTGAAGGACATTCACACGTGGTTGTAAAATGTCGGAAGACCGGAATCCTTTGCGTTGTCACTTGAAAAGGGTAACATTCATAAAAATTTTAATACCCATTTAATGAGTAGACGCACCTTATTCACGGTGTTTTATTTTGATGTTGTTGCAAACACAATTAGGACACAATCAGAACTATGCAATAAAATTCACTGTTTTTTTGGTGATAAAGTGCAGAATTTTTGATATCCTGAATTTGAAGTTAAACATGGATGTTTAGCTATCAAGAAAACTTTTTTCTAACACTTTTAAGTAAAATCTGGAATTTATTTGGAACTGTTCGAAATTAAAACATTTAAATTTGAAATCGAAAAATTTCTTCAGAACAAAAATGTGGTCTCCAACCCTCCAAAACTTTCTGATAAGGATATTCTCTCTAAAAACTGTCCAAATACTTTTGAAGTTACTCTATCTACCAACTGTCTCAATCAGAATTTGGAAAAATAGAATATCAATACAGTTAGCACTTGAAAGAGAGGTTCTTGAATTTGTAAATGTGAAATTTGTTGAAACATAGCTCATTTGGAAAATAACCTCTAGTGATCCAAGAATTTGTAAATTTTCCCCCGAATTCTTAAATATTTTTCAGTTCATTTTTTGATTCCTCATTCAGTCCATTTTTCATTTGTCGTCACGTTGTTTTCATTTCTGAAACATTGAGATAAAATCGAAATTTCATTTCCGAAAAAAAATTTCATTGCCATATCGTGTTCCAGATCGACTTTTGAGATTGAACCATCAAGAAACTAAAAACTAATTGAGGTATCGATCATAAAGGTCTCGCGCAACATCATCGAGAATTTTATTTGAAGGAAAGCGCCTGACTAAAACAACCACTATTTTGATGACCTCGCATCTGACCGTAAAAAGGTGCAACCAGTATCGAGACTAATCACGTTGTCGGCGCGACGAAGTTGTCTTATAGAGAAGATCATCAAAAAACCAGAACAAGGAGGTGGAGAAATGCAGAGGTACGGTATAAATAGTCATCGATAGGTGTTTGTGGATCATTTGTGTTTCTCTAACCTATTTTAAGAATGAGACTGCAAGTTCAAATCGGTGTTGAATGTGTCGTTGTGCCTTGTACTCAAGAAGATAGTGTGCATATTGTGGCTAAAAGATCAATTGAAAAATTGCGAAGACTTCGCCCAACTCTATCTCTAGCTAATGATTATTATGAGATTCGAAGAACTGTTGGTAACTCACTTCTTGATCCTGAAGATACAGTTAGCGATGTTCTAAAAGATGGTGACTTCATAATCGTTGGTAAGTTTTGGTTTATTCATTTTGAAAACCAATTTTGACTTTCCAGCCGCAAATCATGAAGAGACCGAAGAGGCGAAAGAAGCTAAACGTCAAGAAGAAATCGATAATGCTCGTTTAGAACTCGACAAACTTGAAACCCGTCGTAGAAAGTGAGTGACACAAATCTCGATATTCCCAATAACACTTTCCTCCAGAGTCTCTTTCGCTGTTGATCAACTTACTCCAATGACACTTGCTCCACCAAGCCGTCTTCTTGTTCTTGATGGAAACAGTCTTTTACCAGAAGATTTGGTAAGATGTGAACGTGGTGAATGTGCAATCCAATTATCGATTGATTCCGAAGATCGGATCAAAAAAGGAAGAGCTTTTCTTGAAAAAATTGCTTCTGAGCATAGAGGTAATTGAAATTTATAAAATTTTTCAACAAAAAAAATTATTTTCAGCTGTGTATGGTGTGACAACTGGATTCGGAACATTTTCAAATGTTTTAATCCCACCAGAGAAAATCAAGCAACTTCAACTGAACCTCATCAGATCTCATGCCACAGGATATGGTGAACCACTTGCACCAAATCGCGCTAGAATGTTGTTGGCACTTCGAATAAATATTCTGGCAAAAGGTCATAGTGGAATATCTCTGGATAACATTAAGAAAATGATTGCGGCATTCAATGCTTTTTGTGTTTCTTATGTTCCACAACAAGGAACTGTTGGTTGTTCCGGTGATCTTTGTCCATTAGCTCATTTGGCATTGGGTTTGTTGGGAGAGGGGAAAATGTGGAGTCCCGCAACCGGATGGCAACCAGCTGATCTTGTTTTGAAAAAACACAATTTGGAACCTTTGGTGCTTGGACCAAAAGAAGGGTTAGCTTTGATCAATGGAACACAAATGGTTACAGCATTAGGAGCTTACAGTAAGTTTTTGCTAAACATCCATAAGTAAACCTGAATAATTATAGCCTTGGAACGTGCTCATAACATTTCCCGACAAGCCGATGTTATTGCTGCTTTGTCTTTGGATGTTTTGAAAGGAACAACTCGTGCATATGATCCAGATATTCATCGAATTCGCCCACATCGTGGACAAAACTTGTCTGCACTTCGACTCCGCTCACTTCTTCACTCTGAAGCCAACCCATCTCAAATCGCCGAATCTCATCGTAACTGTAAAACTGTTCAAGACGCCTATACTCTTCGATGTGTTCCACAAGTTCATGGCGTTGTTCATGATACAATTGAATTTGTTCGAGAAATTATCACTACTGAAATGAACTCGGCAACAGATAATCCACTCGTTTTCGCTGATCGTGAAGAAATCATCAGTGGTGGTAACTTCCATGGTGAATATCCAGCAAAAGCTCTCGATTATTTGGCGATCGCTGTTGCGGAGTTGGCACAAATGAGTGAGAGAAGATTGGAGAGACTTGTTAATAAAGAATTGAGTGGACTTCCAACCTTCTTGACACCTGATGGAGGGTTCAATTCAGGATTTATGACTGTTCAATTATGCGCAGCTAGTTTAGGTGAGCCATGAATTAATGTTGAATAACAATTTTTAATGTGAATTTTTTCAGTATCGGAAAACAAAGTATTATGCCATCCATCATCTGTTGATAGTATTCCAACAAGTTGCAATCAAGAAGATCATGTTAGTATGGGTGGATTTGCCGCAAGAAAAGCATTGACTGTTGTTGAACACGTTGAGGCTGTTCTAGCTATGGAATTATTGGCAGCTTGCCAGGGAATTGAATTTTTGAAGCCACTCATGTCTACAGCTCCGTTGCATAAAGTTTATCAATTGGTTAGAACTGTTGCACCGTAAGTGATGTTTCTAATTGGCAGAAAATTTATTTTATATATGTATTTTTTTTCCAGACCACTCATTCAAGATCGTTATATGAAACCAGAAATTGATGCAGTCGTTGAAATGATTCGTGAAAACAAGGTGAGTTTTTCTTTTCTTCTCGTTTTGTATTTGTTGCTAAATCATACAAAAACAAAATAAATTCCAGATCTGGGAAACTGTATTGCCACATCTTGAAACTCTTGAAGCTATGGAGGAGCTCGATCCAGATGCGCTTCGTCAATTTGCCAAAACTCCAACAGGAATTGTTCAAGATCGCAGTGCATTATTATCTAGTGGAGAAGAAGAAGAGGAGGAAGAAGAAGAATAAAATATCAAAATTAATGTTTTCAATATTTACCAATTAACATTTATCCAATTAATTATCCCGTAAGAACAATAAATATCCCATTTACTGATTTGAATTGAAAAAAAATATGAATTGCATACATTAAGCGGCGATTCGGTGACGTTGCCACAAATCCAGCAACGCCTCGGCGACGTTGCTGCAAAAAGCAGTTGATTTATATGTTCGCCCCTAGCGACAGAGGGCAACCTTGCCAAAAAAAAAAACACTGCTACGCAATTCTGCACAATCAAGAATTTTCGACTTTGTAAGCAGTTTTGATGGGTTCGATTCCCAGTCAAAAACTTTTTTTCCTTTTTTCTGAATTAATCTTAAAAATCTTCAGTTCTTTGTGATGACAATATTCATAAGATCGTAATTACAGAATATACAATCAATTTGATAGACAAAGACCCGCCGGCTATAATATAGTCTTTCATCTTTTATATATAAACTCAAAAAAAAACAAAAACAGGAAGGGGGAGGAAAAGGACGCCAATTTGGTATTGTATTGTCTTGACTAACGCTTATTTTGTTTAATCGATAAATGCTGAAAGATTGTTAATTTTGATAAAATTTGAATTGCTTATCTGTTTTTTTTTTGAATTCTGAATTTTTTCTGACATTGAGATTGCTGTTATATTTATTCTTCACATTTTTGTCTCAAAAATCTGGTCTCATGATGAAAATATGTTTGTTTTTTTTTTCAAATAATGATTTAGTTTTCAGCACCGAACCATCAACCACCGGTTCGCTCTCCTCAATCCGTTCGAAATGCTCAAGTCATCATTGACCTGTTTCGGAATTTCCAGTTCAGTCACCAGTCGATATGATGCCAACAACTTCTGGAAACAGGAGGCAACCATAAAACAGCAAGACGAGTTTGACGGAGAGCTTTGCCATTCAATCACAATCACAAACGCTTGCTTCGGTCATATTCTTCATGCTGAACGAACGGAGGATAGTGTGAAAATATACGGTATCATCGACCCGCAAATCGTAGAAATCGAGCACGATGCAAGCATCGATATTCTACATCGAGCGCAGACACCCAATTGTGATCGTGAATGGGCTGATCGCCAACATGCCCTAGAAGGCGACCTGCTAGGCGATCGCCTTCTCGCTGGAATCCGAGAGTTTCACGGCCAGCTGCAAATGTGCTCAACCAAGCTCCATATTCTCCAACGAGAACATCAGCACCACGTGCACAACCGACATCATTGGAACTTTTAGCTCGTGTTGCCGAACCAATTCGACCGGCTATCCCAGCGTTGGCCCCAGTGGTTCCAACCCCCGCCCAAAAGAAAATCGCCATGAGACGGAAATTCTGGAGCCAGTGCTGTTCTCTATGTGCCAGCAACTGCACCGATTCCAATTCGATCCGGAAGAACGGCTGTCGCTGCCGCCTCAGCATCGATACACCAATATTATACGGAGTTTTTAGAAAACGGCAAGCGCACAAACGCAGTGCCAAGAGTTTCCAGCACGCAGAATATCGACCTCCGCTGGACAGAGTTAGCAAAACCAAAGCCAGATTCGATTGCAACAGCATCACAGACGTCCGCCAACATCTGGATGCTATCAAAAACGTTCTGGATTTCCGGAATTATGGTCGCACGCGATCTTCTCGCCAAGCATCAAACGCTTGTCAAGTCTGCACAATCATACGATTCTACTCCGACACAGGCGAAGCTCCAATCGATATATGTACTAAAAAGTTGTCGATTTATCGGCAATTTGGGGGCCGACTAATTTTGTGAGTTTCTTTTTTTCTGAAATGAAAAATATTAATTTATAAAATTTCAGCGCAAGGCAGGTACCAGTGGCAATACCTCTTCAGCAACTTCCCTGGTGCCAAATATGTATATATCAACCAAAAAAATCGAGAAATTATCAAAATCAACAAAAAAAAACTGGAAAAACAAAAAACACAAAAAAATTGCATTTTTATCATTATTCAATGGAAATTATTATTTATTCGCCCGTCAAATGAATATCAAAAGCAGCTTCTCATTTCAATTTTATGGTCTGTGAATAGTTTTTGGCGCAATATGTCATCTCGGATTTTAAAATGAAAAAAATTGGCGTTTTTTTTTTAATTGTTCTCAAATGAAATGAATTTTTTTCAGAAACGATCAATTTTTTGGGAGTGGCACCGTCTACACATTAAAAATGTGAAACAATCTGGACTTCACACCCATATGGGTTTGCTGTGACATTATGTGAATTGCAACACTCTGTGGATTGATGATTTCATTCATCTGCTATGTTTGGGAATTTTTGAGATGCACACGAAACCTCGACTCATTTGACTTCATCAAAAATATTTTTCCTTTGGATCTATCGAGTAGTTCTATAGAAAACGTGAGTTCTTTAATTTTTTCAGTTTTAAAAATAAGGTTTTGTCAATTTTCAGGACTCCTAGTCGTTGCGAGAAGCCAATGTGCTTCTCTGAAAAACATTGAATAAACTAATGTTCTTTGCAAATGTAAGTTTTTTAAAACAAACTATTTAACTTTCAAAAACTATTTTCTTGCAGAAGAACACATGAATTTGGATTTCAGTTCAGCATATCTGATAATGAGAAACAATATTTGGAAGCTTTTCTGGAACTCAGTTCAATAATTTGCCAAACTTTCAATAACAATTTTTGATGGTGTAAATTTTCTGGAACCAAGTTCACCAACTTCAAAAGTCTGTCAATTTATTTTTATTCCTGTGTTTTTCTGTGTTTTTTTTCGTTATTTTGATAAATTCTAAATAATTTTATTTACTTTATAGAAGATATCAGAGTTCCCGCAACACAATTTTCAAGAAGTGCTTCAGAGATTTGCGCGTTTTGTTAGTTTGGTGTTTGCAGATTTTTTCATCGCAAGATTCATTGACCACGCCCATGTTCTGGAAAAATACAAAACAATGTATATATTTCATAATTCATAACATAGTATTCGTATAATATAGACGCAGACTTTGTCGAAGAAAAATAATCACATGAGCAATTTTCGAATAACATTAAATATAATGGATGGTTCATGCGGTTTTACAATCAAGTCTATCGTTCCAAGTTTCATTTTTTTTTGCCCTGCCCTTCGATTTCTGAACGAAAATAATATATTCCGATTTTTCAACTCATCTAGATCCTTTCAATAAAATCGCGGGTGTATCAAAAAAAAATTCAGAGTCGTATCTTGAATGAATACAATTTTAAGACTAATGCCACACCTCTTTTGCCTTTTCGACACGAAAAAGTGTTTTTTTTCATAACAAAAAGCACTGGTCGAACTAGTATAATAACAAAAATATTGATCTAGGGGCCATTAAAATCATCTGTTTTTCCATATCATTTTGAACCATCCACCTTCTTCATGGTGTCGGTTTCCATGTGCTAATTAGAGTAGCTTAACCACACCTGCTATTTTAATCTTTTTTTAATTTACCAATATTAAACATTTACCATAAATATATAATTGTTATTTTCATCCAAGTATTTGAGCCCTAAGACAACCCCTTGATATTGTGATCTACTCTAAATACATCTTCTTCCCCATTTCATATAAGTGCAAAAAAAATATTCCAATTTCCCAATTCGTATTTTCCACACCCGTCTCAAATAAAATAGTACATAAATCAAAGAGAGTTTAGAAAAGTATCTCAAATGAGTACAATGTTGAGACAAACGCCACGCCCCCTTCGCCCCTGTGTTTTTCCCCTTCTCGACACGAATGCCCGCTTTCGTCGGATTTTTGCGCCTGTGGCGAAAAATCGATTACACATTGAACACTGGGGCAAAAGAGGCATATGAGTTTTGAAAAGCCTAGGGTCTCTCTTTTTTCTAATAAACACTTTGATTAGCGACATTCGCCATCTTAATTAAAAAGAAACATTTCTCTTTTTCTCACCATTATTATTTTTCTTTACGCCAACAAACTTTGTGACTTTGGTTGTGCCAATTACTGTCGATTTGCGCCAAGAAAATTTTTTTCAAAAAATATATTATTTGTAGTGAATTAGTATACCGTAATTTTTTTCTATACGTTTTTCAGAAAATCTTTTTTGAAGGCACATCTAAAATTAATTTGAATTCAATTTCAGACTTGAAAAATGGTGGCGACTAGACGTAAAAAAGCCGAAACGAAAAAACATTGGAGACTTGCGTGTAAAGCATCACGTTTTATTGCAATACTGAACAAGCCAAAAATGAAACACGTGAGTGATTCTTTTTTTTTTTAATATTTTTCTTTAATTAATGTTTTTCAGTTCGAGGAAATACCAATCGAGGTGAGAAGTGTGATTGTTGATAAAATGCGCCCCGAAGACAGGTAATGTTCGACATATTTTCATTATATAAAAAAAAATTAATATCATATTGCAGATGCCGATTTGCTAGATGCTCAAGATTGTGTGAAAATCTTGCGAAGACTTCGATTTTCTACATGTATGGATTGGCTTTTTCTTCTTCGACTCCAAACAAATACACAATCACAGTTCAACATCATAGATATGATCGAAATCCTGGAAGTCGTAATCAAAAAGATTACAAAATCAAATTCGAAAAGCAAGGAAGAAAAAAACAAATGAGAATGTTAGTTTATTTTTTTAAAATTATTTTCCAAGTGTCCACAATCTTTTCATTAATCCAAATGAATTTTTCAGCAAAACTCCTGCCAAAACGTTGGTTTATCCACTTGCCAAGAACACAAATCTTCTCGAAGCTGCGGTTGAAAAGTTCGAAAAACTGGTCAATGACAATGCGAGGTGCCTCCGATATTTGGAAGTTTCGTGTGCTGAATTGGATGAGAGACAATTCAATTTCAATGAAATATCAAGATTGGAAACCTTGAGCATGAGATATTTGAATTTGGATCTTGTGCGCAGATTCCATTATCCGTTGAAAACGTTGCATCTTGGCGAATCATTCCATGATGTTACTATTGAATCTCTTGGTTTGATGCCATACGTGAGCGGTGTTTTTTTCTAGATTCTTCATTTGAATTTTTCGTTTTTCAGATCTTCCTAACTCAGGACATGTTAAGTGGCTGTTTTGATTTCACACTCCACCAACTTATACAATTGACTGCTGACAAAATCAGAGTATCAATTGGAGGCTGGAATGCCAGAACATGTTACGATTTGATTTATCACTGGAAACGTGCAATTGATCCCCGCAAAAGATGGTACTCTTTGGGAATTCAACATAATCCTCAAAGAATTATTCGAGGATTGATTTCAATGTTGAATCTTCACATTGACGATGTGAGCAGGTATAAAACAATTCAACTTTCATAGTTTATGATTGATACATTTTTAGAGCTCGTATTCGAATTTATGCTGGAAGTTTCAATGGAAAATCTGCAAAATTGCAATTCCTTGGCGACGGCATATTTTTCGCCTACCCCTTCGAGGCATATGACTTGTCTGACAATGACGAAGAAGATTTCCCACACGTCGATTATACTTGCATCATCTAATTTCTTGCTATTGTATTGTCTCTCCTTGAAATGTTCACAACAAATCTGCAAATTTTCGAATTTCTCACATTTTTTCTCCTTTTTTGAACATTTCGTATTGATACTGTTAATAAAAAATTCTTTCAAACTATATTATGTTAAGATGTTGGTGAAAATCTGATGTTGAAATATTTTATTCAATTGATCTTGAACATAAATCGATTCAAATTTTGTGAAATGAGTCATTCTAGTTTTGGATCGATTTCGAAGCCATCACAAAATTATTTTATTTTGGTGCCATATCACTTCCACTTTCTTCATAAGGCGTGCCGGTTTCCATGTGCTAATTAAAGTAGCTTAACCACACCTGCTATTTTAATCCTTTCTTTATTTACCAATATGAAACACTTAATTTAAATATTTAATTGTTATTTTTCATCCAGGTATTTGAGCCGTTTACTCTTTCGATCTACCCTAAATTTCTCTCGACAGCGGAAAATATCCCTATTCATATTTTCCACACCGATCATGATTCATCAAGCAAAATAGCATAGGTATCAAAGAGAGTTGTGTCCCAAATGAGTACATGTTGAGACAAACGCCGCCCCTGTTTTTCCCCTTCTCGACACGAAAGCCCGCTTTGTGCGCCTGTGGCGAAAAATCGATATCACCTTGAACATTGGGCAAAAGCAGCATACAATTTTTGGCGAGCCCTCTTGCAATGTCTGCGTCTTTTCTTTTTTCACGATATTTTTGATCATCAGCAACATCATAATTGACAAGAAATATTTCCCTCTGTTCTACCATTCTTTCTTGGCGCTAATAATTCATAATAGCACAACATGTCAGTCGATTAAAAGTTGATAATCGGCGAAAGTAAGAGAGATGCAGACATTTTCACGTGAGAATCTTGTTTTCTTCATTGAAAAAAATATGGAAATCATTTTTAATAAACACGTGAACTACGCGGCAGTCTCTGCGTCTCCATCACTCTTGCTCTCTGACATGTTGTGATAGGAGGTCCCAGTAATTTGATTTTCATTTGGTAACAAAAAATAAACAAAAGCATCCTTTCAAATTTCAATATGCTGACCGACATGTTGAGTTACAACCCGTCAAAAGAAGCTTTGTTCAAATAAATCGAAGCGAAATAAACTATAGAGAAAGGTTCTTCTTTATTTCTTCAAGCACATGTTAAGAAATCGGAGTAGAAAAATCAGAAAAAGGAGAAATAAAACAAAACTAGTCACTTGTATACGGTAGTGCATTTTGACATCATTTATATTTATTTTTTATCCATTTCTAGCATCTGTTATGTTTTTCTCGATTTTTCTTAATTTTTCGTGATTCTTTGATAAATCTCAGCTCGTAACCCGTCAATGTTTCTGTGCATCTCCCATTATTTTTTTTCTGAAAATCAAATCTGCTCAATTTTAATATTTTTCGAAATAAATACTGTATTATCAAATCTGTATAGTTTTCCTTCAATTCTCCACTGTTTAACTTAATTCATAACTGCCTTGGTTTTTCAGGATTTCAGGAGAAAAATGGTGGCGACTAGACGCAAAAGAGCCGAAACAAAAAAACTTTGGAGACTTGCGTGTAAAGCATCACGTTTTATTGCAATACTGAACAAGCCAAAAATGAAACGCGTGAGTAATGCTTTTTTTTAAATAACTTTCATTAATTAATTGATCGTTCAATGTTTTTCAGTTCGAAGAAATACCGATTGAGGTGAGAAGTGTGATTGTTGATAAAATGCGAGTCGAAGATAGGTAATTTTGATAATGAACATTTGTTTTCTTATTAAAAACATTTTATTGTAGATGCCGATTTGCTAGATGCTCAAGATTGTGTGAAAATCTTGCGAAGAGCTCGATTTTCTACATGTATGGATTGGCTTTTTCTTCTCAAAATTCAACAAAATACACGATTACGGTTCAACATCATCAATATGAACAAAGAGGTCTTCCAGCAAGTTTCAATTCCAAAGATTACAAAATCGAATTTGAACAACGAGGAAGGAATAAACATATGAGAATGTGAGTTCATCTTTTTTAATATTCATTCAATTGATAATGAGAAGTTCGTCAAAACTAATTGACAAATAGAAAGTTTGCTCTATTGCACAATTACAAAAAATCGAACAGATTGTTCTATTTCACAAATACTTCATTTTTGCGTACTTCTCCTGGATTTCCCATTCTAAAATTTATCAACTATTTTAAGTGTCCTGATAACTTAACCCTTCATATAAAATTTTCAGCAAAACACCAAATAAAACGTTGCTTTATCCACTTCCCAAAAACACGAATCTACTTGAAGCTGCAGTTGAAAAGTTCGAAAAACTTGTCAATGACAATGCAAAATGCATCAGGTTGTTGGAAATTTGGGGTGACCAACTAAATGGAAGACAATTCAATTTCAATAAGATAATACATTTGGAAACATTAACAATGGAATATTTGAATCCGGCTCTTTTGAGATCTATTCAACGTCCGCTGAAAAAATTGTATCTTGGAGAGTCACCTGAAGAGGTTACTATTGATTCTCTCAATTTGTTCAGCCAAGTGAGTGGCCTAGGCGTGTGCAAAAGATTACATTTTGAACATTTTCTGGATTAATTTTGAATGGCGAGGAAAAATATTTTTCTTTCCAAATATGAAAAATCCGAAAATGAGTTTTACATTTCCATATGCTACTATATTTATGTATGTTTATGATTATTTCGGTTTACAGATAAATCAAGTACAGACTTTGTTGGTTGGAAGTGTGAATTTTACATTCGAACAAGTTTTACAATTAACTGCTGACAGAATCACAGTATTAATTGAAGAGTGGAATGCCCAAGATATTTTCAATCTACTCATACACTGGAAAAATCACAATGATCCACGAAAAAGATCGTTTTCCTTAGCAGTTCGAAGATGTGCTGTTCAAATGAACCGACAATTGATTTCATTGTTGAATCTGCGAATTGAAAATCAGAACACGTAAGTACAACACTTCAACTTTTATAATTTCCATCGAATACGCTTTTAGCGCTCGTGTTCGACTTTGCGCTGGAAGTTTCGATGGCAAATCTGCGAAATTGCAATTTCTTGGCGACGGCATATTTTTTGCGTATCCTTATGACGCATATGACCTAGTTCGCGATGAAGATTTTCCACATGTCGATTTTGTTCGCGTCATCTAATTTCTTGATCATTCAAAAATAACACAAAAGTTTGAAAATTACTGAACTTATGGATATTTTTTTTTTACAATTTTCACAATTTTTCTTTTGCAACTGTGGTTTTTTTTGTGTTTAACAATTCACATTGATACTTGTTAATAAAATATCCTTTCAAGATACGTTATGAGATTTTGATTTCGAAATATTTCATTTCTTTGATTTTGAATTAAGGAAATTATCGTTTTTCCTTTGTGAAATATCGCAAAAAAAACAGCGTGATTCAGAAATCTCACAATCAGAAAAAATGTTTTCATTCTATCTCTGGAAATTTCTCTACTGTATAACTGGCAATGTTGAAGTCACAAATATTCTTGTTGGAGCTACTGATGATGATGATACAAACAATAAAAATTGTGTTTCTGGAAGAAATATTTATTTGGAAAACATCTGGAATATTTGTTATAAACCTCATAATTGGCAGTAGTATGAAAATCTACAAAATATAAATAATTGGTATTAATATCATTTCTGGGATCGATTTATGTACTTATTATAGCCAAATCTCACCTTATTCTGACTATTTTCACCTTTCCTACACCAAAAAAACATGAGTGCATGACTAATGCACGCCACTGTATTTGCACACGGAACACTATTAGGATAGAGTAGAAGGCAGAGACGCAGAGGAAACTGCCGGCATCGCAATAAACTTTGAATTGTTACATTTTTTGTGAAAAGAAAGAGATTTCCTTTTCTTTTGTGGTTTTGTGTTAAATGATTTCTTAGTAATGACAAAATTTCAGATTTTTCTATTCTAAATTAGAAACAAATGAAGATATTTATCGAATTGAGAGACCATGACGAAATTGTGCATCGAGAATTCGAATGGGTGGTTACTGGAAATGTTTGTTTTTTTTATACATTCTCTATGTAATATGTTTTTCAACTTCTAGGGTGAGATTTCCGATCTCAGGGAACAAATAAAGTTGGTATTTTCTATCGATCAAATTTATCAACAACTGTTTTATAATGGCGAACTTATACGAGCAGACACTGCAGTCGAAGCTGGATTAGTGGACAAAGATACGTGTGTTGTTGTAAGTTAAATATTTCACTATTTATATTCAAAATTGTATTAAAACACCCTTTTTGTAAAGATGCAAAACCCAAAAAAAATTTTGATCCCAGAATCGGCCAAATTAAAAAAAATATTAAAAAAAATAAATTGTATTTCTTACAGAAACACAATATGTGCACGAACTGGCAAGTGTATATCGGATTGATCAAAAAATTACAAGATTTGACATCATTCGGAGTCACTGAAGACCGGAGAAAGATCGCGCTGTTAGCGAGACCAAATTTGTCCATACTTGACAGCTCCCGATTTTTCCTAACGTATCCATCTCTACAGCTCATAAGAGTGGATATCGAAACAAAATTAGGATTTCTTGTCCATAACGTCGCAAAATATCTAAAGAGATCTGTAATGGCATATTATAAACAACTATTCCCCAATGAAAACGTCAAAATCCAAAACACACCAACAAACTCCGCTGGTGTTCATGTAAGTTTTTTATCAACATGTGTCCATATATAGTCTTTGAATATTTCAGCTCGGAGTAATCGTTCACATTGATAACAAGCCATCATTTTACGCAAAAACACTGGGGAATATTCCGATAGTAGAAGAAGAAGAATTTGATTTTTTGAACGGGACCAAAGTCGATTTGGTTGAAATCTTTGTATATGTGTTATTAAATTTGACTGGACTGGGACCAAACGATGTTCACATCATACCAGAAGTAAGCAAATGTGACATGATTTTTATTTCGACCAAAATAAGTAAGACAAAATTTAATTGTTCTTACATAGCCTCTCTTTAATTTAATGTTTTTCAGTCGATCTCTTTCATACAGCTTCTGGCGTATCAATCAAACAAATGTTGGACCCATCAACTTCTTCCAGTGAGTTCTAGTGATTACAAGTTATAATCATAACTTGTAACACTATTTATGAAACACCGTGCGTACTCATTTTTTATTTATTGTTTAGCACCGAAGGATGTCGTTATTGATGCAGAAATGAAACTACAGCTGCGAATTATATCATCCTTGCTGTGTTTGTCTGATTTACAGACAAACAAGGGCAATTTTGGAATTGTTGAGCCACAATCCGTCGAAGACAATGAAAATCAAGGACCCAGAAAATTGGCTGTCGTTGATTTTGGAGTAAGTGTTTGTTATATAAAATTTCTATGCGCATTGTAAACATTTTCAGATAAATCTTCGCTTAATTGACGAAGAGCCAGCCATTTTCACGTCCAAAATCGATATTTCCTATTTGAAAACGTTTTTGGAGAAAATTGATATTTTGAAAAATATATATGCAGCAAGAGAGAAAATGATATCCGACCCAGCATTGCGTAACAACGAGAATGTTAACAAAAATACATTTAATCGATATTTTGAACGGTTGGAAAAAGCACTACTAAATTTCTTGTGTAAAACATAGTGATGCAAGCTCACTTTAACAATTGATGTTCTTAAAATTATGAAAAATTAATTCTACTTTTCCCTCCCTCCTCATCTTTATTTTTTTTTAATTTTTATCACCTATTTATTCATTTATTTGTATGTTATAAAATAGTTTTGTGACTATATATACTTTATATATTTTTGGTAGAAAATTTTTGTTCAAAAAGTTTCGCTTAAACTTATTTTCATGCTACGTTCAGAAATCCCACAAAACCACAAAAAATATCTTTATGCTATCTCTGAAAATTTCTCTACTGTATAACTGGCAATGTTGAAGTCACAAATACTCTTGTCGGAGCTACTGATGATGATGATACAGTACTAACACTTCCACGATCTGACATTGACCGGTTCAAAAGAAATATTCGATCCTGTTCTGTGATTTCGGATGGATAACAACAATGAAAAATTGTGTTTCTGAAAAAAAAAATTATTTGGAAAACATCTGGAATATTTGTTACAAACCTCATAATTGGCAGTAGTATAAAAATCAACAGAACATAAATAACACCACCCAAACTCTCAAAAACATATGTCAAACTATAGAGATTTTTGATCTTGTATTCATGCAGAATATATAGTTTCAGGAATTCTTGAGTTGATGCAAGTACACAAAAAATATTCCAAAATATTCGATTTCTTGAATATCTGATCTCTCGATTACTTATTTCAGTGTTCTTTCGACTTGGAAACAGAAATACCAAAAAACTCTACAAAAATAAATTGTTTTTTTATATTTGAGAAGTTTTTTTTCCGAACTGACCAATCCTGCAGCTGAAATCAACCCAACAATTTTCAGCCAATATAAAACATCCAACAATTTGTGTGAGTTATAGAACTCATGAATTGGAATATATGCACAAAAAATAACTAGATAGGGAAGCCTTTTTGTTGTTTTCCAAGTCAATTTTTTGCTCAAATGAATTTTCAAGCAAATTAATGAATGGATGATTACACCAAATTCAGAGAATGTGACGAAATATTCATAACAATGACTGGTTATTGTGCTGATTTCGATGCTAAAAATAGTTTAACTTTATGATTTTCAAGTCGTAGCCGGAAAAAATTACTCACTAATAGTCAGAAATATCAATTTTCAGCAAGTCAATAATAAGAAAACAAGCTTTGGTGCAAGTTGACACTATAAATGGTGCCATAAAAATGCACAAATATAAAAAAGCGCTGTCTTTTCGAATTGTTGGAATTGAACATATAACAACAATTGAGAGAAACCCCTCCACAGTAGTTATGAAAACTGATAAAGATGTTCCAAGAATCAAATCATCCGATAAAATATCCCATTGAGAAGACTCAATTGGTTTACATGTTCCATTTTTCAAACATTCCATAGCACCAACAAAATATGAAATGAAATGAAAAAATGTTCAGTTGGTAGAACAAAGTGTTGATTATTGCGTTGCCAAGAAACGATAACACGCCTAATTATTTGGTGTTCTGAACTTTGTTTTTCTGCTGATTGTTTTTTTTTTGCAAAAGTTGTGTTGTAAAGTGAGCAATTTTTTTTATTAACAAAAGGCAAGGCAACCGTATTTAAAATTTCTTCATGATTTTGGCCATATCGTTCAACTCTTCCTCGGTGAGCAATTCGGCTTTGTGGATCCAGCTCTGAAATAAAATATTTTTGAATTAGGGAAAATTAGAATTCTTGAAAAAAAACCTACAGGAATGTAAGGGGATGCTTCGGCACAGAGGGTGACAACTTGCGCTGGTGGAGCGTACAATTTTCCACAGGTCATGTAGTTGAAGAGTTGTTTGATCTTCTCGAAGAAGCCTCTGGAAAAGTTCAAAGTTTTTGCGGTTTTCAGGGAAATTTAGGATTTTTTTTCGATTTGTGAATTTTGAAATCAGCTTTTTTTCTTTCAAATCTCAAATCCCTGGGTGATAACAATATATTTTGAAAATAACAAAAAATTGGCTGGTCAATGTTATATTTTGATTGGATTTTTTGATCCAATCAAAAAAAAACGTTGTAAAAAATTGATTTTCAAAATTTTTCACGTCAGCAGATTTTTGGAAGGGTTTAGAGATCTATTGGGAGTTTTAGGAGGCTTTAGGGGGCTTCAGGGACTTCCGGGGGCTTCAAAAGGCTCCAGAGGGCTTTTGGAGGCTTCTATGGGTTTTAGAACGGTTAACGGGACTGCATGGGATGTTAGACAGCTTAAAAGTGCTATAAGGAATCTTCCCAAAACTCACGGTCCATCTTGAACAATACTGCTTGCCGGATAAATTGGCAACTCATCGTTAGCTTTCTCAATATTTTGTTTCTCCATATTTTCTTCTCACAAATGCTGCGCAAACCACAAAAACTCAACCAAAATGAATGGTGTGAAAAGGAAGAGGAACAGTGTCTCAACAGATGTGGGCAAAAGTGCAAGTTTAAACATTTTTTTTGTGGAAAGGAACGCAGCTGCAATCATTTTTATTTTATATTTATATATTATGTTACAGAGGAAGGAAGACACAAAAAATTGAGAGAGGGAAAATAGTGCAAAGATACAGGCAGACACGTGTTAAGAACAAAAAAATGGGGATCTTTCTAAACGCTATTGAATTCGTGTTCCAAAAGTTTATATTTCTCATTGGCACTGATTTCAGTTACTTCGTTGTCTTCATCGAAATAATAATGCATGAATAGACCAACTGTGATGATAGCATTACTAGCCCACCTGAAAACAGCTTTTTTCAATCACAAGTTTTCAGAAAAAAATAAAAAGAAAAACAAACCATAGAGCGGTGTGAGTTTCATTATAATAATAAGTAGCAATAACAGTTTGAACAAAAAGTTTTGCAAGGAATGAGATAAATCCAGCAGTCTTACTGTTATTTTCAACGTGTTGTTTGGCATTTGCAAAATAAGCGAGAATTCCTGGAAGAGCTAAAAGTCTCCAATATTCACCATCTTTCAATGAAGCTTCATTATAAACTGTGACAACATCTCCGTTGAAAATCATAACAATGAAGAGGACAATTGTAGCTGTCAAATTGTTGTAGAATGTTAATTTGTAGACACAGTTATCGATAGTTGGGATGAATCTGAAATTAAGAGATCAGAATACAGAAGTTCGATTCCCGGTGCCCAATAGTAGTAATTTACTATCGGTAGTCAAACTTTTTTGAAACTATTTGCAGAAGATCAAAGAATTTTCTATTTTTCGGTGAGCAGAAGCTTTTGTGTAAAATATGACACACTGTGCACAGAATACATTTCTCTCGAATTTTTGACATTTGAAATTCAAGGATAAAGCTGTTTTTGATCTACCAGAAAAAAGTTTGAATTCTAGAAAACTGAATTAGTGCCATCCAAAAAATAAGATAAAATGAAATTCTATCAAAAATCTTCCTTCAGTCACCCTATTTCAGAATTTCATTTCAAAAGTATACCAACCTTTGATAAACTGTCAAGTACAATCCCATAGTGGAAGCAGCAAGAAGAGCAAAAGCCAAAGCAGTTGTATCAAAATGTTCAAGATTAGTTTGATCAATTCCCATAGCAAAACCAATTAGGATAACAACTCCACAAAGAACACTAGTCTTTGAGAACCATTTTTTGAAAATGTATAAAGAATAAAGCATAACAAAAATTGGTACAGTACTCTTGACAATCATCAATGTTGAAACAGTGAGGAATTCAATTGTGAAATTAGTTAGAGTTACCATCACAACAAATGTGATTGATAGTGGGAAAATCTGAAGTTTTTTTTAAAGTTAGGGTAAGTCTTATAAAAAACAATTCAAACCTACATTTCTCAATTCATCAAAATCTAGTTTGATGCTTGGAATTGCGGTAAATCTTCTCGAAAGAAAACCAGTGAGAACACAAAAAATAGTTGCTACAAGACTTTGATACCAAGTTATGAAAAATGGACTATCCAGCTGAAAATGAATTTTTTTTATTTTTCAAAGAATTTTATGTGAATAAGAAATTACCTTTGTGGCATGTGTTGACATATTGTTTTTGTTTATGAAAACTGTGAGAAGCGAACATCCCCTGAAAATTTTCTATGTACATAGTTAACTGTACTTCGATTTTATTTTTCAGTATAACTTACCAATGAACTATAACAGCAACTGAAAGAAATAAAAAATTGGAAGAAGGGGCTTCAGTTGACATTTCTTGAAAAAACTGAATAAAGAAGAAGGAAATCTTGGATGCATATAAATATCGAAGATTTTATCGGACTCATTATCTGAACGGGTGGAGAAAGAAAGACGAATTTCCTTTTTCTAATCCAAAATACGATCGGAGGAAAAAACTGGAATTTCTTGGATTTATATTGAGTTCATTAGTTTCAAAACAAGATCGCCGCTCGCGGAAGTTTATGAGGGATTGTGAAAATGAAATTGATTTGTATATGATGTTATTAAAGATGGTTTATCTACCTGAAAATTAGAGCGATGTGTTTTTAGAGATCCTGGTTGCGAATCTGTAGAAGTTAGAACAGTATTCACTGTATGATTTTGTTTAAAAAAAGGATTATCAGATTCTCTTTTTTCCACGAAAAGATGTAGGTCAAACAAGACTGTGCGATCATGATTATTATTTTGAAAAAATCAAAGATTTTCGTCGTCAAATTCTTGCTTTTCTGATCTCACAAAAAAACTACAGACTCATTTTACATGTGAGCTATGACGTGGCAAAATTTAAGAAGTTTTTTGACGAAAATCAATTTTTGAAGCTATTATCCTGAAAGTCAGGATTTGTTCTGAATTATACTAGGCTATTGCTCATGTTAGAAGTTGAGCTTTGCAGTTTTGAAAACGAGATTATGATCAGCGGATTGAAAACTGCTCTGAAAAATTATTTTATAATAAGGCTCAATTTTCATTTTAAAAATGTCTATTTCGAAAGTCCTGAATTCCAAAATAAAAATTCACAACAAAAATTGTACCAAATAGTTACAACACAACAAGCATAGAAATTGTGACCATCTAGATTGAAAAAAAATTCTCTCTGTGTTCTGATTCTTTCAAAACCCATATATTAAAGTCCCGATTTCGCAAGTACATTAGCAACTTTTTTTTCACCGAACTCAACCAAAACATCTGCTCATCCGAAGTGCAACCTGATTTATTGCACCATTTTTTCTCCGATTGAAATCGAAATAACAAAAAAAACAAAATTTTCACGTTTTTTTGTAAATTTATGAGTAAGTTCATAGGAAAATTCAATAGGAAAAAACAAGAAAAATGGATGACAAAAAAGGATAAAACTACAAACTAAACGGGACCCATGAGATGCAAAAGAGCTCGGTAATTTAAGAAAAAAAAACAAAAAAAAAGAAAGAGAGCTGTGGAATTTGGTTCACCGTTTGGACAAATGGTGAAATAATTAATTAATTAACAAAAAATAGAGGTTTAGGACCAAAATAAAGGGGGTTACAGGTAAAAAATGCGAGATAACTCAAAAAAAAATTATGATGATAAAAAAATCCTCGTAAAATATGATTGTTTCAAAATGTTTGAAAAAATGGTTGGCTAAGATTGGACATGGAAAATCATAAACAATAAAATTGGAATGAGAGATTGGTTTGTTTTAGAAAAAAATTTAAAAAAATTCAGATAAACCTAATTAATTAAGGTGGGATAAATGGTGGTGGCAATTTTTGGTGTGAGGATGTTGAGGTGTGTCCCAATCTTGGCGAATTGTTGCTAATCATCGGTGGTGGTGGCTTGTAGAGTGGGTTTTCGTGTTGCGAGACTTTGAGTGGTGGGCGTTCTTCTCTTGCCAACATTGGTGTTCCGGCATTCGCGTGATCGTTATCTTCAACCTCATCTGGGAAGACAACTGGAAGTCCTTTGCCAACATATTCTGTTGAGGTTGTCTTCTGGAAAATGGAACATTTTTGTATGTCATTTCTTTAAAAAAAAACTAACCTTCTTGGTGGTTTTCTTCAAGCAAGCGCAGTATAAAATCACAGCAATGGCAACGAGAAGAAGAACAATCAAAACTCCACTGATGACGATCAATTGAGAATCAGCTTCTTGTACAGATTGAATGGTTGGGGCAGTTGTGCTGACTTCAACATCTTGTTCGCAGTTACCAGTTCGGAAAACGTGAGCTTGTCTAAGATAGAACAAGTTGCCCATAGCTTTGACGAATTCGAGCTTGGTTCTCATTTTATTTTTGATGATCATTCTTTCTTCCATCGCATTGATTCCTTCCTCATGACAAACATTGTATGGAAGAGTATTGTTACTCCAAACAATAATTGTCTTGTTTTCCTTTCCTCTGATATCATGAAGAGTAATCTCTTTCTCATCTTTCCGTCCCATTGCTCTTGCCATTGATTTCACCAACATGTTTCTCTTTGATGGATCAGTTGCCATTTGTTCTGGTCTTGGTTTATCCAATTCGAATTCAACGCGATGATTGCTTGGAAGTGATGGTTTGACGGTGACTGAGAATGGTGTGACAGCAGATTGTCCAGCTTTGTCTTTGGCTTCCAATCGATAATAGAATTCACCGGCGTTCATCGGAACACCAGTCATTCCTTTTGAACCAGTGACCATCCAGATTTCAGAACCATCAGTGGAATGAATAGTAAGATTCAATTTGAAAGTATCACCATCCTCCACATCCTTGAATGTTTCAGCAGGAACTCGAAGTTCACAGTACGATCCTCTGACACAAGTATACGATTTCAATGAATTGAGAACAACTGGTTGATTATCTCCGATCTTTCTTGTGGTTCTAACAACAGCTTCGGTAGTAGTTCGCAATTTCTCAGCATCAGTTTCAAAGATCTCTTCATCTTCCTCTTCCTCTCCAGCTTTGTCATCAACATCCACGTTAACAATACCATATTGATTTCTCTCGACTTTGGTGTTGGTAAAATGTCCCTTTGTCAAAACAACAGTGTCATATTCAACATCTTCTTTTTGAATAAATTCATCAAGACGAGATGTGGCTTCATCTGTGTCGTCACATGAAACTTTCCAAACAACAACAAAATTTCCTTCCGGCTTCTCACTCATGAAATCTTCAACAGTTCTGATGGATCGCGAATATTTGAGCGAATAAACTCGAAGACTCGGCTCTTTATCCTCTTCCAAATCGATGGCTGCTTCAATGCGATTCTCCACAGTGTTCTCGATTTCGTATCCAGCTTCAATCCAAAATGTTTCCTTGGCTCCACATTCACTTTCCGATTCCTCTTTGACAACCAACTCAACGGTGTAGGGTTTTCCAGATTTTGGGCGGATTTCTACACTGTATGTTCCAACATCGTTTTCGGTTGGGATTCCTTGGAAAACTGAATCATTTGAGAAAACTGTCCATTTTGGAGATTTCGGGATGGTGACGCTCTGCAAAAATTTTATTTTATTAGGATTTTTTTTTGTTTTTTGAACACAAATTTAAAAAATTTGTCCTATTTTTTTCAGAATTTCTCATAAAAAATTGTTCAAATCTTACCTTGGTTGGAAAATCGAGATGGAAATACTGTCCAACATACAACTCGTATTTTGTGGGTTTTGCTGGTACGGCATTGATGACACTGACCGTAGTAATTACGAATAATAACAATCCGAGACGAAGATTGATCATCTCTGTAACAATCAAATATAATTTGCATAAATAAAAGGAAAAAACACATGTCCATCGAAATATGAGAGAGAAACCAAAAAGGAAAGATGGTGCAAAAAATTGGGAAAAAGTAATGGACAGATTGTCTGTATGTATGAATATTCAAATTTTGACTAGAAACTGGACACGAAATTTTTGGAAGCGAGGCAAGCAAAAAGCGATTAATAAATAGTGCATAAATTAAAACGAGCACTTGTACAAATACTACCTTTCCAAATGTTATTCTTTCGTTTTGCATACAACAGGACAACAGATTAGGATCAACTAATTGCTGAAGAAAGGAAAAGAAAGGCAAAGAAAGAACAACTGTATGACAAGTTGGTGTAATTATCGAAAGGGGCGTGGCTAAGATGAGCATAAGTTGGGTGATGAATGTCGGTATATTGTTTTGAGGTTTGTCTAAATTATTCTTTTGACGTGTTGTTAAAGAGATTCAGATAAAAGCAATTATATACATATGGAATGGGAGAAGAAAGAATGAAAGAGAGAGAGCATATTTTTTTGGATCATACCGCATTTGAATATAAATGAGACATTTTCTTATTGTTTATGGTGTTTATATTGAGTTGGTAGGAGAGGGAGAGAAAAGGGTAATGGGAAATTCGGAAATGATTTTTGGGGAGCTTTTCCCCTCGGGGGAAAATTTTGAAAACCGCTAAAAAATTTCACATAATATCCCCGGTGGCCAGACAGAGAAGATTGAAATGGCGCCTGTGGGGCCAGGTGGGGTGTTTTAAGGTGAGCAAAGCTCCAAGCTGATTCGAACGAGCTCCAGAGAAGGCTCGGGTGGAGCTGGGAGCCCAGAGAGAGCCTAGCGGATTTGGAAAATGCAGGCGGCTGTCAGATCTCAGCATAGGTATTCCAACATTTCGAATCTGAGACCGGATCATTTGGCACCTAATATCTAACATAAGCCTAGCCTATTATAGACCAAAGCCCGCCACATCCGAGACCTAAGCCTGACCCAGTCTAGACCAAAGCCCGGCCCAAACTTTCTATAACCCGATATTCGCAGCTATATCAAGGGCCACTAGGCTTAGAAAAGGCTCCCGGCAATATTTTCCAAGACACCTAACCTAAATGTAGACAGCAGCTTCCCAGGGTGACAAATACGCGCCAATTCTGTTCACCTATCTCTTTCCCGACAAAAAAAAGACAAAAGAGATTTTTGGGTAGTCAAAAACACAAAAATTTCTCACATAAAAGCTACTTTTCGCCCAAAAGGGCATTCTTACCTAACAAAGAAGTACAATATGAATCATCACCCCTTCCAACTCTTATTCAAAAAAATTTATCTAAAAACGTTTGGGAATAGAAGAGGGGAACAAATACATCTGGTAGGCTTCTACTCAATTTTCAAAAAAAGAAGAAGAATAAGAAGATTTGTGATTTACAACAACTCTGTAAAAAAAATAAACAAAGTAAGTACAAAAGAAAGCGCTGACTGACCATAGGGAAAAAAATTGAACACATTTTGGTTTGGTTTGTTGGCAATATGTGTCTCTCCTGCTTCCAAACTCCGCCCACTTTTTACACCCATGGCTCAGCCCCGCCTTCCCTCCTAACACAGCAAAAAAAACATGTCTTGTGAGGGAAAAGAGACAGAAAAAAGGAACGGGCGAAGGAGAATACGATATAATTATTCTATTCGGGGTAATTAGGTTTTAGGTACGGGATATACGAGCATAATTATGGAATGGAATGGTATGGGTGAAGGAAAATAAAGAAACATGTGTAAGATTGCGGGGGAAAAATACAGTTTATGGTTTTCTGAAGGTTGCACTGGGAAGAGGGACACGAGAAATTGGACTAGGGTGACTAAACTTTGAGTCAAAATCGAAATACCAAAAATTATTTGGAGCGGCTTCCGATTTTTCAGAGAAATTCCAAATTGGATTCCGAAAATTTTAATTTTTGAATGCCTGAATCGGAAAAAATGTTCCGATTTTGCTAGTCCAAGAAATTTTTTTTCGAAAAAAATTAGACCTGATTTTTAGGCTTGATTCCTCATTCCTTATTCCAAAACCCCCAAGAATGTGATCAACAAAAAATATTTGAGCTTTTTCTAACAATTCAAAAAAAGTTACACAAAATTTTAATTAAAAATCCAAAAAAAAAAATCAAAGCAAACAATTTGTTTCTTTTTATTTCAAAAATAATTGCCCACATCATATTTGCTTCCAAATGTATTTTATTTATCGGTTTCCAACTTACTGACTGATAAAAAATGTTTCGACCCGGAAACCGAATGACTCAGAAAATATGAGAGCAACTTTTTTTTGAAACAAATATGTATCAAGGCATCAGATCTGGCTAGATGAGATGAATGAAAATTTATCGGCCCTCCTGGACCACTTTTTTTCTCAACTTTTTTGGTTCTCTAGCCTAGGCACCAGAAAAAAAGAAAACTAATAAGAATCAATGAATCATATATGACCCCGTTGGCGAGTTTGCTCGTAAAAAGTGCATTTGCCCTTTTTTAACACCTTTTTTGCTCATTTTCCCCCTATTTTTTGGTTGGCTTTTCTCTGGTTAATGCGGCAAATTGGCAGAGATTAGTACGGGTGCGCGAACACAACTGTAATTAAATCGTCGTGGGTGGTCCAGGATTAGTGAGGGGGTAATGTTTTTTCGTGACTGACTGACGAAGATGGATCCTTACCGTAATCTACTATAAATGTTTTTTTTTTGTGGTCAGGTGTCCGAAGTTTTTTCGAAAACAGGACACATCTGTGTGTAGGAAGAATAACAGGTGCATAAAAATAATTTGATTATGCAATATTTTTGAGGAAACAGAACAATTGTTGAAAATTTCTCAAGGATACGATAAAAACGACACCTGTGTTACTAAAAATAGAAAATTTGCAAAACGAAAAACATAGATATCCTAGTTACAACTAGTATGCAGTAGATCAAATTGTTCAACTGTGAAAATTGTTCACATCCGAAATTTGTTCGATGAAACTGGAATTGTTGTTTTGATCTACTTTAGATTTATTACATGTTAATTCATCGTAAGACTGTAGTTATTTTGAAATGGGATAATTATTGTTGGAAAAATAGATTTGAAAAATTGTAGATCCGTTATTTCAAAAAGTTTGGAGTTAGAAAACTTCTTCCGACTGATCACACTGAAGTTTGAAATTTTTTAGATTTCGATTCCGATCAGCCCTGAGATTTAGAAGATCAGACGATTTGGACCGGAGTAGTCTACGTTTATTGGCCATCGGGGTTTGAGACATCAAGTAACTGGTTAAATGCGGGCACCGGGAATCAAACACGTGACGTTTAGACTGCTAGAAGCCATCACTGCCACTGAGCTACCTCATCCCCCAATTTTCATGATTTATGAAACTGGAATTATAGTTTTGATCGACTCCAGATTTATTTTTTTCATTATTAAAGTAAAAATAATCTATATTGACTATAGAACAATACAGTTTAGCTTCACAAAAAAAGTTATTTGCACACAGAACAAAAGTGTAAAAATGTGCAATCAAGATAGCGGCTAGGAAGGGAAAAGAAGGCAAAACAATTATTTTTTGGTATGAAAATTGTCTATAATCCTTAAGTAATCGATGCCAAATTATGTAATACGTTTGATGGATACCGAGAAATTTGCAGCTGTCTTTTTTTTTCTTGCTCAGCACATATGAATGTGTACAAAAATATTTCTAAGCGATGAGAAATTCAATTTATGTAGCTCTTCTCGTAAAAAACTTCAATCAGACGTTTTTTTTTGAAACATGTCATCTTATTTTTCCTTATGTATCTCTTGAAGCGGAAAAAGTAGAAAAGCAAACAAACAAATGAATAAATAAATATTAAACAGTAAACATGGATGGTCCCAACGGATATCGGTAAAAATCAAAAAAGAGCACATTTTGTTGTTGATGAAACATGTGCCTCTCTTGGGAAATCGCGGTTATTCATATGCTAATTGTTTTTATTCTTATTCTCAATATGGACTTGTGGGTGAAGAACAAAAAGGATGGTGGATATAGATAAGAAAACGGATGGAACGGCCCCAAAAATTGATGAGATTTTTATTGGCTGAGGTCGGAATGAAGTGGAGTATAAAAGAAGTGGGTGATTTATGGATGTTTGTGGACACACTGTGACAGTTTATGTATATATTCAACGTTTTAGCGAGGGATTTAGGCCCTAAATTCTAGGGAGTAAATAATAAAAACTCTCTGAAATATGTGGTCAAAAAATTACTGTACGTGAAAATTCAAAAATTCAGTTCACATCTCAAGTTTCACGGCTTGGTTCTGAAAATGTTCCAATTTTAAAAAATTGTGCTCAACCAAAAACCAGGTCCGAAAAATCTAATCTAATCCAAAATCTGCTCCATTCTCCCAAAAATTACTTGTCATCCATCAAAACCCCCCTCCCCCTCTCTCTATGAACACCCCAATAATTATCCCCCAAATCGAATATCCGCCAAACCACAAAGACGCAAAAATCTTGCCAAAATTCAGAAATCTTTCTTTTTTTTGTTGTTGTTTCCTTGTCTTTAATATTTTTGATTGACATGAGAATGAATGAGATCTCTTTGTTATGTTTGCTCTTCAAAAAGAAGTGTGATAGTCGTTTACAAGTGGGTGCGAAAAAATAAAAGATGTGTATACAATTTTTTGGTGGATGGTGGATGTATCAAAATAAAGAGAAGGCTTGGGGAAAATATGAAGAGGGGTTTTCAGAGAAAAAAAACTGAATGCTCGAAACTTCTGGCTCCGAAGAAGTGTAGAGAAAATCTTGGGGTTTTTAGAGAATACAGGGTGTTAGAGATAATAAAGGGCTTTTTAAATACATGAAGGGATTCGCGTAAAAATTTGTTTTAAAGGTATGCTGGTCCCTTAATAAACAGGTTAAAAAAATGTATTTCTTCAATCCTAACTTAGGTTTCTGAATTTTAAGTAGATCTTCATGCTCTTGAAGTTTACTCAGCCTTCATT